CTACATTGCTAATGAATCTGGCAGGGTCACATCTCAGGAATGTAACACGCACCAGGCACTCGTACACTTCACACTGCTTCAGTGATAATCAACCATTAACCTACGGAGATCTTAAATTAGGGAACCAGATGTCTGTATAAACAGCTATGATCTTCTTTCTTAAATAAACAACACTCTCACAGTATCTATTGTTCCCTTTTAAAATCTTATTCGTATACCTCAGTAACCACAAATAGAAATATAGTCACCCCATATATGCCAACAGCATCTCCAGCTAGCTGTCCCAACTCCTCTATCTGTTCACTTCAAAACGACCCACACCAACACTTTATTTAATTAGCTCTGGGTTGAACTTTCGTTGCTGTGCCTAATTGGAAAATATGGGAAAAATAAGAAACTGGCCCTACTTGGGCACATTTAAAAAACAATAATCACGGATAAGAACTACACTGGCCAATGCATCTTTCTTTGTGCTCCCAAATCAAGTCGATACTTTGTGGTAGTTATATTTTTCTTTCTCTCTTATTATTTACTCTTTATTGTATAATTTTTGTACTAGAATTCCCAGGTATCTGCACGCGTGAGATCCAAGAGACTAATACTCATCGTCACAATGTTTTTACTCGAGTAAAATACAGCTAGTAATATTTATGAGCTAATATTGTTAGCAGAAAACTATGAAGTGTTGTCGCAAAAGCATTGTTCAATTTTATAACCAACCTCTTTTATTTAAGGAAGAATAAATAAAAGATGACCACTTGCCTTTTATACATGCACAAAATAAAAATTACTTTCGTGTCTGCTTAAAATTACATTTGCAAAAGGCATAATATATTAAAGCAGTAGCCTTTAGACTTTATTTTGTAAGTTATAAGAGGCTTGAGGATTTCAGATAATATTGTCATACTATATGTATGATATATATTGTTATTAAAAGTGCATATTTATCTCTTTATTTTTATTACAAAAATAAATTGCATTATTCAATACACAATCTATAGTGCTGCCTATTGCTTAGAGTACATTAATCTAATACATATAGGGTAAATAAAAGAAGCCTAGTAAGAGATATAAAGAGACTTTATATACTGAATATGTAAAAGAGTCGATTCGAGAGTAGCAGTATAAAGCACTCTTTAACTTAAGAAAAATATATTTTTTATAAAGGGATTTATCAATTCACGTGAAAGTGCTACGATTAGGCGTACTCTTAGACTTGTTTGATTAACAGAAGCACACTATTAAAATTATTCAATTTTTTTTATAAATAATAAGCCAAATAACTATAGCCATTTTTTATGTCTTGTATGTTTTGTATTCTTTACCAAACACCTCTTGTCTTGGTGTGCTTGCTTTATTAACTTCATAAGTAACTTGGTAACCTTTGAAAGGAAGCAAATAGGGTGAGAGAAAATATGAAACGTGTGATACATACCTGTATAAATGTATATATATTTGGTTTCCTTGTTTGTACTTAGCCTGTATATTTGCATGACTCCCCCCCTTATCTTTTATATCAGGACGGTCTTAATTTTTCCGAAAACGCCTTTCAAGGCCTGGCCTTTATGAAACAGTAGATACATTTAAAGGATACTACAACATAGCACTGCAAAAAGTAAGCATATAGGTACTGAGTGTAAGAGTTGGAAAGCAAGACCAGTGCTATATTTTAAAAAGGCTTTCTGTTTTCATTTTTTAGCTTGTGTATATACAATATTATAATCAGGTACTTTCTCTGAAAAGTATTTGTAGTGACAAAAACAAATGATCAACGTGACCAACACCACACAGGATGCATCCATCCATCCTCCTCCCCCTATCTCCCCCAATCTTTTGATTGATGTATACTTTCAATGAATTTTATTGGACTAAAGTGAGGGAGGCGTCATCATCTCCCCATTTTTGTTTTTATAACTAGAGAAAAATTTTCGCGTCTTTTGGGTTTCCTTTTTTCCCTTTTTCTTTGTACTGGCCGTGTCTACTGGTGGAGACGATGGAGAGCTTCTGGTAATATATGGGTTTATGTCCGGCCGGTCATCGTTTATACACAGAAGCCAAGAGGGTCTTCCGATAGCCATGATTCTTTTCTTATGAACGGCTAGCCAGATCACTTTAAGATAAGTATATGATTTTTTTACGTTATGTGCTATGCAACTTTGAATACTAATTAATCAAAGCCTATGGAGTAGGCGACTGTAAGAGTTCAAAAGACGTTCATAAAGCCTTGGCAATATTATTTTGTTAAGCTTGTTGAGCCGATTTTGGACTCTTACGACCGACCGCTCTCTCTTTTTCTTTCTTTCTTTTAAAGGGGCCCGATGGAGTAGATCCACGGGTCAAACATGGTCTATCGAGCAAGTCCACAAGCGCGCGTGTAGCGTGTGAGCCCGTTGTCCGTATTCCTGTGTATTACTGGTTGCTTTCTGTCGTCTCTTCTGGTGGGCGCGGCTGGTACCATCTTTTTTGGGTTAGTTCCCGTTGCTTGTTCCCTCCCGTTGCTTGTTCCTTCCCGATGCCTTCCACGGCGGTCCATGTTATATGAAAGGTACTGTTGCTTGTTGCTTTTTTTGTTAGTCTGTTGCTTCCGCCAGTGGGACTTTTCTGCCAGTGGGTTTGTTGCTTCCCACTGGTAGGCCCTTTCCTCCTACCAGTGGACCTGTTATCTCTCGCCAGTGGACCTTTTCATATAGCCGTCGGTTGCCGGTTGCCGGTTGCCAGTTGCCAGCCGCCTGTTTTACTTCCACTGGCGGGTCCATTTATCTCACTGGTAGGAGACATTTATCCCACTGGTCGGACATTTGCTTCCTGTTGCTTCCTGTTGCTTCTGCCGGGGAACCCGATGGTTCCATTTCTGCCGCAAAATTGTCGGCTATGTTGTGTCCTCAAGACACCTCGTCGAAAGCCGATAAGGCTCACCAGAAGCCCAACATGGGCGCCTGCAAAAAGGCCACATCAGCCCATAAGAGAGGCCAAAGTATGCGCCAGAGCAAAGACCAATCCGGCCCACAAGACAGGCCAGTGTAAGTGTCGGGAAAAGGACCAAACTATCTCAAGACATAATCTAATTGTTTTTGTATTGTTACAATGCAGGCTCCAAGTGCGCACCAGAGAAAGGGCAAACCAGCCCACAAGAAAGGCCAAAGTATGTGCCAGAAGAAAAGGGCAAACCAGCCCCACAAGAAAGGCCAAAGTATGTGCCAGAAGAAAAGGGCAAACCAGCCCCACAAGAAAGGCCAAAGTATGTGCCAGAAGAAAAGGGCAAACCAGCCCACAAGAAAGGCCAAAGTAGGCGCCAGAGCAAACATCAATCCGGCCTACAAGAAAGGCTAATGTAAGTGTCGGGGAAAAGGGTGAAATATATCAAGACATAGACTAATTGTTCTTTGTATTGCTACAATACAGGCTCCAAATGCGCGCAAGAGAAAAAAAGGCTTTTCAGAGACCCTCAAGGTCACTGTCAAGATCCAAAGCCAAATCAAGATAGATAGTCAAAAAAGAAAAGAAGTACAAAGAAAAAAAATATAAAAAGAAAATGAAAAGAAAAAAAAAAAGATACAAAAAAAAGAAAAAGCAGAAAAAAAACAACCAGAACAATATTTACCAGAGAAAAAATATGCTTACAATTATCTCTCTATCTCAGATCAAGCCCCATAGTCACTAGTACAATCTCCAAAATAGTCAAGCCAAGGTACATTGCTATGTCCAAGTCCAAGTCCAAGTCCAATTCCAAGTCTTTTCCAAGTCCAAATGTCCAAATGTCCAAACACTGTCCAAGTACTGTTCTAGTACTAGTCCTAGCACACAAACATATACAAACAAATAGAGAAGTACACAATTAGAGAAGTAGACAAATACACACACACACACACAAACACACACAATTTCTATTTTTCTATTTATTTCTTACACACACACACACACACACACACACACACACACACATACACACACACACATACACATACACACATACACATACACACATACACATACACATAGTCATAGTCATAGTCATAGACATACAAACATACATATACACACTTATATACATACATATATACATACAAAAGTAGAGGCGCATTTCTATCAAAGTCCAAAATCTGGGTTGTACCTCCAAGTCTCAAGGCCAAGTCGATTTCCAAGAAGGGGTCCAATGCAAAGTTCCAAAAGCAAGTTCCAAAAGAAAAACCAAAAACCAAAAACCAAATCCGAGGCCTATACTAAGTCCTGTAAAAAAAACGGGCATATACTAAGTCCTCCTCTCCAAAAGGATCAAAAGAAATCCGAACTCGAGGCATATACTAAGTCCTCCACTCCTAAAGGATCAAATCCAAAAACCGAGGCGTAGACCAAAACCTATCAGAAATGATCAGGCACATTAAGTCCTCCACTCCAAAAGGATCAAAAGAAATCCGACCCTGAGGCCTATACTAAGTCCTGTCCAAAAATTACACAGGCATATACTAAGCCCTCCTCTCTCTCAAAAAAAAAAAAAAAAAAAAAAAAGCAAAAAAAAAAACAAAACAAAAAAAGCAAAAAAAAAGCAAAAAAAAAAAACAAAAAAAGCAAACAAAAAAAGCAAAAAAAAAAAGCAAAAAAAAAAAAAAAGATGAACAAACCGGAAGAACACTGCATTGGAACCTGGACCTGGATTGAAGCAAAGCTGCGAACTGGAACAAGACTCTGGATCAGGACAAGGTATGAAATCCCTTTTTACATATATACATACAAAGCAAATGAAGTCTTTGATCAAAAACAAAAAACAAAAAAAAAATGCTCAAAAAAAAACAGAAAGAGCAAAAAGAGCAATACCAAAACCCCCTTCTCTTATTACTATTATGTGAAATTGACTGGACAAAAAAAAAGAAGTAAAAAAAAATCAAAAAAAAAATCAAAATCAAAAATCAAAATCAAAAAGTCCAAATTATCCCCTTTACTATGTGTGCTGTGTTCGGACAAAAAAAAATCAAAAAGTCCAAATTATTCCCTTTATTATGTGTGCTGTGTTTGGACAAAAAAAAAGCAAAAAAAAAAAAAACAAAAGTCCAAATTATCTTTTTTATTCTTTTCAATATCAAAATCATCCTCTTATTACTATTCCGTGAAATTGACTGGACAAAAAAAAAGAATCAAAAAAAGAATCAAAAAAACAAGAAAAAAAACAAAAAGTCCAAATTATCCCCTTTATTATTTTTCAACACCAAAATCCTCCTCCTCCTATCACTCTTTGCTTATATTGACTGGACAAAAAAAAAAGAAAAAAAAAACGGACAAAAAAAAAGATCAAAAGAAAAATCAAATGGACCAAAAAAAAACCGACTGGACTTGACTGGAACCGACTGGACTCGACTGGACTAGCATGGCCTGGAATATCTTAGTACACTTAATTTAATTTAACTTAACTTATATTCCCCTTTTAAAAATCTTTGAACAATAAATTTTGATCTCATTTGACTTTGATACTATCTTTATGTTTTTGTCTCTTTTTGATTTTGATCTTACATTTGTCTTTAAAAAATATTATTAATAATGTTTTTGGTACTACTATATTACACTTGAGAGCTGTCTTATTATACTTGTGTTCCTTGGTAAGGTAGACAAGGTGTATTTTCTAATGAGGCATTCATTCAAAAATATAATCCTGAATCACGATAGCCCGATATCCCGATAACATAGTAAATTGGTCAAAAGTGTACACTTAATTTGATGGGCAAATTCACACTTTGTCCCAAATTTCTGCTCTCGGGATTTGTCAAGTGGTTCATTCAGTTCACTATGGCATGGCGGGGTTTGGTTTTGGTATCGCTCACTGAAATCAGCTTTGAAGTGGTGGTGTGTCTGTAAAAATGACCCAAAGTAGTTTACTAGCTCTCTTTAATTTGTTCTTTCTTAAGACTGTTCTTCTACCGATATTCATTTTCTTGTCGCTGAACTTATAACTTCACTATATAGCCAGCTCACAGTGTGGCATTAAGTTTGTCTACAATAATAATAAGAATAATCGTATATTTGTAAAAGGGTTAAATAAAAGAGTCACTAGATGCAAAATGAGGCTTTTGATAGTCATTTATTTTGTTAATGGGAAAATGAAATGGGCTGTATCAATCAAGTTGCTCTAATAAATAACTATAGTGATTCCATCCCTTTTACAGTATCTCTTCCAAGATAATATAAGATCCACAGCTCGTTGTTGCTATACATTGGTTTCTTGAAGTTATTGCTGTTTTGTGCTCTACCAAATAATTGCCTCGTTCCAGCCTTATCTATTATGATACGAATTTTTTTTTTAAAAAAAAAAAAAAAAAGAAGAAGAAAAAGAAGGAAAAATCTATATGCTCTTTGACATATACTTTTGTTAAAGATTTGAAAATATAGTATTCTCAACATTTGAGATGGGCAATAAAAAAATGCGATATTATTTAGTGTTGAAACAAGTTACGGTCATAGACAACATAGATCTTTAATTTGGATCGAAAGAGATCACTAGCAGATTTGAGAGGTGGCTGTTGTTTATATTGGTGTAGTGTAGTGTAGCGTAGCGTAGTGTATTTTGGATTTTATATATTGTGTTGTTTTTTAATATTTATATATATATATATAAAAGTGTATATAAAAACACATTTGTTTTGCGGTTAGTTTTTTCTTTTGTTTTACCATTATTTTCGTTTATATATATATAAAAAAGAAAAACTTACCAAAATTGCTTGTTCATCCACCCATTTGATCAATTGGGATCTTACTAATGAATCTGATAAATTTGATAGTTTTGTGTCTGCCGATGGCTTTTTTAATACAGAAGGATAAGAAGAATACGAAGAAGAACCAGAAGACGATGAAAATGACGACGACAAATAGTAAGGGGTTTTGTTGGACCAGTGAAATGTAAAATCAGACTGTGGTGGGCAATTGAACGTGGTCAAGGTTAGTTTCAAGACTGCCTTCTTTTGAGTTCCAAGAATATCAGTGGCCTCACAAAGCCCAGGAGGCACCAAGGTGCTTGAGATAATAATATGGCTGAGTTGGTGCGTGCGGTTAAAAAGGCCTATGAACCCATTGATTTTCTATACATGTATTTATTTATTTTAGAAAATATAATAATAACAAAAGAATAACTATGGCAACAGTACAAATATTCGGTAACTAGGCAATGAATTTACCTTTTTTACGTGGGTTATCTGAACACAGTGTGATTGATTTGTTGATGATTTGGGTGGAGTCAAGCTACAGCTGGTTGAAAAAGATGTACTAGATTCTAGAACTATTTCTATTAGTAAACGTATTATTTATTTATAACAGTAATAGTAATGATAAGACTATAAAGATATAAATATATATATATATATATATATATATATATATAGTACTATTTGTGGTGTCCTTACCTAGGGGTTTCTTTACTTGAGGATATGTACAGGATTGGTAGGTTGGATTATATGGGGGTACGGGGGTAGGTTGGATAGACTGGACAGGTGTGTTTTCTAGGATTTTCAATATCCCAAAGCATGGCAGAGATGAGGCTGTTTATAATACAAATAAAAAAATATATTATAAATTAAAACGCATAAACACATGTTTGTATATCTTACACAAAAGTGGTTTTATTTCAAGTGCGTTGTCAGATTGATCTTTAAGCTTTGGTGAGGATAGACTCGAGGATTCATAAAGGGTCGCACCCGAAAGCCGATCGGTGTCGCTATGTGTGTCGATGTGTGTTTGATTGAGAGAGTTAAAATACTCGGATGTATCTGCATCTAGATCTGTATTTATATCTATATCTGTGTGAGACTGTGTGCAAGTGTTGGTACTGGTACTGGTACTGGTGCGGATGCGGGTTCGGGTTCGGGTGCGGGTGCGTGTGCGGGTGCGTGCGTGTGTTCTTGTTCTTGATTGCTGTTTACTTTTTAGATCATCGATTCTAGCCTGGATAGTCGAGGAAAGAGCAATGACATGAGTGTAGAGCTGGCGATCATTTCCTGAGGACAGATTGGCGGCTACACAGGCCAGAGGAAGAGGAAGAGGGGTTTGACGATTGACAGCAAGAGGTTTATAAATCAAGTCTGGCATTGAGAAGAGATGTGACACAGATTGGACATGATCTATATATTATTATCCTTTATATGTTTATTTTATTTTCTTTAATAGCTGAAGGTTGTGATGTACTAAGAGCTATTATCAGAAGGAATAAGAAGATGAAAAAGAAGAAGAAGAAGATAAATAATGGCCCTATAATAAGTATCAGTATTATTGTTGGTGTAATTAAAGAGAAAGAGAGAAAAGGAAAAGATAGAGGTATTACTGGGCTTATTATTACTACCAGGAGTTCACTTTTAATTCATTTGTTTATTTCCTTATTTGCTTTTACATTATATATGAAGAATTCAAGAAAGCATATAGCCAATATGTAAATGTAAATGTGTGAATTTGTAATTTGGGTGTGTAATTTTTTTTATGTGCCTATCCCACTCATTAATTAATTTAGCTATTGCCAAAATAGCCCACGCGATTCTTTATATATCCTATGTCTTGATACAGCTCGATTTACTGAAGAGATTCCTATTCTTTAAATAAATAAATAAAAGGGGGGTGAGACATGGATAGGTTAACAAAGTGAAAATATAATATAATAGAAGCAAAGAAGCAAAGAAGGGAAAAGGGAGAAAGAAAGAAAAAAGAAAGGGGAGGGGATTAAAAGGGGGTATTCAAATCTATAAAAATTGAAAATTGAAAAATGAAGTACCAAAGAACAAAAAATTAAAATAAAATGATGGTCATTAAATATTACTCTTTCTTTACAAAAAGTATAAAATCAAATATGAAAATAAATACATAGTTAAATAAAGGGAGGACTATGATACTGAGGACTGTGGTAGAGAAAAAAATATATAAATATATAAAATCAAGATTTATAGTTTTGTACCTTGTTTTATGACTAGTTGGAAATCGATTAAAATAATACTAATATTTTAACTGTGATGATAATCTAGGCAAATCTTGGTTTATATTTTAGTTACACATTCAATATAAGCTTTTTGATTGATTTTATTTATTTATATACACAAATTTGAATGTATAGGTTAATTAGTGATAGATAATATTAATAATATTAATAGTATTATGGCTGAATATTGGTATTGTCATTGTTACTGTTACTGTTATTGTTATGGTTACGGTTACGGTTACGGTTATCGAAAGTAAAATAAATAAATAAATAAATAAATAAATAAATAAAGTGGCATATAAAGTATATAGATAACTATCTCTTGAACATCATAAAGTTTAAAAAGAAAGAAAAAAACACATAGAAAATAAACAAACTGGATATGAATGGCATGAAAATATATAGATAGAAAGAGAGAGAGAGAGAGATAAAGACAACGTTTAGGGGCTTGAAAGAGAGAGAGAGAAAAAAAAGATATGAAGATGAAGATGAAGATGAAGATGTTGGGTATAAAAGAAAATAAGAAATAAAGGGTTGTGTACAGAGCATAAATATCTCAAAATTGTGCGTACAAATCGAGTAAATGCCACAAAAGTGAAAAATAAGCTTTGAAGGGTAGTCAGGGTGAGGATAGAACATGATAGGTTAAGGGAATTTAGGTTAGATTTTCTTCTTTTTTTTTCTTTTTTTGGTTATTTGAACTATTGAAATATTGAACCATTAGTACTGATACACATATATAAATGTATATATGTATATATCTTTTGGTTTTTTGGTTTTTGGGGATCATTTCTTTCAATATTATAATTATCATTTTTTACTTTTTTTTTTTTTTTGCTCTTTTGGATTTTTTAAGTTATTTCATTTTTTTGGGGGTAGTCAGAAAGAAAGGAGGGAGGGGAAAGGTCTTTTTTTTTTTTCTGGTTAGGAGAAAGAGTGGTGATGGGTTTGGTGACGGTGAGAATGAGGGTGTTGAGGAGATATTGGTAAATAAGAATTGGGATATTGAGGGAAATAGCTCTGCATTTCTTGGAGTCTTGGGAGTGTAAACACAGACTCTTTGGTAATCAATGGTCGTCTGTAGCAATTACCGAGAAATGAATCTGGTGCTGAAAAGGATCCTTGTCTGGGCGTCGTGATTTCAGGGATCAGTTCCCTTCTTCCATCTACTCCTCCTTCGTCTCCTCTGGCTCCACTGATTGAAAAACGATCTTCGATTGGAGAGTACTGGGTTCCGAAATAAGGCGAAGTCACAGGAGACGGAAGGCTAGACAGAGCTGGGGTGTGAATCATTGGTCGGAAGAAATGGTCTCTGCAGGATACATTTTTTGGATGATAATCTTTGGTGAAGTAATAAGATGATGACGATGACTGCGGTGATAATGATGATAATGAGGACGTATCCAAGGGATAGGAAGGAGATGTTGGGGATGTGATGGAAGGAACTGGAGAGGGTGGCATCGAACCAGATTCCATTGGACTTGGGCAATGGTGCTGATTAAAGGCCGATGATACCTGACAGCTGTTTGGGAATCCTAGCCGGCTGTCTGAATAATAGGTTGGACAACGGCCATAGCTGCCGATGTCCAGTCGAGGCTGTCGTTTCATTATTGGCTCCGAGACTTCATTGAAGGGGCGCCACTGCAGATGAGTGCGTTTGGTGACAGATCCGTGGGCAGCCTTCTGGTGAGTGGTCAAGACGGTCTTGCGGGCAAAACTCTTGTTGCAACCATCGTATCGACATTTGTAAGGTCTTTTTCCAGCATGAATGCGTCTAATGAAGATAGACTGTTAAGTAACCATGGTGATTCTCTATGATGGCAATAAAGGCACATCGATTTCTGTGGAGTGTAACTCACCTGTGGCGTGCCAATGAACTACTGTCACCAAAGCTTTTTTTACAATTCTCGTCTTCGCATATGTGAGGTCTTTCCCCTGAATGAGTTCTGGAGTGAACCTTTAATGCCGAGCGCTAATCAATTTTTTTTTATTTATTTATTTATCTATTTAATACATCAAATCTTTTTTATATAAACTTTGCTTGTTTCCTTTTCTTCTTGTATATTATTATAATAATTATTACCTGAATAAAGCTTTTTCCACATCCATCCTCGTGGCACACATATGGTCTAGAAAAGGCAATTTGTATATATAAAATATAAAATATATTTATATTTATATTTATACATAAATTTTAGCTTGTCTTACCTTTCATTGCTATGAATTCGAAGATGTCTTGCAAGGTCAGATCGACGACCTGTTTATATGTAGTTGTTAAATAAATATTAATATCTTTCATCCAATAATTCAATTTTAAATGCTTACCAAATGATTTTGGGCAATCACTTTTGGTACATTTATGAGGCTTGTTTTGACTTTGTTGGCCTTCAATATGAATCAATTCAAGAACGTCCATAATAGTATTATTTTTTTCTGTGGTTGTTGTATATTTGAATGTGTAGGTATATGTATAAAGCTGTCCAAAGTCTGAAGTAAGGTGACAGGTTGTGTACAAGTTTTTATTTTTGTTGTTGTTGTTGTTGTTGTTGGTGGTGGTGACAGGACAGTTTCTTTAAAAAGAGATCTTGTACTTCTTTTTGGATGTGTCAAATTACAAATTAAATAAAAATATTTGTAACGCTTATTCAAGTCCGTAATATATAAATATATTAAACCCTTTGCCAAGTCGATTGTCGATGTTGATTTTGATGTTAATTATCGAACAGGATGCCTTTGTTTCTTTTATATATATATATATATATAAATAAATACAAAGAAGAGAAGAGAATAAGGGAAAAAGGAGAAGAAGTAGAAGAAGAAGAGGTTGGATTCTTGCTTATGTATGTTATTTATTTCATGTTTAAATCCACAAGTGTATTTATACCACTTGCAAATAAATAAATAAATAAATAAATAAATAAATAAATAGAGATGGCTGAAGTGGATCATGTTCAAAAGGAGCGTTAACAAGGGGGTGAAGGGGAGGGATATTCCTTTCTATAATTTATGATTATGATTATGATTATTGAAGATTATTGAAGATTATGATGATTATTGAAGATTATTGAAGATTTCCAAGAGACACATTTTATTCTTTTTCTCTCTCTCTTTTGTACGTGTATATGTAACAATTTAAGGAGAAACACAAGGCGCCAAAGAAAGAAGAAAAGGTAAATTCTGCTGTAATGTGCTATTTTGTGCTATATTATATATCGCTGCACCGAACTGTAATGTAATGTAATGTAATGTAATGTAATGCACTATATTATAGTTTACTGTATCGTGGTGTGCTGTGTAGTGTAATGACAAAACATCAATAGCAGTACAGAAATAAATTACTTTAAAAAGATATGGCAGCGAATACAAAATAGAAACAAAGCAAAAAAGGGGGAAGAATTGGTCGGTTGGTCGGTTGGTTGGTTGGTTGCTCGGTTTGTCGGTTGCTTTGGCTTGCTTGCTTGCCTGTGGGTAGGTGTATGGGGTTAAGATTTCTACTATATTAATATAATAGTCGTAATTATAATTATAATAATCTTTTTTTTTGTCTAGCCGACCTTCCTCTCTCTGTGTAAGTGTGTCTTGGGGGGGGACGGACGTACAAAGACAACGTGGAGAAAAAGACAGGACGATCATCAGCTAAAGACACTTTTTATTCTTTCAAATTTCGCAAAGTTCTTACACTCACTTTGCTTGCTGACTCAACCATAGCATAATTCATAAACATTTTTTTTGAAATCTACAATTCATAGCTCATATTTCACAGTATATAGTATATAGTATATGGTATATAGTACAATACACAAGAACAATAACCAAAAGAAAGAAGGTTAGATCCATCGGTGTCCTAGTGTTTTCTCTGTAGCGTTGACAGATCTACACAGTGGCTGACAGACATTTTTCCTCAATTAATAACAATAATAATAATAAAAGATCTGAATTGTGCGAATTGTTGGTGTGCGCATGTGTGTGCGTGTACGTGTGTTTGTACAAAGGGGTTAAGGTTTGTGATTGAAAAATCCTTTGAATGATTATATATATATATGGCTTGTTTTTTGGAAAATCAATTCAAAAAGGAAAATCCAAATGGCTCGGATATTGATTCGACAATGGTATAACTTTTATACATGAACATTTTTATGTAAAAATGTAATTGGATCAATTTTGGATCAATTTTGGATCAAAACTGAACTGGTTTGAGTTCAATTGAATCTATATGATTATTTTACTTCATTTGTTGTTGATGTGCCAGTGCGTCGTCTTTGTGCCTATTAAGACCATGCAATAATATATACATATATGATACACTCCCTAAAGCATAAACCATAAAAATAAAAATAAAAATAAAAATAAAAATAAAAAATTATGGGCTTTTTGCTTTAATTTGATTTTGATTTGGTATACAGATGCGCACAAACAGTATCAATTCAATTCAATTCAATTCAATTCAATTCAATTCAATTCAATTCAATTCAATTCAATTCAATTTATTTTTGCACACACAAACATCAAAGCAACCGAGAAAGGGATATGAATTAAGAAAAGGAAATTAGTTTATGTGCATGCTACAATAATCATTTCCTATCAAATCAAGTAAGATCAATTACTTTTTGTTAGTTTATAAAGTAAAATCATAAAAAAAGGGGGGTAGCCAATCATCATTATGTTCAAAAAAAATATCAAAGGAATCGTAAAGGGTTATGGGTTGGATAGTAAATAAGAAACACACATAGCTAATACAATCATACATTATGTAAGGAGAAGAAAGTAAAAGAGATAAAGTCAATCACTACTATTGATACTATTGATACTACATATCTATAGTGTGCACGAACCACTTCTTTTGTTCTGGACAAAATAGATAGATTTGCAAGATCGATCCTATCAAATGTATAAGATACAAGAGTACATGCTCTTACGCCCTTTTTTAATTACTAGAATCATTAGTATTGGCTGTTTGGTATTTGGTATTTGGTATTAAAGTCATTGGATCTATCAAGTTATTTCTATTGGCTTATTAACTTTAGGTATTTACTTTTTTTCTTAAAGAACAAAATAAATTAAACGCCAAAAACAAATTTTTTATACATATTATGAAGATAAGCTTTTTTTTTTGCACCGTAAATCTACAGCTATAATAGGTTATCTTTCTGCTTCTGCTTCTGCTTCTGCTTCTGCTTCTGCTTCTGCTTCTGCTTCTGCTTCTGCCTCCGCTTGATATGAAGGACAAGGACAAGGATGGTGATATTGAAATGTACTCCATAAATTCTAAACTAAATAAATAAAAAGAAAGGTTATCAGGCACACATATACATACATATATAATTATTATTTTTTACGCCATTTCTGTACAATCTACGTCAAATTGGGTTTAACTCGCTTTATCATATATCTATATCTATAATGTGTGTTTATTTTTAGCCGCATGATATGTAAACGAGGCCAAATGGAATAAAATGATTAGCCAAAAAGGTTATTGCACTTTCAAGTATTTTGATAAGTAATTCCAAAATAATAATAATAAATAAATAGAAGTGTCAGTGTCAGTGTCAGTGTCAGTGCACCTGCTTGGACTTGCAAACCAAAAAGAAATAAAGGAGTACATGTATAGTGTACCTGTCTATCTGCATATATTTATACACATATTTGCTATTTAATTCTTAACAAGAAAAGAAAAAACTAGTGTCAAAAACACTTCTTTTTGGTATACATATATCATGTAATGTAATGTAATGGGATTAACAATAATAGTAATAATAGTGTACGTAGAATGGAATGGAATAGAATGTAAACGTGAATGTAGCAGAACAGAAGAGACGTGTGAAACGGGAACTGTTGCTTAATCAAGAAAGGAACCACACCTTGAAAGAATCTTATTCAAGAAAAAAAAATTAACCAAAATGGACCCAGTTCCCTCCTCTTTATTGAACCAAGAAAAAATAACTATCACTTTATTATTATTTTGGATTGATAAGGTCAAGGGTCTTGACGACCAGCCTTTCGGATGTTGTTTGGGTTGGACTATTGTCGTACTACATTACACCAACCCAACCTCAAGGTCACACCAAACTCCCAATTATCGATAAAAATCCAAAGAAAAACAATTATCCACAACCAATAAATCCCATAATATACCACACCAATACATACCATAACTGGGGCCCTATTGTTGCGTCACACCTTGACCAATATATATATATATATATATTTCTGTGTATGTGCACCTTTACATATATCTCCGTCATCAAATTCTGTACAACCTTTTAAGGATGCGCGCGTGCGTATCCGGCTTAAACGATAACCAAAAAAAAAGAAAAAAAAAAAAAGACAATATATAATCAATAGACAAAATGTGTACAAGGGTAAAGAAAAGGAATCAAATCAAGCATAAATCAGAAATGAAGGTTAAAGAAGTTCAAAACAAAAAACAAAAAATATAAGAGTTTGGTTGTTTAGATTTAGGCTGCCATGTAAATGTTATTGACATCCTGGATGTGGCTACGGCACCAGTTCAATTTCTTGGCAATTCCACTCTCAAGGTCGTAGGCCCAGGCATGGACAGTCAACTTTTGTCCCTTGCTCCAGGCATTTTGGACAATGGTCGAGTGGCAGACGTTTTCGGCAGAGCTGATTGCGTTGAATTCGATCAACTGACGAAGGCGCAAGGTTTCATCCTTGATCTCCTCTAATTCTTTACGGTGCACTAGAAATTGGCCATAATTTATTTATTTATTATTATTATTTTCCCACGTAATAAATACACAATTTCTTTAAAGTACTTACGTCTATAGACATCCTTGATGTTTCGTAACCAGTTATCAATCAAACCATACTGGTGATGACCATAAGCAGCAGTAACACCACCACAATTATAATGACCTAATTTATTTTTGCAAAAAAAAAAACAATTATTATTAATATTGACCTTTTCTTTTATATAAATAAATAAATAAAGTAACTTTACCACAGACAATGATGTGCTCAACCTTCAGTACCTCTACTGCATACTGCAAAACAGATAAGCAGTTGAGATCCGAATGGTTGACTACGTTGGCAATGTTTCGGTGCTCAAAAATTTCACCAGGACCAAGTTGGACAATTTGGTTGGCTGGTGCACGCGAATCTGAGCAGCCTATATATATATTATATTTTATATTACAAAAAAAAATTAATATTAATATTAAAAAAAGTTTAAAATAGAATATATATATATAAACTTACCAATCCAAAGAATCTTGGGTTCTTGCTTGACAGCAATGTGCTTAAAGAAATCAGGGTCTTCTTGTTCAACAGCTGCAGCCCAGCGACGGTTGTTGTCCAAAAGACCATCAAGGTTTACATCAAGAGGGTTGAATTTATTGACAGTGGCGGTGGCACTGACAGGCGAACGATTTTCGGTCTGATCAACTATAACAATACAATACAATATAAATTAAATTAAATTAAAATCAGATAACAGAAAAATAAAATAAAATAAATTACGATTATGATTTGCATTGTGATTTGCATTGTAATATTACATGTATATACACATTTGAAACAAACTTACAGCAGGCAACACCATCAGTATGGACGTGTTCAGGACCACCGTTGATAACAAGGGGATCTTCTTCAGGCTTGGTAGATTGGACAATAAGAGGAGGCATTTTGGATGATTGAGTTGAAATAAGAGTAGAAAGAAAGAAAGAGAAACGAAATTATTTCTCTATTTAAATAGATTATCCAGATTCAGTTTCATCCGTATTGGAAAATGAGAAATGACCATCTTTAATGCCCATTCGAAATAAGCTTATTTTTTATTTTTTTTCTTTTTTTTTTTCTTGTTCAATGATTAGTCGGGATTCCTTGCTATTAATTTTTGTTTTTTTTTTTTTTTATAATAAAAATAAAAGCACGTTTAAATACTTTACACACAAAACAAGAAGGCACGTTTCCAATCAGGTAACAAATCTCCACCACAACCATCACTAAAAAAAAAAACTTTGTCCATTATTCTTTTATCCACCTATTCTTCTCAGCTTCCCATAATATTTAGGCGTAAATTAAAGAAGTATAATAAAGAGAATAAATGAGACGCAAGGTTGATTTTTACCCATATAAATAAATATATTAAATTATCACCAAAAGAACATAATATTGGTTTGTTGTAATACTACTAATATACTTAAAGTCTTTCTTTATTATTCTATATTACTATCATACTATTGAATGACCTAAAAAAAAAAGAAATCTTGAGAATGTCTCCTGTTCAAAGATAGTAATCTTTATGTATCCAAGGTATATATTTTTCATTTATTTATTTTATATATATAAAAAAAACCGGATGTTGGTTTTTCCATATAAAAAGAATCAATATAAAATAAATAGGTCAAAAAAAAAAAGGAAGAAAATTTGATCAAGTTGATAATTTGATTTCTCTTTCTTTTTTTTTTTTTTTTTTTTTTTTTTATCCCGAAATTTCTTATTTACCCCCATTTTCCCTAGTTGTTCCAGACTTCTCAGCCACTCACAAATAAGTTCAATTGTCACACACACACATAGAAAGAATGGTTTCAATAAATTCAATAAATGAACCAACGAGTAATAATTACTGCTATATATTTATACCTACACTCTTTATATAAATGTAGCTATGTAGCTATGTAGCTATGTAGCTATGTAAGAAAAGAGAATAGCCAAGAACCGGGACAAATAGGAACAAGAACCAAAAAAATAAAAAAAAAATAAAAAAAAAGCATGTTCACCAAAAGAAGATGCAAAAAAATAAAATAAAATAAAATTAGGAAAACTAGTTGGGTCTGGAGATTCATTTCATTATTACAGCATAGATGTTATTATTAGTCTATTGGAAGATTCATATAAATAAATCAATTTCTGTTCCTGCGTATGCCTAGTTTGAAGGTGACCATGGGAGCAGTAAAAAGATTATCATATTTTATTCTATCCCATTCTATTCTTTTTGTGGGCTGTATTTACTGTATTAGGCACCAATTCACACCCAAAAGGCACTTTACAGATATCCATATAATAAAAAGGCCCCATATACCAAATGTTAAACACATTGACAGAGACAAAATAATAAAAATAAAAAAAAAAGTCATTTGAATTCAATGCAATGCAATTCAACTCTCCTTTGCCCTTTTATTCCTAATACTTCTTTAAACTTCAATTTTTTCAAGACACACAAATATATATATATAAAAACTTTAATGATATTTAGGTTAAATCGTGATAAAACGTGTTTGTTGGTTTACTGGTTTCTTGTTCAAACAGGAATCCAACGTCCCAGAACCTGAGCTGGAGGTCATGGCCGCAGCTACCTAGAAAGTCCTGTTGGGCAGTCATCCGGACTCTCTCGACCGGGAAATCCTCGCCATGGTCCCCCAAGACTCCCTCAAACCGTCTCTTGGGCACTATTGTGACCAGTCGAAGAATCCCGTCACTACCGCCCGTACAAATAGTCTCCTCGTCAAGCTTGCATTGACTATCAACCGAACTTGGGTGGCCAACCCACCGATCAGGGCCTGACGGAGGTGTCTTTGTCTTCCACTCGCCCCACTGCCACAAATATAGTGCGCCACTCTGGGACCCTGCCACTACTTGAGTACCATTCTAAAGAGAAAATTTTCAGTTTGAATCAGATTGGGTTGGATTATTTTTATTGTACTACTACTATAACAACAACAACAATGACAACAATGACAATAAAAAAAAAAGAGAGAGAGAGCAAATCTAATGGTCAGATTTTTTTTTGTTAGGGTTACCTTGAGAATACTTAGGCACAACAGCTCATCTTCTACAGGCTCCGGTGGTCCAGTCGGTTGATCCGCTCTTAGATCATGAACCGATAATCGGCCATCGCCTCTATTTATTTGAATATTCGAATATCCATCAGTAAATATCTCGGTTAACAGAACCACTTACAGATACATATAGTATTAATATACTTGTATATATATATATATATATATATATATATGTGTGTGTGTGTGTGTGTAGTGTGTATCAGCAGATAATCAATTAATGTGAAATAAAAAGAAAGTTACCCTGCCACAACCAAACTTGGTCCCTGACCAGGATTGTAAACCATATCTGCTATAAAATCTTCATGGACCTTGTATTCCTTGACCGCCTTTTGAGTCCTTTGATCCCATATCTTTTATATACACATATTTTATTAGAATAATGATAAGAGCCTAATATACTATGATTTCATTTTAATAATCATGCTCACCTTTACCACACCTTCATCATCACCAGTAGCCATCATATTTTCATCCATTAAGCACATCTTATTGATAGGATACCTTTATTATTATCGTTGTTGTTTTTAAAGAAAAGAATGAATGATAATAATAATAATACTAATACTAAATGTATATTATTTATTTACTTGTGTGCTTTTGGCATTCTCATCAATAGTCGTCCTGTCTGTACATCCACCTTTTGAATGGACCGGTCTCTGGATATAGATATCAAAACTAATTTCCCACACACACACACAGAGAGATAGTTTACAGGCATTTCATGTATAAATACAAAAAATTGATCATAGATATCTGATAAAGTCCCAATACATGCAAATTACCTGATCCTTCTGGTGTAAATTCAACTCCTCTACAAGACTTTTTTGATAGTTGAGTCGACCACAATTGTTGGTTTCCTTCAACACCATAACGATAACTAACAATTGTTGTTATTCAATTTGAGATTTCAATTCTTTTTATTATTATTATTATTATTTACCAATGTACATGACCAGTTATAAGCCCTGCCACCAAAAGTGATTCCTTTGGATGGAATGCAAAGTCAAATACATGGTCATCTAACGGAATCGGCTCAGGTACTTGCATTTCAATAACAAAGTAGTATTAATTGTAAAAAAAAATAAAAAAAAAATAAAGGTAAATTGTAATTATAATCGCAATGGTAATTTCAAAAGGAGAGAATAAATGAATTGCTACGGTTTACATTCGCACATGCAATAAACACTCACACACACACACACACACACACACACACACACACACATATATATATATATATATATATATATACACTATTACCCTCTCTCTGTCTCTCTTTGCATTCCAAAACTCATTATATACACAATCACACATCAATTCATTTCGTTTTGTATGTGCTATAAACTAGTAAATATTTCCAAATATAGATATAAATGACAGGCGCTTTTAATAGATAGTGGCAAAAAAAAGCATTGTATCGAGCGCTATGGAGGCTATTGTTTTCATATATATTTCAATATTGAAACATCATAATAAAAAGGATTGCAGTATAGATAATAACTGTCACAACAGTTGGAGTAGTAGATATATATTGTGCTTGGTTATAAGTGAATAGCTATTTTCTTATATGAAAAAGAGACGGACAGAGAATACAGACAGAAACAAGGGAATAAGAATGATTATGCACTTGTATGTATCTACTTGCAGTACATCCTACCAAAAGTACAGTTCTTTGATGTCCACACAACAGGGTGTACTAGATAAGCCACAAAAGAGATTGCTTGTAACATGTGGTCGAACCGGGAACCTTCTGTCTGGAAGATGGTGTTATTATACCGGATCGTTTTCTCACCACTGGCCTTCATGTCTTGATAGAGTGGTGTCGACTACAAGAAAACGGCTGCTCTCCAAACTTTTGCCGGACTTGTGTTGCCTTTGATATAATCCTTGACATGGCACATCCTACGAACTAAACTCAAGTGGATTGTGTTGGACTCGTCAAGATTACGAATTAGTGAAGAAACTATTGTCTACGTTAACTGGAGCATCTAATACGCCGCCTTTGCTTCTGCATTGCCTAGTTAATCCTTTGTGTATCCAAATTGATTGAGAAACATGACAAGGGAAGACGAGTCTTTCATCTAATCTTGTAAGATCATCAAGAAAAACGACATGATCAGGAAAATAAAGTCCATTAGATAGAAAAAGCTTTGGAGTTATTTTTCTTTTCTTCAAGATATTCTTGCATGTGAAGTATAACGGGATTTGATCAACTGTTAAGCTATTCAGAAAAGCAGTTGTGATATGTTGCTTGTCGATTGTCCAGAAAGTTTTTCAGACAATATTATCATCACAACCCAAAGTTTCTTTCAGCGTGCTTCTTTCAATTATAGACATTTCTTTTTGGAAGAAAAAAGACATCCACAATAGCCGGATACAGCAGTAGGCCCCTTTCTGATCATAGTTTCATAATCACTCCAGTTATTTGTTTCCACTTCTTCGTCTATTCTATGTCTTATTGTCACTCTTTTGGCGTCTTTGATAGACTGTTGGGGAGTTACGTTGGTATTCTCGATATACTCTGTCCAATAAATCGGATTCTTTTATTCTGTTTCTATTACTTGAATTTGCATCGCTTTCCGACAATTACGTAGGGATTCTCTCATGTATTACTGCCTTTACTTTTCTTTTCTTTTCGAGGATGAGTGTAGATTTAGAGATTCTTCATTTAATAATATTGAATACGGATAAGAGTAAGAGTAAGAGTAAGAAATAAGTAAAAAAAAAAAATTAAATTCACGTGACCTGATGAATTTACATCTTTACTGGTAACAAAGAAAAGAAAAAATCAGTTACAGTTTTTTCATTGCTAAAAGTGTTACAGATTTCGCCTTTCAACTTTGGTTTTCTAACTCAGAAAACTCCATCTAGAATACCAAAAAAAAAAAGCCAAGAACATTGATATTAACTACAATAACCATAATTATTATCATAATTATACACGACAAAACAAAATAGAACATCATGTAACATCATATCATATAATATCTATTTTATAAATGTACGCTAATTGGTCTTACAATCTCTATAAACATCTATATAATTCATCTATTAACGATATTTTATAGTACACTGCTTTCATATATATAAATATATATCTAATACTTACAAACACAGGCAGAAGATGACCATTTCAGCAAACCAAAAGTACAAGTCAAAGAAATAAAGAAGTATTAGCAGTAGTAGGTGGTAAGTATGTAATGGTAAATATGAATCTTTTTCTTTGCTGGTTAATAAAGTGATAGATACATATATATTGTTTGACCTCGAGCTGGAATACTGACGTCAGTTTCTGTAGACAGCCAGGAATACTAAATTTGGAAAAGAACCCCGCGCATCTGCCCTCACACACGCAGACACAAAAAAAAAGAAAACGAATTTAAACCTGCTTTATTATTAGAAGAAAAAAAGACCAAAAAAAAAAAGAGCGGATAATATTATTGTACTTCTTTAACCACTCTCCCCTCTTTCTTTCTTTCTTTCTCTTTCTGTCTTTCCCTTTTATATATAAATATTAAAGAAAAAAATATATATCTACAAACATAATATTGTACCACAATTATCTTTATCTCTAACCATAGAGTAAAAATAAAAATCCCCAAAGAAAAATGTCATATCTCTCTGCAGACAAGGCAGAATCTGAGCTTGCTCAAAGTATAAAAAAAGCTACCAGTATAGAAGAAACTGCCCCCAAACAAAAACACGTACGAAGTAAGTTACTTCTTCATTTAATATATATATATATACAAAAGAAAAAATAAGACTAAACCTTGCTTATTCCACAACGAATGTTTTATACTGTTATATAAATGTATTATTTCTTTTGAACCACTTTAGAATGTATCGTCTACACTTGGGATCATCGTACCTCTGCTGTCATCTGGAACATTCTGAAGATTCAGCCTTTGTTGTCTGATGAAGTTCAGACCTTCAAAGCTCTTATTACTGTCCATAAGATCATCAAAGATGGTCATCCAAATGTAAGACCCCCTTTTTTTTCTGAAATGAAACAGGAATTCTTTGCAAAGTAAACTTGTAGAATAATATAATAAAAAAATTAAATTGACTGATTGTGTGTGTGTGTGTGTGTGTATATATATGTGTATGTATGTATAGGTCATCAAAGATGCTCTCCGGGAAACTGGATGGTTAGAAGCATGCGCTCGAAGTGTGAATGGTGATGGTGCTAGAGGCTATGGAACTTTAATTCGCAATTACGTCGACCTTTTACAACATAAACTTCAATACCATCGCGAACATTCCGAGTTCAACGGAACATTCGATTACGAAGAATATATCAGCTTAAAAAACATTGACGATCCAAATGAAGGGTGAGGAAGAAACAAAGAAACAAAGAACAATAAAGATGGTGTGGTGTGGTGTGATGAGATATTGCTATCATTATTATAGCTATAATTATAATTATTGCAAAACTAATATTTTATATACAAACTTGTGTGTGTGTATGTGTGATTGTAGATTCGAAACCATCAATGATTTAATGGTACTTCAGGACCGTATCGATCACTTCCAAAAGGTTGTATTTGCAAGTTTCCGCATGCACACAAACAATGAATGCCGAATTGCTTCTCTTGTTCCCTTGGTCGAAGAGAGCTACGGTATTTACAAGTTCATCACAAGTATGCTCAGGGCCATGCACAAGAGTAAGTTAATTCTCAGTCATAAAGACAGAATTCATATATAATACACTACACAATTGTATTAACCAAAAAAAAAAACTATTAGGAACCGATGCAATTGATGCACTTGAACCTCTTCGCCAAAAATTCAATGCTCAGCATTACAACTTACTCAAATTCTACTACGAATGCTCCAACCTCAAGTACCTGACCAGCCTGATCAATGTACCCAAACTCCCCCCAGACCCGCCGTCCTTGATCGATAGCAACACTCCCCAGCTCCCCAAGCGTCCTGTTGCTGCCATTCAGTACGAGGGCGGCGGTGCTTCCAGCCCAGCCCCACCCCCACCTGTCCAGCCTTCGCCAGAACCAGTCATCGATTTCTGGTCTGAGCAGCAGGCCAAGCAGAGGCGCGAGTATGAAGACCAGCAGCGCCGTCTGCAGCAGCAGAGAGAGGAGGAACAGGAAAGAATGCGACAGCAGCAGTCCCAGCAGCAGCGCGAGTTTGAGAACCAGCAGCGCATGTTGGCCGAACGCGAGAGACAGCAGCAGGAAGAACTGATGAGACAGCAAATGCATGGTCAGCAGTCGGCTAGAATCAACGAGCTGGAAATGCAATTGCTCAACTATCGCAACCAACTTGAACGTGATCAAATGCTTCTTGAGCAATATGACAGAGTATGTAATCCAAAGAAGAAGAAGAAAAATTAGAAAAGGACATGGCTTGAGAGAAAGAGAGGGAGATTATGTAAAAAAAAAAAAAATACATGTATATTTACTTTTTTTTTGCCTGTTTGTTGTAGCGTGTCAAAGCTCTGGAACAAGAACTTGGCCAAGTCAATTCCAACTCACAGTTGAGAGATGCTTCCAAGGATGAATTAATCAGATCCCTTCAGAGTAAGTAAATTTAAGAGGCTCATCTATAAATTTTTTTTCTTCTTTTTCTCTCTCTTGTGCGTGTGTGTGTGTGTGATTTATGTACCAGCTTGGAATACATACACGAAACAGACATTAACTTTATACCTCTTTATTATCATAAATTTGGTAGATGAAATTCAGATGTGGAAGAACAAATACGAGGCTCTGGCCAAACTTTACAGCCAATTGAGAAAGGAACATATCGACCTGTTGAATAAATACAAGCAGCTCCAGGTCAAGGCCAACGCTGCCCAGGAAGCAACCGAAAAGGTTGAACGTATCCAGGCCGACATGCGTGCCAAGAATGTTGAGCTTGCTGATCTCATTCGTGAGCGTGACAGAGCACGTAACGAACTTGCAAGAATCCAGGGAGTAAGCCAAACTAAAAAAAAAAAGGATAGATAATTAGAGAATTCAATGTTTATATGTGTTTGTTTATTTATTTATTTTCAAAAAAAAATTATAGAGTCAACGTGATGAAATGGATCGTTTACGCCGTGAACTTGATGAAGCCAGATCGCGTGTCCAGGATGCTGGTAGATCAAAGGGAGATGAAGTCAGTGCTTTGTTGACTAAATTCAACCGAGAAAAGGCCGACATGGAAGCAAGTTTAATGGAGAAGCAGGCTCTGATTGATGAGTTCCTCAAACAGCTTGAAGACCAGCAAAGTGAAGCCGATAGAATTAGACAGGTAAGCTAATAATACATACATACACAATATATCTCTTTAGTTAAGGGATATTGTATAGTAGTAGTAGTAGTAGTAGTAGTAGTAGTAGTAGTAGTAGTAGTAGTAGTAGTAGTAGTAGTAGTAGTAGTAGTAGTAGTAGTAGTAGTAGTAGTAGTAGTAGTAGTAGTCGTAGTCGTAGTCGTAGTAGTGAAGTGTGCGCATTTATTTTCTTTGTATTGGTTAATTTATTCAATAATGGAATTATATTTTGTTTCTTTTCTTTATGGTAGGAAAAAGATGAAGAAATTGCTGTTCTTCAGGCCGGTATGGATGAGTGTCTTCAGCAGTTGGCCGCAATGCAACAGGTAAAGTATTCCGTACATAACCACGATCACAGTAGTAATGACTGTATTGTTGTTAACATTTGTAATGTATATCTCTCTCTCTAGGATGACAAGAAGCAAAATCTCGAAGATGAGTTGGAGCGTCTTGAGTATGAGCAATCTAATAAACTTAACCAGATCCTAGGTATGTGAATTTTTGTATTGAGATATTTGTGTTGTGCATGTCATTTATATATATATGTATGTATGTATACTAGATGCTATCTTGAGTACATGTATTCAAAAGATCAACGACGGTGTTTATGAGCTCGAACTACCCAACCAGCACGGAAATGAAAACACAACTCCTGAACTGACATTGTCGATGATTGAGAGAGCAAGCATTACGTCTGTCGAATTCATGTCTGCGTTCAGCAAGTTTATGGATGGCAGCAACTCGGGTGACTACACCGTCACTATTACACGCGCGATCGGGTTCTCGGACACGATTATCGATGTGCTTGTGCACTCTAAGGGCATCACCCGCCTGGTTCTCGAAGACGAGGACATTGAAGAGATCATCAAACTTGCACGCCAGTCTGCCGAGTCGTGCATCCAGTACTTCAGCAGCGTGATGTCCAACTATCTCAAGATGCTTTCTCCCGCCCAGCGCCCCGAAGTTGTGATCCAGGGAGACATGCGGGTACAGGAGTCCCTGACCCGGCTGTCCCAAAAGACCGAGGATCTGATCCTGACCGGCGCAACCGATCTGAACAAGATGGCTGACGGAGAGGTCGGCGACCTTGTGGAGCAGGAGATGTCGAACGCGGCACGTGCAATCGAGGAAGCGACCTCCAAGATCCAGGATCTGATGCGCCGACCAGCCCACCCTGATTTCAGTGCGACCGATATCCAGGTCCACCAGCTGATTCTCAACTCAGTTCTGGCCCTGACAAATGCGATCGCCAATCTGATCAAATGTGCCGTGGCATCGCAGCAGGAAATCGTCTCACAGGGCCGTGGATCGTCCTCCAAGGCTGCGTTCTACAAAAAGCACAACCGCTGGACCGAGGGATTGATTACGGCCGCGAAAGCCGTGGCAGTTGCTACCAATCTGCTGGTCGAGGCTGCGGACGGCGTGATCAGCAAGACCCATTCGCTGGAGCAGCTTATCGTGGCATCCAATGAAGTGTCGGCCGCCACAGCCCAGTTGGTGGCTGCCTCGCGCGTCAAGTCGACTTTCATGTCACGTGCCCAGGAGCGTCTGGAGATGGCAGCCAAGGCAGTCAAAGACGCAGCGGCAGAGCTGGTCAAACAAGTCAAGCAGCTGGTTGCGCAAAAGGCGAACAGCGATGACCTTCGAATCGACTTTAACAAACTATCGGTTCACGAGTTCAAGCGTCGTGAAATGGAGCAGCAGGTCAAGATCTTGAAGCTAGACTCCGAGCTGGTCAATGCACGCCGTGTTCTGGCCGAAATGAGACGAAGTGGATATCACACTGGTAAGAGAAAGAGAAAGAGAAAGAGAAAGAGAAAGAGATAAAGAGTCTATATATATATATATATATATACATGTGTGTATATGGATATTTATACTGATACTGATACTGGTACTGATGCTGGTGCTGATAACTGACAATATTACATTATTTTTATTATCATCTGTAGAGGAAACGGATTAATATTTACACTTGGCAGACTCTCCCATATCCTCCTCGCCTTTTATTCTTCTTTTATAGCTTGTGTACAATCCTCCTCTTTATCCCCCCCCCCTCCTCCTCCTCCTCCTCCTCCTCCTTCTCCTTCTCCTCCTCTCATCTACTCTCCTCTGCTTTGTTCTTCCTTGACCTCTTTACCCTTCAATTCCTATTTATCCTACTCTCTCAGCAATGCACGCAACATTTTTCATCTTCATCCATTGAGAAATATTTTATACACAAAAGAAAGAAGAAAACAAAAACAGACAAGACAAGAAATAAATAAATAAATACTGCTACAACCTCTTTATATATCTATACCCTGTTGTTGTGGTCGTCTTTCTTTATTATTATTATATCAATTTAAATTGATACTTGTATTAGGCATCTAATTAGTGTTGTAGGTTCTGTAGACCAATTACTCTACAAGACCTTTATTTGTTGTAATACCATCTCCCTTTTTAGTTATTCGCTAAGAGGTAAGAGGTGATCTTAGAGCTTCTTAGAGCAATCGATTATATATAGATTTATGTTCAACAATGAAAAACATAATAATAATAAAAGACGTGTAGGTAAGATACGAGATATTTTGTATTGGTTTTATATACATGTTATATATAAATAATGGTATATTTTTTTTATATTCATCTGCTACTTTATTTTTTTTTATAACAAAAACTATAGATATATCATCTTGGTTTTTCAGTGGTATATATGTATATATGAGCTAATAAATAAATATAGAGTATATGTTATATATCGATATCTATATCTATGGGGCATAGATGACACGGAGGGTGTTGGTGTTACCCAAGCCATTCTTCCATCCCTGAATGGCAACGATAGACTGGCCATGCTGTACCAAGCTAATGATTGTTTTGAAGAATAAATATTAGAGTCAAAAATAAACGAATGAAAAAATTAAAAAAAAAAAAAGACTTACCCGTATTTGATGGCCTGCTCCATACCCCAGACAATTCGGGCATCTACATCCTCTTGCCATGGTGCAGTCTCGGCAGGGCTGAGGTGAGAAAGGTTTCCGCCAAAGGGAGACAAGAAGTGGGACTGTGTGACTGGGGTGGCAGAGGCCTTTTTGTAGTGGAAGGGGAAGCAGCCGCGGTAGAGATGGACCTGGCGGGCGGTCTGGGCATTTCTGGTGATGACAATGATAGGCACCGATGGTCTGTATTTGGATACCAGACGGGCAGAGTCACCAGAGGTTGTCAGGACAATGATGGCACCGGCCTTTTGCTCATGTGCGGCACTGACCGCAGCACAGGCAACGGTCTCGGTGGTCTCGGTGGGCAGAGATGTGAGAGAGCGCAATTCGTTAAAGTGGGCAGGGTAGCACACAACAGACTCAGCCAAAAGACAGATGTCGTGCATAGTACGCACAGCCTCGACAGGGTATTTGCCCTTGGCAGTCTCGCCAGAAAGCATCACGCAATCAGCACCATCAAGAACAGCGTTAGCTACGTCAGATACTTCAGCACGAGTGGGTCTGGGGTTGTACTATTGGAATCATCATTAAATAAATAAATACGATTAGTTTTTTTCTTTCTTTCTTTATTTGAATATATATACAAGGGTTTATGTACTTACTGTCATGGACTCCAACATCTGTGTGGCACTATAGGAGTAAATACATTACAGTACAACATTATGCACATTTTGTTTGTTAGTTAGTTACACCTCTTCTTCATATTCTTCTTATTAATTAATTAACAACCACTGCTTACCAGATTACAGGCTTTCCGGCCAGGTTACACTTGGCAATCATAGACTTCTGGGCAATAAAGACACGCTCAAGAGGAATCTCGATACCCATATCCTAAAATAAAATAAAATAAAATGGTTTAATTCTTTGTTCCACCAACTCTTGATCAATACCACTAGTTATAATTCACCGTCCATTATATATCTTTATACGCGTATGTATTCTTCCCAGCTATATGTACATGATTATAGACGAGCAATAGTAATTCTAATGTTATGAAGCAATGATATAATATAAAAACTTCTTTTTTTTTTAACTTACACCTCTGGCAACCATGATACCATCAGCTTCATGAAGAATGTCATCAAAGTTTGCTACACCCTGGTGGTTCTCAATCTTGGCAATGACGAGGATACGCTTGCCTGCCTCACCGAGAACTTCTCTGATGTCCTTGACGTCCTGGCCACGTCTGACAAAGGATGCGAACACGATGTCGACCTTGTTCTTGACACCGAATTCGAGGTCAGCCTTGTCCTTTTCGGACAGAGCAGGCAGATCGACGTCGGTGCCGGGCAAGTTGACACCCTTGTGAGAGCAGAGTTTGCCGTTGTTGATTGCACGCACCCGCAGGGAGTCTTCCTCGACTTCCAATACTTCAAACGAAAGCACACCGTCATCGACATAGATGATTCTGCCGACCTCGATAACCTTGGTCAGGTTCTTGTAGTCGATGTACATCACTTCTCCGTCACAGATGTCCTGGAACTCCTCATTGGTGCTAAAGGTCATCTCGTGGCCAGCAGAGATAGGAACCTAAGTGTGTATAGATAGATATATATATTACCAGACAAAGACAAGCGAAGGAGAACAAATGATTTTTGTTAATAAAAGACATTATCCATCATAACTCTCTTTGAGACTTGTATGAATTGTAGTAGTCTAGAGTTTTTCTTATATAGCGTTCTTTCTTTTCTTTTCTTTTTTTACTCTTTTCTTACCTCTTCACCGTCTCTCATGTTACCAGTACGGATTTCAGGACCCTTGTTGTCCAAGGCAATGGCGACAGGACGGCCGGGGTACACTATAGAACATTCTCCGATTAGTCTAGTTCGTGTTACATAGACGCAAAAGCCAACATACGTTCGAAACTGGTGCGAGTGTTATCAATCACAGATTGATGGTACTGTCAAAAAAAACAATGAAAACGTTATAAATTCAAAGTGTTATTTTTTTAAGATGAGTATTTGATTTGATTTGACTTTACCTCGTAAGATCCGTGAGAAAAGTTCATACGGACAACATTGAGACCAGCATTACGGAGCTCGGTAATCATTTCAACGCTGTTTGTGTTTGGGCCTATAGAAGAACAAGATATACAATGAGAAAGAGAATTGATGTATTTATCAAACAATTTTCTATGTTTATATCAGTTTGTACCAATTGTGCCAATAACACTGGACTTTCTGCCAGCAGTGGGTTCGATATCAACATCCATTTCAGAGATCCATTGGACCTTGGAGGAAACTTCGGGAACAGCGCGAGTCATGATATGTGAGATGTATTGAGTGAGTTGGTGGTATGTAATTAGATCAGTCCAGTAACTGAGAACGAGATGTTAAGGACAAGTATCGTAAAGAATCAAGAAAAGAAGAAGAAAAAGAAAAGCTTTGTAAAAAAACCATTGACTATTTAAGCTAATTTTGGTTTTGGTTTTGGTTTTACAGAAAATAAAAAATAAAAAATAAAATATCATTCAGTCAATCGATTAATCAATCAATCAATCAACTGTTTTTATTTTTATTGGAATCATTTTCTTTACTATCTCACTATCTTAATTTCTGACTTGATTGGTTAATTGATTGGCTGATTATTTACACACTTTGTACACATACACACATATATACAAATGTACTGTAATAAAAATTATCACCATAGTAACCTTGGAATTTGTCTGTAGAAGTAGTACAGTCATCACAGATTCCTTTTTGCTCATAACCTTCTTCTTCTTTTTATTATTATTATAATTTTTGGTTTGAGGTACCCAGTGGACAAACGATTGGGTCAAAAAGTGTCAAAGCCAAAAAATAAAATAAAATATGATCTTTCTTTCTTTATGTTAAAATTACTATTACTACTATTAATAATAATATCATTCGTTATTTTATTTAATAAATAAATAAATAATAAGATTGACATTTGAAATACTTTTACAATATCAAATATACAATTGATTCATGGTAGACCCCGTTCATGCTAAAGTTTTTTTTTTTTTTAACTTGAAAAACGTTTGAAAATTATTATTGATTTTTAGTTAAAATATATATACACGTATATCATTACAATTCAGTGTATTGGAATTGACTAGATACTTTCAATGCATTATTCTTCAACTAATTAAATTAAACATAGTAATAATCATAATAATATATTACAATATAGTGACATGTTTTTTTTTTGGTTTTGGGTTTTGGGTTTTGGGTTTTGGGTTTGGAAAGAATACAAGGCAAAAAAATTGTATGATCAGATACGAAATCCAAATCCAAAACCAAAATCAGAAAGAAAGAAAAAGACACATGGTTTCCCAGGGATTTATATGATTATTTATGGACCCGATTGAAATATACATCTACATATTATATACAAATTGAAGCATACGATTTCTACCTTTCTTTTCTATTCTATTCATACAATTTTGGCTAACTACATGTACACCGTATAGGCTATAAATGATTTGGCTTCTTTAATGCATTTCAACTTGACTTGGATTATTTGAGCTTAGTTTAGTTTGATGTAAATCGTGGGTATATGCTTCCTGGTTAATTTTATATTACCTGTATAAATAAATATCTGTCCTACCATCACCATTAATGACCCCCCCCCCCCCCCAAAAAAAAAAAAAAAAAAATACATATATATACATATAGATAATACTATTACTTCAATCATCATTGATATCAATATCAACCAGGCCTATCATATAAATATAAATACATAAAAATTGATCCTAACTGATTGAATACCCCCCCACCATCTATTGTATTCATTTCTCTTAATTAAACAGATATACACCATAACAATAATCCCAATGTTAATGATAATTGCAGCAAAGGTCCCAGGCCTTCATTCTTCACTTTATTATTATTTATTAATTAAAACGATGTGGGTGAACACAAGAGCAACAGTTCCAAAAATAAAAATAATAAAGTGTGTTGCCCTGTCTTGACTTAGGAATCCTCAACAAAGCACAAACTAAAAATATATATAAAAAAAAGGACAATTGACCTCTCACAACAAATCACAAGACCCAATTACTGCTGTACAAATAATAATAATAATAATAAAAAAGACCCTTTTTTTATTATATAAAAAATAATTCATTCATTCAGTTACTTGATCATTCTATAGTTTATGCCAGCAAACCACAAATCCCAACTATGCGGTTTTTCTCTATCTCTTTCCATTATTATTAAGAAAATCTGTCGGTGACCCGGGCCAATATCAAATATATATATTTTAATAGATAAATAGGTTAATCGGTAGGTTGTATCATCAATATACTTAATTGTCCGGTCCGCACATTTATTTCATATGGTAAATACAATACATCTACAAAAGCTTATTTTGTTTGTTTAATATAAAGCTACCATGTCTTGTTTTGTGGTAAATCTCTAATCTTTCCTCAATTTTACTATAAGAAATCCAAGTGCTATAGATATCTTTTTTTTTATTTGAATAAAACACATAAACAAATTATGATATTACTGATCTATAAAACTCTTGCTCGTAATAGAAACAAGGAAGTAATTATACAAGACTAGAGGGTGTTTCCAGATCAAAGTAATAATACCATGTCCAAACCAAATATCTAATTATATAAAATGAGCAATTTCAAAAGCGACTCCAAAAGAAGTGTTTTTTTTACCCCATTATTGTCTATATTTTTAAGTTAAATAGCTCTATCACTATACACGTAAAGAGATATCAGAGGTAAAGATTGAATCAAAATGTTTCCTTTCTTATTAATACCAATTCCCTAAAGAAAATACCTACAACCCATGAGTAGCCAATCAAAATCATATTGCTCTTTAATAAAAACTTGGTCATTGAGAAATAAGAATACTTGTTTGACAATAAAGGAAAAAAAAAACAACATTTCCGGTAATCACTATAATAATACTAAACAATCTGAATACTCTTGCATTTGATATTAGCAGTTATATAAATAGAGAACACATTGAAGTTCATAAGAGACTACATGCGCACTAGTAAAAGAGAAAAAAGAGGTTCTCCTGGGGTTTCGCTGAGAGACTCTCCAAGCGGCGTCCAATGTGTGCAGAAATTTATTTTCTGACCCCCTCTTGCTCCTCCTGCCAGCTATTGAATATTATGCACTACGGGGGAAAAAGTGGGGTTTTATGGCTGTTTTATGGCGGTTTGACAAGGCGGCTTTATGGCGTTATTTTTTTTTTTCATCTCACAAATCTGGATAACAATTTTCATTTATCAAAATGCAAAGTTCCCCCGCAAAATTATTTGTCACATTTGCTAACTTCATAGTGTTATCTGGTTATCTAGTTATCTAGTTTAAGGCTAATAATTTTACCATTAGTTACCAATAAATTACAATATATGATTGGTAACAAAATCAGGTTCCCATCAGATGAATTGACACGTCATCTGGTCATTATTCCAAAACAATTGAAATAATTTTTTTAGGGGATCTATATGGACATGCAAGAAAAATTAGGGTCGGACATGCAAAAAAAGACCAAAAGGGAGAATTAAACGTGACGTCACTTGTAATTGGCCTTTGGGAGTGTTACTGACAAATTGAGCACTGATAAGACATGCAAAAGCAACCAAATTGAAGAATTAAACGTGACGTCACCTATAATTGACTTTTAGGAGTGTTACCAACAAATTGGACACTGATAAGACATGCAAAAGCGAGCAAATTGAAGAACTAGACGTGACATCACATATAATTAGTTTTGCATGTTACACGCATTTTTTTGGGGGGTCAGCCTTGATATTTGTTAAATGTTTCAAAATTAATGTTGATTGTAAAAATATAAAAAATGATAATGAGATAGATATAAAAATAAAAATGAAAGATTGTAAAGAAGATAAATATAGAAATATAGAAAAATAGAAAGATAATAATAAATTGAATAGAAACAGAAGGGAATATTGATAATAGAGATAAATATAGAATCTAAAAAGTAAAAAAAAAATCTAAAAAAGATATATATGAAAAGTTAGTATAATTCAAGATAATTCTAGTTTAAAAGCCATACCTTGATTGTTAGTACATCAAAGAATAATCTTCAAGGCCATGTTTTTGAATTATTCTTTTATGAAAGGGGTTGATTTTTGGCCAGCAGAAATTTCGAGTGTTTTTGCGCTTGGCAAGAAGAAAGTGGTTTACATCTAAGATAATAATTATTGGTTCCACTTTTTCTGGCAAGGTAGCAAATGGAACAAAAAGACAGTCGCCTGTTTCAATTGGAGTATTCCAATATACAGCCACTGCTCTGCTAAATGTATTGGCTACAAGTTGAGGATGGTCGATTGTACTGAACCAATGTTGCTGGGGGAGAGGTGAGCGCTTGTCTTGGAGACTGCGAATTAGTGGGTTATTGGATGCAGGCATATTGCCATGCTCCATTCTTCCGTGGTAGTAGTTGTTTTGGTGCTTTAAAAATGTTTCTAGCATTTTGTCTTTTACTTTTGACCACTCCTCCTGGTCCTGGTACACTTCCATTGCTATCGCCCTGTACCCACAATTTCCGTCTGCTTCAGGAGAAAAGATTGTTGATATATGTTTTGGTGCGATTGTGAGATTTGTTAGTAATGTGGGATCGCATAGTAACCCAAGGTTGATAATATTTTTTATGGCTTTTTGCTCTTTAGCTGAGGATATTTTTTGCCTAGAAAACAAAGCAAAGATTTAGTAAATTAAATCTAAACAATATTAAAATCTTACTTTTTTTGTTCTTTTTCTGTTTTAATTTTTTTTGTGATTTTTTCTTTTTCGGTATTGATGCAATGCCCTAATGCAATCATCTTGCGCTTGGTATTTTTTGGTCGGCCTTTAATGGCTTCAACTACTGTTGGGCCCTTAAGGTTTTTGAGTTTCTGTGCGTTGATTTGTTTCAAAGTTTTTTCTATCCATTGGTATATATTGATTTGTTCTTGTTTGCTCTGAGCATTGGCAAAATGTTTGCAAATAAGCTCAAGAGCATAGTTGAATTTTGGGGTTATTGGTTTGATATTGTTGATGTTTGGGGGTACTGGGGTTGCATTTTGGATAGTTAAATGGTTTACATAATAAAATGTTATATGAGAAAATCGTCACGTAATTATTGCTATTATTACATATATTACTTTCTCCTTCTAGAGAGTTTTTTCTCCAGCGTCTTGGGATGCAGGAGATTGGGATAGTATCGAATTTGGCAAGTGTGTGGTAACAAGGAAGCAGGTAGTTGTATTGTATGAGGCATTTGCACTATTTGGCTAGTTTTTCGGGTATAATGGATTTGGATAATTCTAATTTGATTTGATCCATTGCAAATCTACAGACTTTAAGACGAATGTCATTTAGTCTGGCGGCATTGACTTTATCGAACACAATTTTTGTTCCTTCTCCAAGGCTTTCCACCATTAGCCGATGCTTGCGATCTGCAACCTGTACAATTTATAAATATATTATAACCAATAAATGCATAAAATAGTATAGAATAAACTTACCAACTCGTCATACCACTTTGTTACTTTAAGGGTAACTGTCTTCAGTTTACCTGAGGAAGTACCAAGAGAATGCTTGAGAGAAGCATGGGCACTTTCTGCACAGTCCGACATACAATTGCCAAAATGGGCATGTTTGTAAACATACATGTTCACCCAGTTTTCCTTGTCTTTCGTTTTTCTGATAAAGTATATTAAAAAAACACGATTTTTTATAGTTAAATACTGTTTACATCAAATTTAAAAAATTTATATATACTTCTCAAGAAAAGCACTAGCAGCTTTTCCCTGGTCTTTGCAATTTTCCTTTGCAAATTCAAGGTATCCATTTGTTTCGTTTTTTACTTCTTGATGTGTAATGCATTTTAAAGCAATTAGGTCAAGGGATTCTGACAGCTTATCCAACAGATCTCTCTTTTTGCTACTCTTATCTCCCTTCATCATCAGAAGCAATTGCTTTTTAAAGTTGTCTTTGATATGCTTATAGCACAACAACTGCTTCGACTCAGGAAAGACTCAAGTAATAGCATTTCTCAATGCTTTTTCATTGTCTGTGATGAAAACATCTGGGAGAAGTGTTGTTTGTTTGTTGTTTCTGCTGTTGCTGCTGTTGCTGTTGTTGTTATTGTTGTCATCGGGCCAGACTGCATCGCGAAGACAGCTAAGCACCCAGAGATAATTTTCTTCTGTCTCATGCTCTACCCAAGCACTGGCAATTGGATACGTCTTTAAAGTGGTACGAGGGTTTTCACTCACATTGCTAGTATCAACAATGTTGACCCAAGTCATTCGATGACTATTTGTCTTATATGTGACATCAATAATGACAGTCTCAGGCATTCTTCGTGCCTCATTGATCGCATCCTGATGCACAAAAAAGACCATATTCACTTGATTGTCTTCTGTATTACCGACAGAATACCTGACATGGAAGTCAAGATCTTGCAGAGTGGTGATAAAGTCAAACATCTCCTTTCCTTTTTCCGATTTTCCGAAATGTTGCTTTATATTAGCAATGTCATGGCAAACAATGTTTGTATATCCATTTATCTTCAAACTGTTGATGATGGTGAATACATCGTTATTGTTCCCCAGATGCTTAACTACAAGCGTCATTGCCTCAGGCAAGAGCTTGCGGTGCATAGCATATGCTCTGCAGTCTTCTTCAATGGGGTGGTTATGCTCTACCTCACAGGAGTGCACAGTGAGCTTTCCGCCCTTCTTGGTGTTGGTATACATGAAGCAAGGGCAGCCATGCTTCTGCGCGTCTTTTTCGCGCTTTCTCTCCCATCCAGAAAGAGTTTCATCCATAACTGATGTTTTGGAAGCAACCTTCTCAGCTTTTCTGGTATCTCTATATTCGCCAGAGTGCTTGCAAATCAATTTGATGCGAGAGCTTGATACATATTCAGTAGTGAGAGCAATGTTATGCTTGACACCATATGCCTTGGCAGCTTCTCGAACAGCTACAACTGAAGAGAATTCTCTTCCAACAAGAAAAATTGAGTTGAACTCAGTCAAGGCAGCATCGTACTTCTTCGACGTCTCGCTAACAATGACAAAGTCGTTGGTGTTGTTGATGTTGTTAATGTTGCTCATGTTAAATGTCAAAAAAAATTATGCACTGATATTGTAGTAAAAAAGGGCAGTGATTTAATTGGCAATCTGGAGGGTAATTGATCTGATCCCCCAAAAAAAATGCGTGTAACATGCAAAACTAATTATATGTGATGTCACGTCTAATTCTTCAATTTGCTCGCTTTTGCATGTCTTATCAGTGTCCAATTTGTTGGTAACACTCCTAAAAGTCAATTATAGGTGACGTCACGTTTAATTCTTCAATTTGGTTGCTTTTGCATGTCTTATCAGTGCTCAATTTGTCTGTAACACTCCCAAAGGCCAATTACAATTGACGTCACGTTTAATTCTCCCTTTTGGTCTTTTTTTGCATGTCTGACCCTAATTTTTCTTGCATGTCCATATCATTGCCCTACCAGAACTCATTTAGAGTATCATAATTCTTTACTCTTTATGCTTTTATTGAATTTAACAAGCAAATTAAACATGTACAACCCAAGCAAGTATACTATCAAAAGAAGACAGAGAACAGCTGTATCTCAGTTCTTACTGGATCACTTTTCTGAAGACGCTCCAATAAGTGGTTTGAATTATATTCCCACTAAAAAACCATCTGTTTCTGAGGTGGAATTTAATAGTCTTCGCCTACAATATACATATGCGCGTAAGAAGAGAGCAAGAACCATGGCTGTAGCCCCCATAGAAATGCCTTCCAAGAACATTGCTGCTTCTCAGACTGACTTGGATGTCGAAATTGATTTCAATACATATGAAGCCAGTCAGACCCAGAAAAGAAGTCTATACAACAAGTGGGTAGATTTGCTTCTTCAGTTAGCTGATTCCTTCCTGCGTTATCTTGGAAGATGCAAGGATGGCTGTCTGGATAAGAAGGTTATTGCTCCTTTGTCTCATTTCCTCTATTCTTGCACAAAGTTCTCTAAGAAAAACATCTACATGTTTTTTTTGCATTGTAAGCAATTGTTATTAATTTTTCAAAAAAAACTGCCCTTAGATTAATATATTAACATCTTATATGTGTACACAGTCTCAGGAATATTTGAAGTTGTTTTTTGCAGATGCAAGTCCATTTCCAAGCAGTTGGTTAAGATGGGTATGCTCCCTGCTTCCCTCAACAATGTTCAATATGCAATTCATTTCGGACTTCTTGAGTTTATAAGAGACATGCAAGATGTTCTTGCTATCTCTGGTCAGGGCTTGGCTGATCTGTACAATAAGATCAATCTGGGTGCTGAGATAAGAAAAAAATTATACATCAGTATGTGTTACTAATTGATTTTAAATATTCTGTTAAAATAAAATAAATAGAGACAGATCTCAAGGGTGTATTGCCAAAATATTCTACATGTCTTCATCATGCTTACAATAATTGTTGAGGCCAAGGTAGAGAAGCTTTCACCTGGATTTCAGGAGACCCAACTGTTGCCCTGCTTGTCCAGATATAAGTGAATTGTATGATATAGTTTACTTGCACCAAAATATTGAAGTTGTACTTTTGTATTAGGTTGATAGTAATGTGACTATCAAAGATATCCAATTTTTTGCCATGGACAGCAACTTTAGCTTGAAGTGTGAGAGGATGGAGAATGCTGACAGTGTTGGTGAAGAAGAGTTGGAGCAAGTAGAGGCTCAACTGAATCAGGTGTGGATTGGTGATGACGTGGTGAAAAGGTTTGAGAAAGAGAGAGCTGAAGAAGGCATAAGTAATAAAAAGTGACAGGATATAAAATGCATACTTATTTTATTTATTTTTTAATTCTAGGTTGGTCATTTTGATAGCAGCTTCCATGCTGGCTCTAGTGATATGACAAAGTCCAGGAAGTATCCTATTAAAGATCTTTTTGCAGCAAGCTGTGCATGCCATGAGTCAGTCATTAAGTTGGTAGACATGGAAACTGGTGAAGAGTTTAAGTACCCTCTCTCCATATTTAATCAACTACTTGGTTATTGAGGTAGTGATGGCCAGTCTGCTGATAACTCTCCCAACATCAATGTGATATATGATGTTGTCTGTAAGCTGGCAAAGTCACTGAAGGTAAATACAGAGTTATTTTTAATGTACATGTTAAATATATAAGCATATAGTAACAATACTTAACATAGGCTAACTTTCCCGGACTGATGGAGAAATCAAAACTAGCAGTTCTGATTTTCCATGTGTATGCTCATGTTCAACACTGTCAGGTTAAGCTCAACCCTAAATATAGAGATGGGTTTGACTTGACAAATGGTGAATGTTTGGAACGCCTCTGATCATATCTTAACTGCTTTGTGGCAATGACCAGAGAGATGGGACAAGCAAATCAGAGGTTAGTCTTGTACAGAGCCATCAAGTTCTGCAATGAGGCAAAGAAGGTTGAGATGGGCTTGATGTTGGAGAGTAAGTATGTCAAAGCAAAGCACATCATAGAAGAGTCCAGAAAGGCATTGGAGAGATTTGACTATGTTGTTGTTGAGCGAGAATGGAAGCAGTATGTTGACAAGGTAGAGAAGCCAGAGAACTATATTGACATTGCTGATTTGCTGGAGTCTGGCCACAAGGTTCAGGGCAATATTGCTTTGTTTCTTGTAAAATTCACACTTTTACACCAACTAAGAGAGTAAATGTATTTAATACTTTTGTTTTTATGTTTTAAAACATTAAAAAATCGATTTTATTGTAGGCTCACTAATGATGGCAACGGAAATCATGTGAAAGATGAGATCAATAGGCTGAAGCAAGAAATGACAAAGTTAAAGACAAAGATCCAGTAGGAAGTTGAGGGCTTCCTAGAATCTGATAAAAACAATATAAACCTCATAAAATATATAAAAGAAAATGCCTGGCTAGAGTACAATGAGTTTCTGACTTACAAAAAAAATTACAAAGATGCAATCAGAGCCAATGTTTGAGAGTATCACCATATCTCAACATTGCTCTTTAAATCTGGCCATGTTGGTAAGAAGGGGAAAAGTGGCTGTATTTATTTCATGAATTAATCTTTTTAAATATATATATATATAGGCACAAACAAAGCCAAACAGCACAGAATATGCTGGAATAAACAGATCAAATAAATTAATAACCTCTTAAAAGCATACAATCTTGAATTCTAAGGTAACAGTAATTTCTAAACTTTTCACAATAGAAATATTAAATTGCTACTAGGGGAGTGGTGCTCCCCCCCCCTCCCCCCTCCCTTCAGGGGAGGCCCATGGACTCCCCTTCCTCCTGGGGGGCCAGAATCCTACAGGCAGTTAATATAAAACTCTTACCTACTGCTCTATTCTAATGGGCACACAATTACATAGTTTTTTCCTCTATTTGTCTTTTTAAATATAGACAAATGGTGCTCAGTCAATTGATTTTATTAATTTTTTTTAGGCTTTTCAGAGTTGTAAATGACAGTTACTGTAATGTGTGAGAAGTCACACAATAAGATAATAAGATGGAATCAAATATGAAGATAAAGATAATCTTTATTTGTGATAATGTTTGTGATATTTATACTAATGTAAGAGATGCTGCAGTCTTCAATATTATATGCTAAGTGTGTTTACTGCGGTTTCTTGCTGAGCAATAGTTGTCTTCTTTTTCTTGGCATTGCTCACCCAACTACTGCGGTTGGAGTAGTTGCTCCTTATTGGAGAGGATTGGAACTGAGTGTTAATTCCAATCCGCTCCTGACATTACTAAGTCACGTGATTTAGAGAAGGCAAGGATTTTAAGATAGTGAAAAGTGGTAGTTGCTAAGTCATATGATTTAGAAAAGGTAAAGATTTTAAGATGGTTGTAAGGTCCAAATTGGGAATAACTAAATCACGTGATTTTTAGTTGTTAGGAGCAGATGCTCTAACAGTCACAACACCTACATAGTTAAATCTATCTATTATAACTATCTTAACATATCATATTCTCACACCACTTATATAATCCCCAAATATCAATCATTGGGATTATCCTCAATAGTAACATTATTCAACACTTATATAGCAATTAGCAATTAACAAATAGTATAAATATCATTCAAAATATCAATCAATAAAGACTATCTTTTTCTTACTATTGAATTTTCTTCTCTTACTATTTGTACCTCTGCTGTGCCACGTCTGGCACACAACATAGTTACTAAGGATTTTAAAGATATAGATACTTATTTTTATGACCATATTTCAAATGAGTCTTTAACGTTTAGTTTTATAATTAATCAGAAAAGTACTTTCTGGAATATAAATATCTCTCCTGGAGTCTACCTCTTTGTTGCCAAAAAAAGAGCAGAAGAAGAAGTTACACTTCTGAAGGTAATAATTAATATAAAGATACTAAGGATTTTAAAAATAAATCAACTAATATATAAAATTTCAAGTGTGATGCCTTCTGGCTCCAACATTGTGCAGTAAAGGAGAGATACTTGTGAGAGCAAGGGTTCAAGGCTCTCAATGATGTAGTAGGTATTCTGGACCCAGAGGTTCTTTGCAGGATGCAGTTCCTTTTGACTAGAAAGCTTCAGCTTTCTATGTCTTGGGAGTGAGCAGTCTTTACTCAGACTAGTTTTCTTCTGGAATCCTCATCCTCTCCCTCCTCTGTTCCTTCAGCCTCCTCCTCCTCCATTCCTTTTGCCTCCTCCTCCTGCATTCCTTATGTCCTCTCATTCATCTCTTCTTCTTCACTTATTGTTGAAGACATTAACTTCCCCAATGATGGAGAAGTCAGCATTACTTTTGTTGTGGAAGGTGATGATGACGATGACAATGACAATGATGACAATGATGACAACAATGATGATGCTAATGAAAACGAATAACACAATAACATATTTGAGTCTGAGGCAATATATGGTAAGTTACTCTATTATTGTAAAAAGTCTATTCAGTTTATTTGTTAGCATTTAAAGTTGATAACTAAGGTAAGTTTCTTTTCTCTAGAATAACACAAACTCTCACCCATTTTTTTCAAATCTGTAAAATGCTTTAATAGCTTTTACAAGTAAAAATATCATAAAATTATAGAGAAGCTGACAGCTTAATTTTTATTGCTTGAAATATACTTCTTGTTTTCTACATTTAATCAAGAAGTAAAAAAAATTGCCCATTTTAAATATATGTTTTATGTTTCAAGATTTTACTTTACTTCTTTCTGTAATATATATATATCACTTATATCATTAGAGTCTATTAGTAATTAATTCAATAATACACATAACTACATACTTATTTTGAGATAATAAAATATCAAGTTTTTATCTAATTTCATTAGTATTTTACATGCTTTATTTTTTATTTTATTATTTTCAAAAGCAAGTAAATAGCATTTCTCATTCAGGAAGTTACAATATTAAAAATTATTTTGTTTTATTGGTATCTAGCTGTTTAACTCTGTTTACATAAATAAAATTTGTTTTGTTTGCTACTTTATTTTATTTTATTTTAAAAACATATAATTTTATTTCACATAACATTAAAATATTTATAAAGAATAAATAGTATAAAGCAATTCATTAAATATTCAAAACATTTCATTTTTCTTTTTAGCAAAACAGAAAGATTAATAATTTTTTTTCAAAAAAAAATACAAAAAAATGCTTCAGGAAAAAGTCGAACCTTGGCTGTCTCTATCATAGTCAAAAGCAATAATGAATAATCTATAGCAAAAAGTTTTAATAGATTAATTATAATATAATTTTATAGTATTGTTTACCAAGCCACTTTTTCCACTCATTTTTACTATGAAACCACTCATTTTCACTGTAAAGATGTTGGCATGGTCACATCCAAAGTCAGATTTTCTCAATGTTAAGTCACAGTCTCTGTCCTTTTTATATATTCTTTTCTCTTATTTACTTCTTTTTATTTTTTTGTCTGGTATGTTATTTTTTTATTTTTATTGTATGTTCTGATTGACATAATCAAAACCCTCTTCTTTCATTTTATTCTATTTACTTTTTCCCAGTACGTTTTTTGTTATAACTTCAATTGTTCCAAGTGAAATTGATAACCTTTCTTCTTTTTATTTTACTCATTCAATATTTGTACCCCATCTTTTCCCGATCTTCTTTTTCTTTTCTTTCCCTTCTGAACTCTGTTCTTTAAGTTATATTTCGTAATTACTCTATTCAAACCGATTTGTACTTTTAGCAATTTAATTTATGATTGATTCTATATTATCTATTTACATAAAGGATGGTAGTTTTCTTAATTTGAAAAAGTAACATGATAGTCTTACTGCATTTCAGGATCACTGTTTGTCAAATAAAATAATTATACTTTTAATAATTCATATTTTCTCTTATTAATAAAATGTACTTTATTTTCTTTCAAAAAATAACGGGCTAAATATAATAATTATTATTATTGTCATAAAACAATATTGTATATAACTAGTGTTTGTTATTACTAGCTTGTTTTTTTTGAAGTAAGCATATTTAAAAGTATAAAACAAGGACTTTGTTTGCAGCTATCAGCTTTTGTAATATCTGGAAAGAATAGATTAAGAAAGATCGGGGAGGGTGCTAGTTGCTTTCATAAAACTAGGCCAAAAATTACAACATGAAGACTAAAGGCAAAAGTAGACAAGAAGAATTAGTTAAATCAAAGATAAATATATAAATATTGATTATTATTTAAATTGTTATATAAAGCTAGCAATGATATTAACTTTGCAAGTAATAGACTACATTAATAAAATGTTACGATTAAATAAATATATAATTAATAAGACAAGTCAGTTAATTAATAAGTGATGTACATAAAGATCAACTTATGAAATGACAATATTTCGCCCTTTCTTTTTATATAAAGGCGCGTTTTTTTACTTATCTAGTAATAATACTTGATGCTAAAAGAATTTCAATAAAACTCAAGACATGCCATATTAGTTTTATAAAACACGTACTTGCTAATATCTGCTCTTGATGAAGTACAATTGATAAATAAATATTTAATATAACTTTTACAGAGTTGATTCATTCACAATATTGATAAGCATAACTGGAATTTATTTAAGAAAGAAGATTTTTTATTTACAAAATTAAAATGTTAAAAAACAATAACTTTATTACCCAAGACATCAGTATAAACATGTATTCTACTTTCTTACATTTTGTTTTGTTTTTGCTTGAAAAAAAAAAGTCTAAAGTATACTCTTACAAAAATAAATAAATTATATGACATTGTTTTTATAATTCTAAGCAGTAGCATTAGATGAACCAAAAAAAAAACTTTACACAATTGGGAAAGAAAACTAATTGAGCAAAACATTAAAAACATTTTTACTTATTTTTTATTTTTTTGAGGATAGCCTTAAGATTATTTTAAAAAGATATACTATCTTTTGTAAAGCAAAGCAGAAGATCGTATAAGCATTGTTTATCAAAATCATTACTTCCAAAGACTTAAATTTTAATATATATTTATTCTTGCTCCAAGTTTATTTGTTGATCTTAATATTCAAATAAAATCATCAGATAGTTGTTTTTCTTTGCTTATTTATCTTGACTAGTGCTCTCATCTGTCTTTAACTGTTTTTGCATGATTACAAGAAGTTTATGACAAGATGTATAAGTTCATTCAATCAAGTGTCCGATACATGCTACAAGATGATGATGATGGCAAAGGGTAACATTTTATTTATTATTTAAAATACTTATAACGTGTATATTATTAAAGTGGATTAGGAAAGAAAAAATTTAAGTCATTTTTTTTGAAAATTAAAATACATAAAAAAACAAGTCACGACAAATAGTAAAAGCAAGAATCTATTGTATAACACTGGAAAGCCTTTGGATAAAATGTACACATAAGTTTAGCATACAAGTCATTAATTATAGAAGTTAGAGATGAAAACATGTTTTAATTAAGTTTTTCAAGCCTTTTACTCAAAAGAGCAAGAGAAAGAAATGAGCTCTTTGTCCAGAGCATCAACTAACATTTCTTTCTCAATATCTTTCATAAGACTGAGTGGCACAAAAGGCAACTTTTCTGGCCATCCAACAGCTCTGATGGTATCTTTTTTGTTTTCGATTGCTTTCCAAGGAAAAGATTTTCTCGATTCTCCAGTTTCTTCTAAGAAATTGACAATATGAAGTAAATGTTAATTTTGATATTTTATAAACTTATCATTAAATAAGCTTATCAAACATTTGTTGATCTTATTCCTAAAGTCGTTGGCAGCAATGGTTGCGAGTTGTATTTCTTGCACTATGACAGAAAAATAGATTAAGATGAAATAAATAATACATCTATTATATAATACTTACTTTAGCGTCTTTTGACGTTTCCCAATGCTTCCAAGAAACTCTTCAGAGCACCATCTTCCTCAATGCACTTAAAAAAGATAGAAGATGTATCTCCTGACAAGAGGTGGTCAATCTTTCGACTGAAGCTGGTGTCTGACTTCCAAAACAGAAACAGACTATCATAGTTCATCAATAGCTTCATTGTGTCCATGATGGTCAATATAGATTTTGCAGCACAATTGACATCAGGGACAGAAGATTCCTGGTGAAGAGTAGTGGAATTTTCTTTTGTCATCTCGTAATATCTGCCTTTTTCTAAAGGACCCATTGAGTTGTACGAATCAATGATTTCCTTGCGTCTGTAGTTTTCCCCTAAAAATATATTTTGAATCATTACAAAACTACTGTTTTACTTGTAATCAATGCAGTTAATTGTATTACTGTCAAGTTTTCTCTTGTTCTTCATCTCCTTAGTGTAAAGATTAAAAGGATTTTTTTAATCTTTTTGAGCCTCAATACAGTATTGCTGAAATTATAGGCAGCTTCAGCCATGTTTTCAACAACCTTTTGTTGCAAATTAAATTCTTTAGCAAATCTAATTTCGAATTCTTTTCTATGCTGCAATTCTAATCGCAATTTTTCTACTGCATTGGTTGGCAAGTTTGCAGTATCATTCAAGAAGCTATTAACATTTATTTTTAGGTATTTAATATATAATAATAAAAATATGAAATAAAATAAACAATTATTTCAGCTGTTTTGGAATAATGACCAGATGATGTGTCAATTCATCTGATGGGAACCTGATTTTGCTACCAATCATATATTGTAATTTATTAGTAACTAATGGTAAAATTATTAGTCTTACACTAGATAACTATATAACTAGATAACACTATGCAGTTAGCAAATGTGACAAATAATTTTGCGGGGGAAATTTGCATTTTGATAAATGAAAATTGTTATCCAGATTTGTGAGGTGTAGTTACAAGTGTCAGAAAAGAAATACCAGATCGAGACTTGATATATAAAAGCTAGAAAGTCTATATTTCCTGGTATGTCATAAATATTTAACCAAAATAGTGACAGTCAATACTTTTTCTTGTTTTTGAATTGTTTGTTTGAAACAAAGATTCTGTATCCCCTGAAAGCGCGTTCTTTTATTTATATATATTGCTATTAAACATGTCTACTGTCAATATTACACCAATGAATGAAAACATTTACACTCTTGCAACAATTTCAGAAGCATTGGAGTGCTCATCTATTCCCGGAGTAATGACACTTAGACTCAACAATACTATTAGAGTTAGAACATCTGAGTGGAAAGAATGCCTTGTAGAACTTGGTGAATCCTGTGCGGTCAAATAGACTATTTGTAACTCCAACAAACGACGTACTGATATCACTGCTGAAGAAGCCAAAAACAGTGGAATTAAGATGTGCTTCTCACAGAAGTACTCGTGTCATTGTTCAGGAACTTATGAATCTAAGACAGAGATGCGAGTAGTTCAAAAGAGAGCTAAGAAAAATAAGTGTCCTGCTCTTCTTTGCGTCAGAGAATTCTTTAAGACACCTGAGTGGTATGAGATAACCTTGACCAAAGATCATGCTGATCATACTCCTGGTGATATCTGTGACGATATTCATACTCTTTCTCTTGCCAAAAAGTAGCTGCATGAACTATCCCAACAATTAGAGCAATCATCTAAATCTGCCAGCCAGATACGTATCGACATGTTGAGAACTATTGATAGATATGGAAGAAGTTCTGATTGTAAGGTCAACTATTATAACATTTGGAACTTGATGAACAAGGTAAACATATGAATTTATATTAAATAAAATTTTATTTAACTAATTGTTTATAGATAAATAAGACTTTGTATCATTTTGACAAGAATCAAATGATTTCCTTCATGATTTGGATAAATGAGAAACTTGCTGCAATGAACTTCTCAATTTTCAAGACCAATACTAGCTACTCACCAAGTCTAAACTTATTTACTTGTGGTTTTATGTCACCAATACAGCAAAATAAGATGAAAAATGCTGTTTCTTTTTGTTTGGATGCCACTTATGGTATCTCTGGAAAAATTGATGAGATTCTTTATACTCTTCTTATCCATAATGAAGAAATTGGTAGAGGCTGGCCTGTAGCATATATGATTACCAATGATAGAGATGTGGGCCCCATTGTGCAGTGGCTGCAATTCTTAACGTCTTCTCTCTTGCTTGTTAATCCAAAACAAATAACAATTGATTGCTGCTTGGCCAAAGTCCATGCAATTCAAACCACTTTTTTTACCACACAAATCCAATTCTGCATATTTCACATAACTCAAGCATGGAACAGAAAGCTCTCTGACTCCGTTAAGATTTCTGGCTCTTTGCTATCTGAGGCTCGTCTTCTTCATGATAAAATGATGAAATCTCTTCAAGAGATTGTATATAAAGAAGATTTAGATCAGTTTCATCACAAACTTGTATAGTTCAAAGAAGATTTTAACAACTAATGTATCTTTTTGGACTACTTCGAGAAAAACTGGTGTACTGAAAACAAATTTAAGCTTTGGAGTAGAGCATATTTTGAATGCCAATTTTCACATATGTTCACCAATAATTATATTGAGTCTTGGCATAACCAATTGAAAACTGTCTTCATGAAGAGATTCCGGAACAAACGTCTAGATAAACTTATATTCATTTTTGTTCACAATGTTGAATACTATCTTTCTCAAAAGTATGATAGAGTGATGTCTAACAATGAGGCAATGAGTGCATTTACAAGAGAATAAAGAATACACGAGATAGAAGTAGAAGAAGTTGATGATAATGAAAGAGAAGCAAGAATTGCTGCTCCTGATTCAGTGGATAGTAGACAATAGCAGGTTCAGTCATTTGTTGACCAAAATACTGCTTATATAGTTGAGATTTCAGATACAAACACAATTATCTCATGTCCTTGCTTTGATTTTAAAAGAAGATACAGATCTTGCGAACATATGCATCTATTGAAGATATACACATCGAACTCTATTTTCTTCTCTACCACTTCTGCCATTACTACCAATCAAATACACATACCACAAACTCCACAAAACACTGAAAATTCCAGCAATCAATCTAGACTCTTTTTTGACTAGTGTACAAAAACAAATCAAACAATACATCAATCTCATCACGATCTTACAAAACTATCCCAGTATATAACAGATGATGAAGCCAAGCACGTCTATGATATGCAACAGCTTTATCTTCAGTCAATTTAAGCTTTAAAAAATAAATACGAAGTGAACTTTTGCAGATCAAACACATAACAATAAAAATATATTTATCTTTCTTTTTTTCCAAAAAATTGTGCTATTAATTGAAATGATTATCAAAGTGACTTAGTAAATTATGAACTTTTTTTATTTTCTGGTAGGTGAATTTTTTTATTTTATTTTCTGATAGATAAGCTTCTTTTTCAGCTAATACTTTACCATCTACTAGGAAATATAGATGTTTGGGGGAGAAGGTGTCCGGAGGGTGAAAGACTTTGTCAATATCTTTTTGAACAAGGTTTTCTTGAGCCTTGAAGAGGATAACTCTTGAACCAAAGGTGCTGGAGACTTCAAACTAGGCCTATCTGAAAGCTGGGAAAGAGATGCACAAGAAAATGTATGGATGGACTATGGGGTACTTCTTGGTGGCATGATGCAAGGAATTGTTTGTTTTGAAGTACTTAGGTCTATTTATTTAACACATGCTTAGCAGAAAGAGAGGTGGCTTCTTGGTTTAGTGGTATAATTCTCGCTTAGGGTGCGAGAGGTCCCGGGTTCGATTCCCGGAGAAGCCCACATTTACTGGAATTAATCAGTTGCACTGTAGAAAAATATCTACGAGTATTTTTTGATACTCATAACTTTAGGGATCTTGGACACGTCATATAAATTTTTTTTGAAACATTTGTCAGAGTTGACATCGGTGAACAAAAGCGGTAGTTATAAGCAACCAGTAAGAGTTGACTTTTTAGGATAAAAGATCTTGACTTTGCCAATTGGTCTTTCATATATGTTTTAGATGTTTAAGATGGTAAATATACTTGTAGAAGATATTACTGGACAACAGGCATCTAAGACATATTATTGTAGCTATTCTTTTAATCAGAAATCAATTATCATTTTGTATAAATAGTCAAGAAATATATTTAATAAAAAGCATCTTTATTCTTATCTAAAAACTATTCATAAACTTGACGATCCCCAGTGGTATTGATTCTGCAACTTAGTTACAAGTGCCAGAAAAGAAATACCAGATTGAGACTTGACATTTATATGATTTTATTTTTCATTTCCAAAGTTTTTATACATGGACCAAAGTTCTGTTTATGTCATTGTCGGAAGTGTATTTTTCCTAAACTTACCAAATCATTTTTAATGCAAAGACATGGCATTAAAAATCAATCTAAAAAACATCATTGCTGTTTTATCATTTACAAATCTCGAAGATGCCTTTCAACTCTCATATAAACAACATTGCAAAAGTATTGGAATTATCCGAGCAAGCATTTTGTGATGAGATTCTTGGGGAAACCCTTGATTGAGCTAATGATCAAACAGAAGCTCTGAAGCTGCTTCGCATACAAGAGGCCAAACGTGTTGTGATTTCTCTATGTTGACAAGGTCATCTGGACATCAGCACTGTTCCAACTGAAGAGTGCAAGTGCTTGTTCAGATTTACTTATACAGAGGTAAAAATTAGAATTATAAAATCTAAAAAGAAAAATAACAATAAGTATATATTTAAAAAAATTAAACAGATACAATCAATGTGTGTTCTTTTCGAAATGGGAGACAAAGTTTATATTGAGAGAGGTTCTTCCACTGTGTTGTCTGTTCCTACCACAGAAGTACTGGTCATTCTACTTTGCAAAATGTCTTTTCCCTGTCAATTGTTAGATTTGTCTTTGCTTTTTGGCAGGAACTCAACTGATATAAGTCGTATATCAAACCATGTTGTGCGTCTACTGCATCTCAAGTTTGGTATAGCCATAATATTTGACTATCGTCAATTTCGCCCAGAAAATTTGGTGAAATTTAGCAATGCAATCAGAGCTCTAGGTAAGAGCAATTTTTAATATATTACATGCTATTAATATTAACAGTATTATATGTGTATTGATTAAAAAAGGCGTACCAGTTGAGCATTGTGTTAGGTTCCTCAATGGTACCTTTAAGGAGACTGCTAAGCTAACCAAGGAACAAAAGACTGTATACAGTGGTTAGCATGCAAGTTGAATACTATAGTCATTTTTACATTAGTTTGTGTTTTATATCTGTTAACTTGGCATAAACAATTTATTAGAAAGTGCACGGTTTTAATTACCAAGCTGTAGTTACTCCGGATGTAATAACTTCATTTTTTTATGGCCCAGTAGCTGGAAGACGTCATTATATGACTGTATTTTACGAAAGTGGTATTGAAATGCATATGTGTAAAGTATTTGATTTCAGGAGTATTGGTGGACCTTGTTACCACCTTTATGCTGACAGAGGATATACATCCTCAGAATTTGTGATGCGTCCATTTGCAGAGAGTAAGTTATATAATATCATGCATTTTACTTTAATTAAGTCTTTTAATATTTATAATGTTTTAGCAAAAGAAGATTCTCCAGAGTATATCGGCAACTAAGATATGTCAACTGCTCGTGTTGTAGTAGAGAAGGAGTTTGGACATGTAGGAAACTTGTTTGCTTATGTGAATTATGCACAAACACAAAGGATTCTTCAGGGCAATGTAAGCTCTTATTACATTGTGGCAACGCTCTTCAAAAACTTGCATGTTTGCTACAACCATGGAAACCAAACGAGCATGCGGTTTAAAGTCTCTTCTCCAACACCAATGGAGTATATTGCAGGCCTCTTAAATCACTAAACATCTTATTATTACAGGAAGCAAACTTTACTTTAGAGGTCAAGAAATAACATCAATATAAGAATATTTTGTTTAACTTATTTTATATTTTTTTTATTGTAGGGGTGGTTATATTGTAGAAGACACAAATGCAGCAATAAAGGCTACGAGCTTTTCTATTGCCTTCTCAACCCTGAGAGAGCCGTCTCTGATCTCAGTGTTCATACTGGACATTTCTTCAAGTACTTTGTCTAGTTTGCCACCAATCTTTGAGACATTCTCATCATCTCAAATGTTCTTGACAGTCCCTTCAACACTCTGAATAGACGAAAAGAATGTTCTCATCTACCTTTATGCTGATCACATCTGCCACTTGTTCCTTCAGAGACGAGAACAGATGGGCCACAGAAGTCGGAGGTACGACTGGGCTCACTGGAACCTGGGTCTAGGGTCCTTCACCATTGTCCACTCACAACTTTTTTGATGCGTGCGGCCCACCCTTCACTACTGAGTAGATCGCACCAGTTGACCTCTCTTGAATCGTATGTTCCTTCTCAGCATACACCTTGGCTATTTCGGCCTTGTTGGCACTGACCTGATGGATGTGCTCCTCAGATTTATCATCCTTTTCACTCAATTTTTATTTAGCATGACAATATTCAAAAACAATTATGTATTTATTATCAGATCAATGAGCTCCATCATGAGTCTGTCTTTCTCAGAAAGTGCCATCTGCAAATGGAATAACTTAGGCACACAAGACTGTCTTTCTTTGAACTTCTTTATCAAAGCATTATATTTTTTCTTGATTGATATTAGCACAACATCACCAGCACCACGATCAACATCGTTTACGGTCTTAAGAATATCCTCCCAAATAGTCTTCACTTCTCCATAGTTCTTGTGCAATATATCACGGATGACGATCTCTTTGGCAAGAACCTCTTCTCCCTTGTCTGTAATATACTCATTTTTTTTTTGGGGGGGGCTCTGCAGGTTGGATAATTTCTTTGATATTTATTTTTGAGTGTAAAATAAGTAAGTGCAACCTTTTAATATATAATTTTATTCATATTTATTAAATTTTTATTTCTACTTCTTTTGCATTCTATTGATTCACTGTCATACTCTGTGTGCATAATTTAAATAAAAATTATAAGCATCAATTAAATGCTTTTATAGCGGTTGCTTATTTTTTAGTACCTTTTTTTTTTAATCTAGTTTTTATCAGGTACAGACTAGTTGACTATTTTGCCATGCAAAAATAGTTTTAGCTCTTTTATAATTTTTCTTTTCATTTATATATTTTTGTTGAAAAATTAGCTGTAATCTAGATTGGTTAGACTTTATTATTTTTTTATAATTGTATATCCATAAGCCAGTAAAATATCTGTCAGTTTAGCAGTAAGAATAATGAGATTTTATTGGCTAATTGTAGCAAGAAAATAAATATGATTGACTAAAACACTTTATATCATGCTTTTATATCATATAAAAAAACGCGATTTGGAAACACACTATTCCTTTTTAAGAACACAATCTCCATCTAAATAAATCTTATATGATGTGTCCAAGATCCCTTTTCTACCCAAAACTTGTTGTTGTGGGGAGAAAATAAAGCAAAATATAATATAGACGAAAGAATTTGTGAGAACTTGTGTAGGTTGTTTATTTCAAAAGAAAAGTAAAGAATGATAAAATTCGATTTCTTTCTACACGGAACTATCTACTGATATTTATATGTTTTTCTAATTTGTAATTCAGTGTGTGCTTAAGTAATCTTTATCACGATGAGTCATCTTCCAGGAGTATTATTCTTCTGGAAAGATCCAGAAAGACCAATTGATATGATACTTCTCCAGTCAGATCAGTCCAAGAGTTTTGGTAAAGAAGAGCATTTATGCTATTGGTAATATTTTAGTATTCCGACCCAGATACTCGGGTAATGTTTCATAATATTAAATAGTTGTAGTTGTAGTCTCTCAATTAAGTATTTGTATAATAAAAGAAATATGTAGATGAAATATAATGATGCCATATATATAATGTATATGTATTTGTATATCCCATGTCATGGTGATAATAATAAATAATCAATTATGTGTATGATGATCTGTGTATTAGATAATATCATAAAGGGAGATCCGTTTGACTGGAATAGCTGAGGGTATTATTTTATCCTTCAGTCTTACTCTCAGATTCAGCAGTAATCAATACTCATTCACAACACTTGTAACTTGAAAAGGTCCGACATGCACTTACCAAGTTTAGTATGTGCTAAGCCTATTTTAGTATTCTGAGGCTGACATTAAAATATGGTTGTTTCGCTTTTAAGCCAGAAGGCCATTTTAGATGAATATAGTATGTGAAACTGCTTATCAGACTGCAAAACTGGGAAAGGGACAAACATGGTCTACAGATTGCTTATATTTTTAATCTGAACTTAAAGAAGCCTTTGCCACCAAAAAGTAATGACTGTGATTACTTTTTAATGTATTGTTGTTTTTTTATTTTGTAAAAGTCTTTTAATTCTACTTTTTCACAAGGTCTAAATTATTAAAGATTTCTAAAAAGAACACACTTAACAACTATGAAGGCTAGTATTAATAAAATACGAATTAGCAAAGTGGACAAAATAAAGTAACCCAAGAAGAATTGACAGAAAAATATCTGCATCAAGTACAATTTGGTTGTCAAGATTGCTTGCATGCTCATTAGAGATCTCTGTAGATTTCGAGAATCATAGGGAATCTGTCTTCTGTTTTTTCAAAAGTAGGAATCAGGCATAACAATGTTAACACAAAGCAAGTTTATACTCTTTGATTAAAAGAATCAATTAAGAAATATACATGCCTTCATCAATATCATAGTACTTAGAAAATAACTTTTTTTTAGATAAAACAATATAAAAAGTATCACATAAAAATATATATATGTATATTATTTAATGAATGTATAGATTAAGCTGTTACTAAATATCATAAGAATTAGTAATTCTTCTTTGCATACTTCTTTATGTTTAACTTGTATTATTTTGATCAATAAAAACTATAAAAAAATCAATATAAAACATTATGCATTTGTTGAACCAATCATAAAGAGAATATAAATATCTAAAAAGATATAGATCTGCCATATTTAGAATATTTTATTGGCTTAGATGCAAAATAATAAAAAATCCCATAAATTGTATTTGACAAAAAGTAAAACTAATAGGCTGAAACAGGTATTCTATTGGCTATAAAAGTTATGAGTTTGTAACTCGTTACAAGGTTGGTATTTTAAGGACTGACTTTTAAATAACAGAAGTTACAAGTACGTAACTTGGTACAAGGTCAGAGGTATAAATTCTGCTATTTTCTACAGTATAATTAATGATTTGTATTTTTATGTTCCATTGTTGGACATTATTTCACTGTAGAAAAAAATCTACATGTATTTGAAACAGGCTGCCTTATTTTGGAAAGAAATGGCAGATTTTTGAACAATATCTAGCACTTACCAAGTTTAGAATATCTCTATTCTATTTTGGCTCTAGAAAAATATTTTGAAGATGAAAGTCTTGTTGTCAACCCAGGAAACCATCTTGATTTCCGAATAGAGAGAACTACTTGCTTGATTAAAGAAAAATCAACTAGAGGGTTAAACAAGCCCTATGAACTTTGTATCTTGGATCTGAGCTTATATCAGAAACAGTCATATCTACTGATATTTTTTTAATACAAACTTGTGTTTTATTTCATAAAGTCTTTTTCTTTCTATTTCTTCTCACTATTACTATTGTTGACAAGTATTTCAGACTTTACAAAGTACTAACCAATAACCTATAGCTTTTAGACAATAATAATATTACAATACGGGAAAAAAAAGTGGGGTTTTATGGCTGCTTTATGGCGGTTTGACAGGGCGGCTTTGTGGCAGTTTTTTGCCAAATATCCACTTTGCCCCCCTGGAGTTTTAATACATATTACAGATCTCCGCTTTCTGATTCTCCTTTGTTGGCTCTTCTATTGGACAGCGTTTCATTCTTTATTGTATAAAGTATATTATATAATTGATTACTTTTATTGGGTACTCTCTTAAATGTCATTTATTACTTTAATATTTTAGCTTAGAAAGGAATTCTATTGGACACTAGTAATTTTTTTTTAATGTTACTTTTATGAAAACAGTTTTTTATTGGATAATATACATGTAAATGTTTGATCATTTTAATAAATACAAATTTTTATTGGTTATTACAATAGGAGATCATTTTTATTAATCATTTTTATTGGTTGTTATGACAGAAAAAAAATCATATTGTTCATTTTACTGGTTATTATGACAGAAAAATAAATAATATTGTTTATTTTATTGGCTGTTAAAGCATAAAAAAATCTATAGATACATTTTATTGGCTATTTACTATTTAATATTCTAGGTTTTCATAGTAAAATATTCTATTCAATTCCACTACACTAGATTACTTACAAGACTGTAATATTTTATGGCGGTCCCTCCAGAGATGTGCAACTCTTGCAGTTGATGCCCAGTTTCCAAGACATCTAGTGAAGTCTATACCAGAATCCTTCATTATATTTGCGTGCCTGGCACACATTTCTTTCTTAAGTGCTACTGGTATAGACCACCAGCTAGGATTAGGACCAAGAGCGATCACTGAAGGATGGGCAGCCATATCATCACATATAAGCTTTGTACACATATCGAGTGTAGCCTTTTTGTTACTTGTTACTTCAATGCCAAGATCTTCACTTATCATCTTGAAGATATGCTTTAAAGTTATTTCACGGAATATGCTCACCGGTTTGCGGATGGTATTAGCACTAGACTATTAAATGACATAATAATATATATTCAACTCGTTTTATTTTTTGTCTTACAATGGCAAAGACAGAAGGCGAAGTGTGTTGGTTGGAAATGTTTCTATTCTCCAGTTGGCTCTGGAGAGCAGTAATCTCCAAATTCAAATCTTCAATGCTCGTCTTCATTTCGAGCTTCAACTCTTTGATCTGTGCCTTCATTTCAAGTTTGGCCTTTTCTTGGTCTGCCTTCAAAGATAGTATCTCATTGTACATGGCATGTAGCAAAGAGATGGAATTGTTATCTGTGTTATTCATGTTGAGAGTTTGGTTTACCTGAGAAAAAGGATTGTTGTGAAAGAAAGATAAAGGCCAAAAAAATTTTCTATTGTCTATTATTAGTTTTGTATAAATGAGTTTAACCTATTGGTCCAGCCAATATTTTTATTGGACTACTGTAGTTCTAATAACAGCTATTACGCAATGTTTTAGCTTCTGTTTCTGAGTTTATATTTGTATCATCTATGTTATTGCCTACTTGTAGTCATTAAGTCTATACAAATCTCAACGCTATTAAGTATAAAGGCATATTATTTAAAAGGAATTATCAATATTCATACCTTTATTCTTAAGTGTTTATTTCCAACCTAAAAAATGTCTTCAAATTCAATCCTTGATAGTTATCAATGCAATCAATGCAAAGAGTGCCACACCAATTTAAAAAAAAGCCAAGAGTTGTAGAGCTCAATGCTTTAAGAACTATTATAGAAGACATAATGATATCCAGACTTCACAGACCACGCCTGTTCCTGGACAAGTCAGTGTTGTTTTGAATACTGTCTCAAATGACACTATCAAGTAAGACTACAAATCACATACATACTATTAGAAAGTGTAATTAATTATATTGTTATCTTCATAAACAAGCAGAGAATGTGCTGATGCAATCAAAGATCAGATCATGGATACACTCAACAGCAAAGATAATGATGATCCAATTATGAATATATTCAGTAATGATGATAATGATGAGTCTATGGTAAGATATATATATATATCTTATTATATAATGCTAATTATTATTTACCTTGTTAAAGTATGATGCGGAACTTGGCAATGACATGGACATCATTGAAAACAAAACATCTCCTTTGGTTTTTGACTTCAGTCAGCCTGCACCTACCCCTGACAAAGACAATGCAAAGAACCTTGAGTTTCTCAAGATCATTAAGGATTTTGGTATCTCCCGCAATGCTCATGAAATGATAGTCAAGCATTTCAACAGCATTTTGGAAACGTCAACTTGTATTATATACAAAGCATGTACTCCCCATCTTGGCAAAAAGCTTTTGAAGCATTTCTCGGGTGTTGAAGAGACAGTTCATGATATCTGTCAGAGGTGATGTATGCTCTTTACCAGTCCATCCCAGACTGAGTGCTCCAACTGTGGACAAAGCCGGTACAAAACAAGACGCGGAGAAACCGAGGGTGGTGATCTGGTTGCTGCTGCCACGATGATACAGCTTCCATTGGCGAGACAACTGGCTCTTGCATTAGCCAATGAGAATACAAGAGCAGATATGCATTACTGCCATAATCATGACCCAAGCTCGGATAGAAGTAAAACCAATGTGTTTGATAGCCAGGTTTACCAGCAAGCAAAACATCTGTTTTCTGGAAAAGATGACATTGCAATTTTGTTGTCTGTTGATGGATTCACGCCACACAATGTTTCTGGTTCTGTAACGATCCTCTATGCCACCATTCTTAACCTGAATCCCATGGTCCGGTATGAGAGAAGCAGAATGCTCCAGATCGCAATGATCCCAGGTCCAGGTGCACCTGCCAATTTCTGGTCGTTCATGGAACCAACGATGAAAGAGCTTCTGGTGTTGGAGAGCAAAGGGATGGTCGTCAAGACATCAAACGAGACCATTCGTGCCAAGGTACATGTCTTAATGGTCACTGGTGACATTCCTGCCTTAGAAAAGTTGGCATGTCATTCTGGACATATGAGCAAAGACGGTTGCCATATCTGTCATGTTGTCAGCCAATGTCCCAAGCATGGACAATACTTCAGAACTTTGCCCAGCACCAATATCCGTACGCTGGAAAGTTTCCAGAATTTTTCCCAGGCCAGTGCATCCAGCTACAAAGGGTTAAACGGACAATCCCCTCTGGCAACATTGAAGGTATTCTCTAGACCATTGTTTTTTGCCCTTGATGAGATGCATGGACTTTGCCATGGAATAAGCAAGCAGGTCTGGGGTTTGGTTTCTGGTACCTATGGAACAGACCATTGTTTTGCTCTTTCTTCTGGTGTTTGGAAGGAGATCGGTACAGCAATGTACAAAACAAGAAATACCATCCCTACATCCTTCCATGGCAATTGGAGAGATGTATACAAGAACCCCGGGTCGTTCAAGGCCGTCGATTGGGCAGACTTTCTTCTGTTCGTCGTCCCTACGCTGGTGGCAGAGCATATTGGAGATGCAACTGCCCGGAACACGTTACTTGGCTTGGTTCAAGCATGTAACCTACTCATGAGCTGGGAGTTATCAGCAGAGGAACAAACCTCTATCAAAAGGTATATTTTAGTAAAAGCTATGTGTTATTCTATTATTTATTCTAACTATTTTTCTTCAGTAAACTTGAAATATGGAACATGTATCTGGAATCGCTGCTTACAAGTGGAAAAATCAAAATCAATATTTTCACTATAAACCAGCATCTTCTTCAGCACTATCCTCTCATGATTGACGCATATGGCCCACCTCGTGCATATAGCGCCAGATCCGTGGAACGAGCAATTGGTGAATACTCAAGGGCTATCAAGAGTAATTCTGCTATAAATGTTAACGCTGGCAATATCATGCTTGGCTTAGCACAAATACGACAAGCAGAGGCCGGAGCCACTGTCATGATTACAGAAGCAAGAACAGCACGACACTTACAATATGAAGATTCCACTGCTGGTTGGCTGTTGACAGATGAGGGTGAGCGTGTTGGTGCTAGGTCTGATATTGAGTTCTGGGGGCCTTTGAGGAATAGAACGATCCGAGATAGTTTTGAAGGCATTTCTTGTCTTTCGAAACTTCTTGAAGACTTCTATGAATCAAAGGGGGAAGAGTGTAGTATGATTGAAGCAGCTATACAAACTAGCCGCAAGGCATTTGTCAATGGTTGTGTGATTGACTCTGCACTCGACCAAAATTGTGTAAGGGAGGCACATAACATCAGATTACAGATTCAGGTTGATGAAAACCGCAACATAAATTCTGCATACTCCCTGGTTTACAAGGATTTCTTTGGAATAGTTGTTGTCTTCTTTGAACACAAGCTCAACAAGAAGAGATGGCTGCTTGCTCTTGTAGAGATTGCGGCAGTCCGTTTGGTAAATGGTATACCAGTTGTTAACAATGAGCAAATGAAGCCAAAGGTAGTTCACCTGACAGATGTCAAAGAATTGGTTGGTTTGGTGAAGTTGGATATGACTATAAATACAACAACAACAACAACATACATAGTGTGGCCAAAGCTTAACCGCAGCCCAAAATTGTCACTTGGTTCTCTTGCAGACCTATAATTTGTTTTTTTTTGTAATACATTTTTTTTTTCAAATTGTCTTAACATATTTTATTTTCTCAGCAGAAAGTTTAGATATTTTCTTCTCTTTTTCTTCTGACTTTTAATAGTCATCAAATGCAATCTACGTTTACTAAAAATGTAAAATCTGTAGTTAAAGCTTACTTTTGTCTATCAGGAGATTTAATTTTAGGTGGTCAATTTGCTTTTTGTCAACCTTTTCAAAAAACAGAGATTTTCTAGTTTCAAATTGGATTTTTAATGATTTTTTAATTATTATAGGCCGAAAACATAGTCACAAAAGCAAAAAACTGCCATTTTTTCCCATAGTGAAAAGAATTAGAAAGCACATAGTTTAACAAAAGTAGAATAGAAACCGAAACAGACATTTATAATGGCTGAGTAGGTTTAAAAAAGATATAAAAGAGAGTGTTATTTCATTCAATAAATGTTATCTATCTTTCTATCCTCTTTTTATTCTTTAATCTTTGCTTACAATTCCCAGTGGGTTTGACCAATTTTGGCTGTGTTATAGCATTGGAAGAACAACTCAGATCGAAAACTGTTGGACATTATTTTGATGAATCTGTAAAATCTGAAGATAGTTAACCGCAGTACTTCTTTATGCGCAGTAATATCTTCCTTAGCATTAACCGCAGTATAATGACTATTTCTTTAATTAAATATAAATAATAACTACTGCGGATAATGCGCAGTATTAGTTTAGAAAACTATATAAGACAATTCAATTCATATCAATAAAAAGTATCTTTTATCCTCTCTTTGATTTTACGTATACTCCTTGATCCCCAGTGGGTTTGACCTTTTGACTTTGTTATAGTAAAAGGAAGACCAACCCAGATCGGGAACGACAAAACAACAATCGCAAACGACAAAACGAAAGTAAGATAATCAAATGCGTCAACGGGGAATCGAACCCCGACCTTCAGCTTGGAAGGCTGAAATTCTACCATTGAACTATTAACGCACTGCTCTTATTGTCACATGTGTTAAAGACAAGTCAGGCTTTGGCCAGTTTCCGGTGAGGGATACCAGACGGTGGATTCCTTCAGTGGTTTGGTCCGGCGGTGAGCCATGACGGGTGATACCGGACTCGTGGGCGTTGACATCGACGGTGAGTCGACCGAGTGACGTGTCTCGAGGGACAAGAGTGGTCCCCCAGGTTTCTTGGGAAATCTTGCTCCCGATACCCCTATACCCAAACCCCTAATATAATCTCGTTCTTTAAAATTAAACATCGTCACCTCAGAAACACCTGTCACCCACTAAAAACATTATATCTCTTTCCCCTAATTTATACACTTCTTTATCGCCGACATTTATTTTACACTATTTTTTATTACATTTTATTAGATTCCATTATTATACTATTATTATATTTTTTTACTTTACTTTACTATATTGTTATTATATTATTACTTTACTTCTATTTTACCTCACTATATTTTTATTTTATCTTTATTCAATTATTATATTTTTACTATACTTTTATTTTACTCTCTCTATAATTTTCTATTCTACTTTTACTATTAACACCAGTTACATGTAGTAAAAATTTTCACTTGACTTTCTTTTCTTTTCCTCAAAAACTTGTTTTAACCAAACATTTTTATTTATAAAAGGAACAATCTTTTCAATCAATAAAATCATCATTCTATCTTTGATCTTATTTATTTTTGTCCATTATTATCATTATTTTTCATTTATACACAGTGTCCTTGTTCTTTGGAGTGTTGTCTGTTGATTTTAATATATTTTGTTTCTCTGTTTTCCCTTTTCTGTCTTTCTTAGACGTTGTTGTTGTCACAATTTCCATTTTAATCTTCTTTCTATTTTTTCTACCTGTCTGTCACCAATTCTTACATGTCAAATTACCCATTTTTTTCATTATTATTGTATTCTTCTTCTTGTATTTTGTAATTCACATTATATTTATTTGCCAAGTGATACTGTTATAATCCACAACAAACAAACACATCACATGTCACTTACAACATATGTTGTAGTTATGCTATTAGTCACTATCAAAAAACCATATTTTATCAAGTTCAGACATTCTTTTGAAAACACATTTTTAATTTTTTTTCAAAATTTTAATTTTAGCTTTAATTTCTTTTTTTCATTTTCATAAAATTGCCTTTCTTCAAAAACTGATTTTCTGAAAATCAAAATCTTTTTTCTTATATTTTTTCCTACAATTGTTTTCTCTCTCTTCTTTTTATTTTTATTTCTGTATACTAAATATGATGCTTCCTCTCAAATACTACTTTACCAAAATTATTAACAGAATAGTTTTACCTTTTATTTATAATATACTTCTTTCTAATATTTTTTCTTGTAGTTATATATTATAGCTTTATCTATTTCTTCTTTCATAACAAAATATTTATATAGGTACACAGCAAAAGAAGAGTGGATTTGGTTAAATTTTATTTTTTGAATTTTGATAAAATTTAAAAAAATATTTCAAACACCATTGTTTTTCAATAATTTTTTTCTTGAGATATGAATTTGCATTTTTTTCTGATTATATTAAATAAACACAAATACAAACTCAAAGATTTATTAATTTGGCAGTAAATTGCATAATTGTCTTAAAAAATATATGCTTCGATTGACTTGGCAGAAAAAAATAAATAAAAAAATTAAATATTAAATGTAGTATTTAATTATTTTTTTTGAAGAAAATTTTTTTGATACAGATGCACCTAATTTAGATTCAATAATATTTTTATTGCATCGCAAAAAATACAGATTTTTATTAGAATATAATAATGTATGATATATGACTTATTTTCAATAAGAAAGTATATCCAAAAAAATTAAAAAAAAAGAGCGAGAATTGATGTCATATTAAAAAAGCGTGCACTGCAAAAGACAACCGATTTAAGTAGCTTAATTTTTGTTTAAATCCTCTAAAAATCAGTGGTTTATATTCAATTATAGTTTGGTATTTTTTACAAAAATTAGTTCATTTAGTTAACCAAATGATGACATTATAGATACTAAAATCAATAGATTAATTGAGAGTTATAATTCACCCTTTTCTTGAAATGTTATAATTGTCTGTAATTCTGATTATATATTCACCCATAACTGCAAACCATTGCTAAACCCTACTTGTTATGAAATTGGCTTTGAACTCTCTACCTCTTAAAATTTTTTATTTGCTTTAATTACATGATATTATTGGATAGACCTAACTAAAGTCGACCTAGAATCAGTCTGAAATCTGACAGGAACCAGCATTCAAATGAATGATTGTAAAAAAAAACTTAAATAGATCTTGTTGACATTATCAAGAGATGACACATTTGAAATAGAATCTTATGAAAAAAATGGTTTTTATTGATTTTTGAACAGTTGGAATATATATTTAGCTATTTAATATGGACCACTAATACTTCTTTAAAAGTGTGTATCCGAATAGTACGACTTGTATACATGTTATACATTCATTTATTGGATGGCTTGAATACATTGGATGACCTGACTTATACTATACTTCCCTACTTTATTGGTTTCATTTATTTGGCGCGTTTTTTTTTTGGTTTTACACTTCTTTAACTGAAAATGAAATCCTTGATATTTTCTTGGAGAATACGTTTGTTTGGAACTACATTAGCTTAGAGCAAAAAAAGATATAGAAGTATTAATACAGGTTTCTTTATAAAATAAAATAAAATAACATACTTACTAGATCATTTATGAGAGTTCATAACAAACCTTGCGATAGAATAAAAATCTGTTTGATTGATATTTTCTTTTAAATAAAAAGCAAGATATAAAATAAATAACTTTATTAATATGTATGCTTTGATTGTAAAGACACTTAAATTACTTACATATTATAGACATGCATTTGCAAAAGGGGACAAACCAGTATAACTTGAAAAAAAGGCGTGACATATTTATCTGAGAAGAAGAATTGATAAGTTATATTATTTAAGTTGAGTTATATATATATATTACCTTTTCATAGACTGAAAATACCAGAAAGTATATAGTGTCAAGAGCAAAACATCTTTTATTACAAAATGGATAGAAGCCCTATCATTTTAAAAATAAAAAATATTTAGTCAGCAAGGTGTTTCATTTTAGTTAGGAGATTGTTTATTATCTGTACTGTTTTGAATGCTTGTTGAGTGTATTGTTTATCTAATATATATTAAGATGATTCTAAAAACCAAAAGTATTAATAAAAGTTGAGATCTTAAGAGTAAGCTTACCAAGACATGTAAAAAGAGACAAAACGAGAAGAGCAGGTTAAAGAAAGAGAAAATAAAAAAGAGGGGCGCGGTTATTCTACTAAATATGAATTTGAGGTTTTTTTTTAAAAATAAATAAATCAAAAAATAATTTTTGTCTGTTACTTAGAATTGAATGACAACGCAGTTGCACTATGCCAGCAGCTAATACATATGAAAACCGGAGTATAGTATAAAATCATATTATTCAAGTACTAATACATAATATAAGAATAAAACATGGATTAAAAATTAAATTAAAGAAACACATAAAATACTCACAACAAGAGTGAAAACATTCAAAGCTGTTCTTGTTACGTAATAGATCATGGTGTTCTCTGAGAAAGAATAAAACTTAAAGTCCAAATTAAACATAATATAAATAGACCCTTTGGATTTAAAAAAAACAAGCTATTCTTATTATTCACAATGTCAAGAAATCTCAATAACAATTCAGTTAACAATGCTTTTGGTGAAAAACCTTCTGTGGGAAGGTAGATTAAAACCAGGCAGTCTTCAATTTTCTTATATTAATTTTATTTTCGTTTTTTATAAAAATCAAAAAAAAAAGCCCACCAAGAAATACCAATGATATAAGGACAATAATGTTGCAACACTCACAGGGAACAGTGAGCAATCAAAGACCACTAGCACCAAAGAAAGCTCGGTTGAATCTTGAAAGTGATTTGTCAGGTAGAACTCGTAACATCCATGATGTGTACGAGAAACTTGACACCATGAATAGTGTCTTAAACACTGTTTTGAAGAACACATCTTCTGAGAAAGCCGAAGCCACTGCTAGTAATACAGTTGAGCAAGACATGTTGCCTGGACATCAACCAACATTGGATGTAAGTAATCATAATATGTTTTTATGTAGATAGAATTTAATATACATTTATATTATAGCAATTGTTGCGCAATTATTTGAGTGAAAAGAAATTGTATGACTAATATAATACCAATGAAAATAAAAACAGTGAGGGAAACAGACTCGTTCTGAAGTCTGTTACTGATTACCTTCGTCATCAAGAAGAGGGGAAAAAGGTAGACTTGCCAACTCTTTGAACTAAGATTGTGCGGCACATTGGCAACAGAAAGTTGCAAGAAAAAAAAACAGGAGAAAAAAAGCAGGAAGAGAATCGACGGGCCTGTCTTTGTCAGCGATGTGTAAAGATAAAAAACACACTCACACAATATACTAGATGTGATATTAAATTAGAAATATTATATATTTATATATAGTCATGTGAAAGAAGACAATCTGTCTTGAAAGCCAATCGGGCACACTTTGTGAACAGCTTTGGAGAGAATGTTGACAGTATTTTCCATGCTGATTACATGTCAGACCTTGAGAGTGATGACGAAAGAGATGAAGAAGAACAGGATTCGTTCTCAGAAAAGCATTTTTTTTGGAGATTCCACCCAAGCTGGAGAAGCAAAGAGGTATAGTACAAAAAACTATTTTTTTGGATGATGTGTAATAATACTTAAATTGACATATAGGGAGATAGGTTTGTTGATGAACTTGATGTGGATTATGAGGCAGCTCATGATAAGAAAAATAATACCCGGCTGTTTGAGCATAAATTTAAAGGAATAAGAGATAAGCAGCTTAGCAAGACCAAGGCAAACAAGCTACCATCATGGTCAAAGAAACAATAAGACAATAAATCAAATATTTTGTAATAAATTGATAAAAGAGTGCAAAGTGGTATTTTATTAATATTATTTAAGCTTCTATTTTTTGGGGTAAAAGGATTACTAAATATTTAAATTAACTAGTTATAGTAAACCTATATTTAGTAATTGCAATTAGTGAATATAAACAATGTACTGGAATAATATATTCATAATTAAGTACAGAAGAAGGTTCATTCCAGAGCTCAATGCCTTCATTTAACATTGGCTGGTAACTCCCTGAAGAATAACTAGAGTACCACTCAACAAATGCAAAAGTATGGGTGATGACAGTTTTGTTGATGGTTATCAAATGTTGAAATAAATACAGTATATGGCCAGGAAACGCTGCTTTATCTTCACTGTTATTCTCAAGATAATAGGCGCGGAAATAAGATCCAGAAGAGTATTCCTGTCCAAGAAGAAATATCTGTGTCATTTTCTCAATTCGGTTATTGACAAAAATCTGGTTAGATTCGCAGTTTGAATAATGGTCAAAATGATTGCGACTGCCATACGCGTGTCTGTAAAACTCCAGTAAACATTCATAATGTCTCTTGCACATTATAATCCTTTGGTCGAGTTTAATCGGAAACACTGAAGGGGGCAATGGCTCACAACCCAAAGCAGAATAACAAGGGTTTAATGAATATTCAACAAAGTCAGACAGAGAAAAGGTACTGGCAGTAGAAGATGGATGCAATGCTGCTAATTGATCTTGACTATTTGAAATGCGATTTAGAAAGTCAATTGCGAACTGGGGAAGATGTTTGACAAAAGATTGTATGAAGCTACCAATGTATCACTGGAAAAGAGGTGCGGTTTTCTTATGTGTAAAACTGTAATTAATTATGTGAAAAGACCAGGTTTTACGATGTGATCAGATAGTTTTTACAAGTGTATGAAGCTGGCTTACTCATAGGTGGTAAGACCAACTTTCGAACATAGGAAAAGGTCAGAACAGCAGGATAGTAGGATGTGTTTGCATTTTCTGTATATGGGTTTTTACCACATGCACTAAAACAGCAACTCAGAATTACGTTTTGTTGTAATATATCCTACTGCTTTCCGATTAAAAGAACGATAAATGAAAGATCGATTATACGGATATGCCAGTTTTTACATTGTTTAATTTATGGATATGCCAGTTTTTACAGGGTTTTGTTGTATTTGAATTTATTTTATCCAATCTTAGAGACTTCTTCTTATACTGTTTGCTTCCATACACTTCTCCAATCTTTAATTTATTTATAATAATTATTGGTTTATTTTGTTTTTATTAGAAAGAAAAGAATATTCTTAGGTTTATAGTACAGTGGTTATATTTAATATTCAGGAACATTCTGGCTAGTGTTCTATCCTTCATACAATTTGAAATGGCCAATGTTCTGATAAAACAAGTATTCTCCAAACAATATCTCCCAGAGAAAAGCCCAGTTGTGTGTTGCTTGCTTGTAAATGATTGTTCTATGAAATTAGAAAAGTGTTAGCTGTGTTGTATCCAACATAATCATAGATTCAAATAGAGCGCACAGACAATAAGACAAAGACATATTGAATAAGCGACCAGTATCAATTATACATTATTTCTCACACTATCATTAAATAAAGAATATACCGATAACAAGGTCACACACCTTAGTCAACATCACTAATCACTCAAACAAGAGCGTGGGTAATAACTTAACAATATATTATCTATGATATAAGAAAACAGACATCACATGATATACTCATATCATTATCCTAAATACACACGCAATGTCTATATAAACTCACATAGCAAATAGCAATAGAAGATCATCTCTCTTTTCATCAATAAACAAAGTCTCACCGTACTTCTCGTCTGCAGTTTGTTTTTCTTTCTTTTCTAAAAATATAACATTTTTTACGGTGAACTCTTATCACAATCAAAACATGTCTTCCGAAAACCAGTCTCCCGCCCCCAGTGTTCAGGGCAGCCTCAACACAAGTGAAATCGCAAGCAATGAACAGGCCAACAAGTCCATGTTGGCTATTACCAGACTTAGGGATCTCCTGGCTGCTGCTTCCATCGCCCTAGCCGATGCCATCGAACAAAACCAGCCTGAGGACACCAAGAATCAAATAAGGCTGACAATTGCGGCCACAGAAGGCGATCTGGCTATCCTCATGTCAGCACATACCCATTTGCTTCGTTCTGGTCCTGCCCGCGCTGAGCAAGTTGCTCCCCAATCCCGTGTTGTACCTCGCGAGCTACCAGTTCTTCAGTGGCAAGGAAACGAGTGGGACAACACCCAGAAGGTCTACTCGTCCATTGAAGAGTGTCTGGACAAATTCGAGGATGTGCTCCACTCATACAGTCTGGACCTTAATGTGGACTGGCACCGTCTACTCCCCATTGTTCTGTCAAGAGAACAGCGTTCCTGGTATGACAACTACCTTCGTAGTTCCCCCGAGCTTCCCTGGTCCTTTGTCCGCAACGCCTTTATCAAGGTATATGGAATCAACGACCTTGAGCGTCAAGTACAGCTCACACATGAGCTGATGCTCATGAGAATGAGCCCTACAGAAACCGTCAGCAACTACACGGACCGTTACCAAAGGGTTCGTCGGGAAGCTGACGTGGCAGACAACATGCAGGCAGCCATTGCATACACTGCCACACTTCTGCCCGAGCTGGCAAGACAAGTCTCCTTGCTACAAGTCAACATGCCCAGGGAAAAACGGGACACCATTGACAAGGCTGCTTCCCTGGCCCGGTCCATCTATAGCAAGGTCTTTCTGATGAGCTTGCATAACGACCCTGTGCCCAAAGGCCGCCATCTCAGCCCAGAACAGACGACCTGCATGTCTGCTGCCACCTCTTCTGCCCGCTCCCCTGGTTCTCCCCGTGAAGCCACACAGAGCCGTGAGCGCTCTTCCAGCAAGAGGTGCTCGCTCCATGGCAAGGGCAGCCATGACTCCGAAGACTGCCGCATCCTCAAGAACGCACTGGCAGCAAAAGGGGGCAATCGGGTTGAAAAAGCCCCCTACATCAACAAGTACGTTGGTTCTGCTCCTTGCCGTTGGTGCGGTGAAGTTTGGTCCCACAAACATCGCTGTTCTTCCGTCGCTGGTTCCTCCAGCTCTTCCAGTTCTGCGTCTGGCTCTCCCAGGGGCTCTGCTCCCCACTTCGCCGTCCGTTCTGCCCACACTGTCTCTGACGACAGTTCTCCCTCAGATGTCAGCACATCTGAGGATGATCAGTCCATGCACATGGACTTTGAACAGTGCTCCCCATGTAAGTACACGGGCACTCACGTAGATCTCAGTAAACGGTCTACTCACTCCTATCTCGTTCCTATTTCTTTAGAAGAGGAAAAACTATGGGCACTGGTAGACACCGGGGCCACCATCAGCTCTGTCAACACCAAGCTCTGTAGCAAGTTTGGGTGGTCAATAATTCCTCGCAAAGGGAAAATCGTGTTGGCCACTAGTAACGCTATAGCTCATAGACTAGGAGTAACAAAACCAATAAAAGTTTTTTATAACAACAAACACATTACACATTCTTTTGAAGTTTTGGATCTCGCTGAGAATATAGATGTTAGTATTGGTACAGATTTAATGCCAAGCCTTGGTATTCATTTACTGGGACTAGCAGAGAGTTGGTACGGTTCTAATACACCTCAGACCCCTACACCCATAGCTGAAATAGAAAAGCCCAATAATTCACCAGCTGGTACACCCACTGAACATTCTCAATTCATGAAGGCTCTACTACCCTTTATTAAAGCCAATGAAGCCATACCCATCACTTCATTTTGTACAGTTAAGGAATCTATTGTACGACTACCAACGCCCCCAGGTCAAGTAGTCTATAGACGACAATATCCTATTGCTTTACAACTTGTTCCACTGATGGCCAAACATATAAACCAATGGCTTACTGATGGCACCATACAAAGGGCACCCGTCAATACTAAGTGGAACAGCCCACTTACATTCGCTCCTAAAAAAGATGAGTTTGGTAATCCCACAGGCAAGCGTCCTTGCTTAGATCCCAGAGCCATCAACACTCTGCTACCTGACGACAGATTCCCTTTGCCACTCATCTCTGAACTCTTTCACAGGCTACGGGGTGCAACAATCTTCACTACGCTAGACCTCAAGAGTGCCTTTCATTGATTCAAAATTCATGAAGATGATAGACACAAGACTACATTCACGTTTGAAGGCAATCAGTATATGTTTCGAGGATGTCCCTTTGGTCTCAAGCCATTGTCGTCCAAGTTTCAGCGAGTAGTCAATTTGATTTATCACGATACTCCATATGTCACTGCATTTGTCGACGACATTGTAGTTTTTTCCACTAACATGTCTGACCATGTTAAACACGTCCAAACGGCTATTCAAAAGCTCACGGATGTCAATCTCATTCTCAATCCGCAGAAATGTCACTTTGCACAAACTTCTGTATCGTTACTGGGTTTTACTGTAAGCACTAGAGGTATTGATCTTGATGCTCGCAAGGTTCACAATGCTACCATGTGGCCACAACCCAAGTCTGGCAAAGACATTCAACGCTTCATGGGTCTCGTCAACTATTTTCGTGAGCACATTCCCAACTTGTCGCAACTGTCTTCTCCTCTGGACAAACTACGCAATGCTGACTCACTACACGGGTTATGGACAGAAGAACAAACGCAAGCTTTTTCCAAGCTCAAAATTGCACTTACACACGCACCAGTCCTAAGCCACCCTGACACAACCCAACCATTTCTGGTTGCCACAGACGCCTCCAACACAGGTATTGGCGCCGTGCTCTATCAGATCATAGACAACCAATATCGCTACATTGGTTTTATGGCACGGTCACTTTCCAAATCTGAACGCAACTATCCTGTCACCAAACGTGAACTTTTGGGCATCGTTTATGCTTTGACTAAATTCCATAAGTTCTTGTGAGGTAACAAGTTCACGTTGTACACGGATCACAAGGCTCTCACGTACCTTCACACGCAAGAAATTGCCAACCCTATGATGATAAACTGGCTTGATGTACTCTGCGACTATACTTATGACATAGTCCACCGCCCTGGCATTGACAATATATTGCCAGATGTTTTATCGCGCCTTTTCACCTCGGAAAAACCGCTGGGGGAGGGTAAAATGTAGAAATCTCTACAAATCATCGAATAAAGAACACACAAAATACACATGCTATCCAACGCATGCACAACACAGGGGATATGATAACACCACCTATCAAAGACAGACAGCATCTACTCAACCAAGCACATCTACTCGGCCACTTTGGTACAGACGCTATTGTCAACGCTATACATAGTGATGGACTACACTGGACTAATCTCAAGCAAGAGGCAACAGAAACAGTAAAGCGCTGCTTGAATTGCCAACGGTTCAATGTCTCAAAACACGGCTATCATCCGCTGAAGCCTATTACAGCCAGTCAACCAGGTGAACACTGGGCCATAGACTTAGCTGGCCCATACACCACCTCGCACAACGGCAATCATTACATGCTAGTAATGGTTGACATCTTTTCCCGATTCTGCATACTCCGCGCAATTCCAGATAAGACATCTTTAACAATTGCAAAACAACTCATTCAAATCTTTTGCGACTTCGGCCTACCCAAGGTTTTACAGTCAGATAATGGTACTGAGTTTGTCAACGAACTCGTCAAGACTTTCACAAATACAGCAGGAATTGATCATCGGCTTGTAACACCCTATCATCCGCGAGCAAATGGAGTTGCTGAAAAATGGGTACACACAGCCAAGGAAGTCATCAACAAGAGAACACAGGGAGCAAAGCGAGACTGGGACATATACATCCCAAGCACACAGCTAGCCATAAATAGCAAACATGCTAAGCTACATGGCACACACCCATTCACTCTAATGTTTGCAAGACAACCAAACGATTTTGCTGATTACAGAAAAACAGAGAGCACGCACAACGCTCCTAACAGTCTACCAGATATGAAAAAAAGAATTGAACAAATGGAGACTGTCGTATTCCCAGCAATCTGCGAACGCATCAAAGCTACACAAGCTGCTGATAAAGGAAAACACGACAAAGACCATAAAATAATAATGGAGTTCCCGAACGACAGCAACGTGATGATAAAGAACATATTAAGAAAGTCTAAGACGGACCCAAGATATGAAGGACCATTCACAGTCAAGGGCAGAACAAAGGGAGGCAGCTACATTTTGCAAGACGAAACGGGAGCACTTCTATCACGAAACATCCCACCTTCGCAGATAAAGCTGATCTCACAAGATACTGTTATATCTCCAGATAGCTTTTACGAGATACAGGCCATCATTGATCATCGTCAAGAAAAAGGCGACTATCTTTACAGAGTGCGCTGGAAAAACTATGCACCAGATCAAGACACTTGGGAGCCCACAAGCAATTTCAACGATCTGAGCATAATTGACAAATATTGGCAAAGACGAGGTCCAGAAAAACCCACCAATAAATCTACAATTATACATAACAAGCGTACACATCCAACACAAGAACCTACACGCTTTAGCAAACGCATACGCAAATAAAGACATTTGCTCTCATACATGTACAGATACTCCCCTAAGCAATTCAAACGGTTGTTCCAACCTGGAGGGGGGTAATGTTGTATCCAACATAATCGTAGATTCAAATAGAGCGCACAGACAATAAGACAAAGACATATTGAATAAGCGACCAGTATCAATTATACATTATTTCTCACACTATCATTAAATAAAGAATATACCGATAACAAGGTCACACACCTTAGTCAACATCACTAATCACTCAAACAAGAGCGTGGGTAATAACTTAACAATATATTATCTATGATATAAGAAAACAGACATCACATGATATACTCATATCATTATCCTAAATACACACGCAATGTCTATATAAACTCACATAGCAAATAGCAATAGAAGATCATCTCTCTTTTCATCAATAAACAAAGTCTCACCGTACTTCTCGTCTGCACTTTGTTTTTCTTTCTTTTCTAAAAATATAACAAGCTGTTTGAACAAGAAATCGTGGATATTAAGAATATATATGTAATTATGCTTGCAATATAATAGCTTACCAGAGACAAAAAGAAAAGGCGTCATGAATGCGAACCATAGTACTCAATATACTTTATTTGGCTATAAAAATGCTAAAAAAAAATTATTTTTTATGAACTGTGTGGTAGAATATTTCATTTACCTACCCGAAGCAAAAGGATTTATTTGCAGACCAAGAGAGTACATAGGAGACGCTAATATTGTCTTCCGTAAATGATATACATTAATATACAAAATAAATAATATTGTTATATGTACAAAAAAAATTACCATGTCAATGACACTCGTATGAAATGAAAGTTCTTGATTCGCGATGTGCTCATGAGAGGGAGGTTCATCTATAATAGAAATTATGTTAAGCCATGTGCTTATTAAAAAGAGATAGATTGAAATAAAATAAAATATTACCATGTTCATAACCATGTTTAATAGTAGAGAGTAATTTCGGCGATATGGCCTATACAAAAGAAAGGAAAAAGTCAGGATAATTTTATAGGATGACAGCATAAAGTATATTTACTAACCTTAGCTAATCTGGATGGACATTGTGAAGGGGATGCATCAGAAGGTAACAAAACGCGAGTGTCTGTAGTAATAGAAAACAATTATTATCATTTTAGTTATATATATATATATAATATTAAAGAATAAGATATCTTACCAAGAAAATCTGTGAATATAATAAATGTTGGAAAGAGAGAAAAGAGAGAAAACTTGTAAATGAAAAAAAAAACAAAAAGAACAAAAGACCAAAGGGCCAAAAGACCGAAAGACAGAAATCATATATTGGATTGAGTTGAAAAAAGCATGTTCAAAGCCGATTTGCACCCTGTTAATTCCAGGAAGTATTAATAAAGATACGCATATTAAAGAAATCCTGAGTATTTATAGCAACAAGTGTAATATAATAAATGGGTTCTTGCTTTTACTTTTACCATCTTTCCATTAACTACACTTTATTCTTTCGCTTAACATCTAACTTCTTTTGTATGTTAATAACACTCTATATATACAATGGATAGATATATAAAACAAATATAATTAACAATCAACTCATGTATAACATTTTATTAGATAGCTTTCAGACCATGGTTAACAATCGTCAGTCAATTGCCCCGGCTCCATCCCCGGAATATACTGAGCTTTTAAGAAGGCTCACCACTATGGAGGAAAGTCTCAAGACCATGGATTCAAACATTGGCATTGTCATCAAGGGGAACAAAGATTCATTGGAAATACTTGATAGCATTGCCGATGCCTCTGGAGAACTTCTTGCAGTTATTGCTCCTACCACTATACCTGCTTCTGCTTCTGTCCCTTTCGCAGCTTCTTCCGTTGGTTCTACTCTGGATTGGTATACAACACCTTCTGAGGCTTTTTTTGGTATCTCTTCTGCTGCTCCTTCTGCTGCTCCTTCTGTTGCTCCTTCTGCTGCTCCTTCTGTTGCTCCTTCTGTTGCTCCTTCTGTTGCTCCTTCTGTTGCTCCTTCTGTTGCTCCTTCTGTTGCTCCTTCTGTTGCTCCTTCTGTTGCTCCTTCTGTTGGTCCAGTGGTTCTTACTGGTGCAAACACTGGTGAACTTAGTAAACAGGATCGCACTAGAGTTTTAGTAAGTGTTGAGATGTACAGTAGCTCATCAACATAATATCTCACACTAAGTATAGGCTCTTATCCGAGGAGAGTTGAAGAAACACAACTTCAAATCAAATAAGCCAGAACTAGTTGCAGCTAACGACAGCAAGCGCAGTTGGGATGTTAATGTTGATTACAGACTTCCACCCAACAGACAGCTGATGCATGACCTTCATGCATATCTGGCTCCAAAGGTTGTTGGGACTAGTGTTCGACAGGCCGATATTAGTAATTGAATCTACACAAACTTTTGTGGAACGAGACGCCGAGTCAAGGAATCCTATGAAGCGCGCAAAAAGACAAATTATTGGTCAAGAAAAGCAGGTCGAGAGACCGATGTATGTTAGAAGTATATTTTGATTGCAAATTAAATGTATTCATATTAATACATTTATAAACTAGCATTTTGACCGTCACGAGCTGACCTACCATACATTCAAGGCTGAAATTGATATGAAGGTGGGTAAGAGCTGCGATGGACTCTTACAGAAAGAAGCAATGTCTGAGGGCGAATCTGAAGACGATATGCCTGGAGTCTCGAGCAACCATGCGATTCGTACAGTGCGTCCAAGTTGGAGAAGCGATGAGGTAATTTCTTTTGTTTACATTATTGTATACAGCTTTTTTTTGTTTTTTTATGGATTTAAATGAAACAGAACTTTGATTAATCACTTATTTGTATTTAGTACAATCACTTTCTTGCAGTTGTTGATGATTTTATGCGTAATCACATGGACTTCAATCTGCGTCAGATATTGAAGAGGTCCTTCGGTAGAGATGCTGTTTTAGCAGTCCCGCCTAGATTGACGTCCCTTCTCCCTCACTGGGCTTTTAGAGATGAGTTTCAATAAATTTTGTTTTCTTATCCTCTACATCCTCCACATCCTCCATCTGACAATGATAAACGTACCAACAAATACAAACACTATGATTATTCTTTTCTGTGTGCCTTTAAAAAAGGGAGTTATAATTTTATTATTTTTTAAATGTATTGTTTTTTTGGCAAAGGAATGACCAGCATCTTTTTTACTTTTCTGCGTGTTGTGTGCTCAGCAGTTGCTACTTCTAACATAATTCTATGCACTGGCAATACACATTGGAAATCGTCAGGAGAAAATGTTGGAAAGCAGGTTTCAACGTGTTCGTACTCTCGCAATTTATCATTTTCGGGTGTGTACCATTTGATAAATGCAAAAGTATGTTGAGAATTATGAAGAAGTTGTGTTGGGCGGCGATGGGTGTGGAGCAAGGGAGTAAGGGATGAAGAGGTGGGTGGAGGAGTGAAACAATGGGTGAAAATGTACTGTATTTGACCCGTGTATGCGACGATATGCTCACTAGTACTTCCAATGAACTTTGCTTGTACAAGAGAGCCATGACTTCCAGATTCACCTTTACCCTTATAGACCTGCCCAAGGATGTTGATGTATTTCAACAGGGTGATTGTATTGTCGACAAAGTATGGTGATTCTGACGCTTGTTGAAAGTGAACTAATTGTTCATTGTTGTACGCAACTTTGTAGTATTGTAAGAGATGAACATAGTAAATTTCACTCATTGTGGTAGCGGATTTTAATGATAGAGGGAATGCGGAAGGAGAGAGAGGTTCGTTGCCTTTTACAAGTACATTTGGATCTTCAGAAGCCTCGACAAATGACTGTATGCAGAAGGTACGTTGACGGATGGATGGAATGGTGGCGGGTGTAAAGGAAGAAGTGAGTTTGGTAAGGAGAGGAAATGCAGATGTCTGGCGGGTACTCTGAAGGAAACTGTTGACAAGATCGTCTTTGTACACATCTTCAATAAATTTCTTCATAAATGTTTCTTCAAACCCAATCTTCCTGTTTGTCTTCAAATTTTTTAACAACCCATTAAACCGCTCGAACCCGAATAGCCAATAACCGTACACTGGTCCAAAATCACGAATTGTATCTCGAAGATGGAGGTGTAGGTGCATATTACAGGTGAGGATTTTGGCGTTGTACAGCTCGTCACATCTGGTGCAAAAAGTTTGAAGAAACTGATGGGCAGTGTTGACTTCATCGAATGTGATCGTTGGCTTGATCAACAGGCGGCATGCATCAACAAAGTTAATCCAGTTTTCGAATCTGTCTTTTGCAAGAACATCTTTCAACAGAACTGGCGAGTATACAAGCACCCATGACTTCCACTCGTCTGCCTTCATATACGAAAACTGCTTTCCTATTTTCGAGTTCAAAGAGGTGTATCCACCAGGCACAATCATCGTTTCTGCAGTCTTCTGCATTGCCGCAAAATCGCCATCTTGAATGTCTTCGTCTTTGATCCAACGATCCATCAATCTTTTAGGCGTTCCCAGGAATAAATTATGCATGGGATCAATGATCGTTCCACGTACTAGATCAAGGTATCCAAGGCGATGCAACTGCGACCATCGAACACCATTTTCGACCTCCAGGCGATGCCTTTCTGAGGGGGTACTAGCACTTTCCCACTCCTCAGCATGCAACCTGTTCTCTACACCGTCACGAAGCACCCACCAAGAGAAGTCAAACCCACGAAAGTCAACATTGACACCGTTTTCCAAGCAAGGTAAATGTCTGTTGCACTTGTAACATGCACATGTACTGTTGTGCGAGGTGAAACCACTTGTCTTTCTTGCTGCTGGGATGTCACAGGCCACCATCATCAATGCGGCACAGACGTGGACACCACTAGGACACTCGAAAGTTGGGATTGCCAGTCCCTCATACAATCTTATCAGATCATCTACCATAGGCCGGAGATAATGGTTTATCTCTTCGGATTTGGGTTCCTTCAGGCCAGGCATCAATCCTACAAGAAGTGTGTTCTCTGGCTTGTATCTTTCATTGCGAGGCAGATTGTTTACTACCAGGTATATGGCACCAGTCAAGTGCGTGACGTTATCAAAAGGTTGAAACCAGTCGATGTTGAGAGTCAACATTAATGAACGCGAATCCTTTGTGAATTGCACGCCATCTTTGTCTTTGAGCTCCTTCCACATGGCACCGTTGTATATGTCACACATCGTATCCACCATCTTCAGCTCGTGATTCCAATGTCTAATTTTATCCTCAAATCCTGGACGAAGAAAAAACATTCGTAAAGTATTAACAACGGACTGGTACAAGTATGAACGCTTGGCCACCAAAGCACCCGATGCTGATGTTTTCGTCAATTGGCAGTTGCAAGACGAGCGTGCACCAAGCTTTACGAAATCACAATGAGACGGGACAGATGCACTTTCTTCGTACACCTTGTGACAATCCTGACACACAACAAATTTCTTTATGCCTTTGGTCATGGCTGAGAAACCTGTCATGCGCTGAAGACCAGGAAGGCTCAAGGGCAGTTGGAAATCCTGCTCGTAAATTGTCAAAAGCTTGTTGATGAACTCGATCAAGACAACGGCGCCCTTGTCAACCACATAGTGGGAAGCGAACACCACTACAAAAGTAGCAATGAACCTGTGCACTGGGTTCTGGGGCATATCGGGGGTGGCAAAAGGGTCTATTATAAAAAAAAATTAACGCTTTTTTTTTAAAAATTTTTTAACACTAACTGACCTTCACTATTCAATTCATTGTCGTCGAGCTCAATAACATTGTCTTCGCTTTCGTCTTCACTGATTTCATTGCTGTTGCTTCCACTGTCATCATTGTCGCCATTGCTGATCACGTCATTAGTAACGGAAACGTCTTCAGTGTCAGACATTGAAGCTCCTTCCCAAACAGGTGAGTTTGTCTGAGTGTACGATTATTCCAGGGCTCTGGGTTGATGGGTTAAGATAGCTACATTTAGAATATAACACTTGGTTAATATCTAACGGTATCTGAATTAAATAAATCTTATGTTCATCATCGACCTCCATCATATTTCTTTGGGTAGACATGTCTATTACAACACGTTATTTCATGGATTACAATACAATTAAATAAATTCAAATATTGTACCCCTTTCACATCTTATGGCATTTAGTCTTGCCCTTTTGTTATGACGTTGAGCAGTTCTTCTGGCAACAAAACTATAGCCGAGATCGTTCTGACTACATTCAGCACAATGGCACTTTTCGTTGTAGAGTTCAGAAATTGTGGACATAATGTTTATTTATTTTTACTTTGAAGTGTTAAGAGAAAAAGGAAACAAGTACAACGTTTACTAAATTTACTATGTCTTTATAATGAAATGTTATGTCTTTATAATAATAATAATAAATAATATTTTTGCCTGTTGTATCCAAGCCAATAGAAAACCGGAAAACAGTGTTTTCATCTTGAACACACAAAAAAAGCTGAGATGAAAAAATACCCCAGATTTTCTATTGTTATAATTTAACTTTGTACATGGTAATTCCCGTATGTTTTTCTAGTGTTCGGTGTCATGGCCGATTTTTCATACAGTGTCTGAAATCTTGTACAAAACAATTGGAGTTTACTGTGGGCTTCGTCTATTTCTTTGTCTTTGATTGAAGGTTTTGTGAGTAAGTGGCATGCGTCAACAAACAAAATCCAGTTTTTGAGATTCTTGGCTTGGAGCACATGCTTCAGAACAAATAGAGAGTATATGACGCACCACGACTTCCACTCATCAGCTTTCATGAACGAAAAACCATCGGCAATCTTCTTTATTATACACACATATCCACAAGGTACAACAATACCATTGGCAAGCTCTTGCATAGTTAACTGATTCTTTTCATTGATGCAGTTACACTTGCGCCATATCTGAATCATTCGCTTTACAGTTCCAAGATAGAGGATATGCATTGGGTCTATAACTGTAAAGCGGACTGGGTCAAAGTAAGATAACCAATGAAGCTCTGACTACCGAGTGTTGTGTTCTTTTCTAGGCGTGTTCGCTCAGTATTATTCAATGCATTTGCCCAGCTGACAGTGTGTTTCAGATTCATTGTCTTCGTGCGTCTCACCCAATTGCTATACTTGAATCCAGAGTAGTCAAGCTTGCTGGTCTTCTTTATAGTTGTGAATTGTTGTTGACATTTGTGACAGGCGCATTTGCTCATGTGGCCAGTAGATCCAGAGGTTTTGCAAGCAGCAGGGATATCACAGGCAACACACATCAATGCAGCACAAATAACAATCTTTCTATTCTGTGAGTCTGTCATTTCTACACCAATGTGCATCTCCATCAATTCGTCAACGAGCGGCTTCAAGTAATGATTCATGCTGTCAGTGCTTACTTCCTTCAGCCCAGGCATCATACCAACAAGAATGACATTTTCAGACTTAAGCCATTCACTCCGTGGGAGATTGTTGATAGAGAGATATATTGCACTACTGAAATGTGTTCATCCATCAAATGGTTGAAACCAATTGATATTCAGAGTCAACATTAAAGATTGGCTATCATCAACCAATTGTCTGCCATTGATGTCTTTAATATCACTCCAAACTGCACCATCGAAAATGTCAAGTTTAGTGTTTTCAATTATTTGACAATTTCTCCACAAATTGATCTTAGACACGAAATCTGGCTTGGAGAATTTTTGTTGCAAGGCGTACTTCAGAGAGTTGAATGGATATATCATTGCTGAAAGAGAATGGTTTCCAGTTGACACTTTAAAGAGATTGTTATTGCAAATGGCGGATTTAGAGAATTTCTTAAATGTACAGACTCTTTGACTTGTTTCTTGAGGATAAATCGAATGACATTGTGAGTAGGCAATGTATACTATTATTCCATCTGTTGCCATGTTAAATTCTGTTTTATGCTTCAAGCTATTGATCGTCAATGGAAGGGCGCCAGACATATCACAGAGAGGCAGTAGAGTATTGCAAAACTCAATGAGAATCAATCCACCGCTTTCCATCAAAAAGATCAAGTGAAATATGATAATGAATACTGCAACAAAGCGGATATACAAGGGCATGTTATCAAAAGACAAAAAACAAACTATGAAGACAAAGGTTAAGTTAGTTTAAATTAATATATTGATTAATTATCTATACTGTATTAATTCATACCTGATTCTACTATTGAGATTCCACTAGTCTCATCAAAGTTTTCTTCTTGTTCAAAATCAAAACCGGTATTGCCTTCTTCAATCTTATTGCCATCAACCACAAATACTCCTGTAATTGTATCTTCGGCAGTAAAGATAAACTCTTCTTGGGACAAAGGTAAGTCAACTGGAAAGGGATAATTGTTGTAAAGATGTAGAAATAAAAATATAATTATAATTATAATCATATAAAAAATAAAAAATAAAAAAATATATATCAGTTCCAATTATTATTTTGTTCATTTATTTTATTTTATTTTTCTTACCTTCTTGATCAAATTCAATGTTTTGTTCTTCATTTTCATCTGCATATTCGCCTTTGCTTTTGTTTTCGTAATCATAATCATTGTTATTGTCATTGTCAATACTATCTACTTCCATGTTGTCAAAATGTTCTTCAGAAACATCTATTTTATAAATTAATTTATATTAATTTTACATGTACAGCTCGAGTTATTCTTGTTATTTACCCATTGCATTGTCTTTGGCAACAGGCACTATATGTTTCTCATAGTGTCATTGTGCATTTTGTCTTTTCTGTTTCTTTCTACAGCTATCCAACTTTGTACAGTCTGGACATTTGCAGATAACATAACTGTCTTTCTTTTGATTATTGGACATGTCGATTGTTTTAAATTATAAAAAAAATTATATAGATTTTAAGAGATCTTGATCAAGGTCTTTATATACCAAAAAATAAATTATAAATAGATGAAATACTGCTTCATGCCATGACTATAGTATGCCAAGTAATTCTTTGATACATCTACGACACATATCATCATAATTATACTCATATATCATTAAGTCATTAACCAAGTCAAATACTGCGTACATTACTAAAAGTGTACGCAATTTTTTTAAAGTCTTTTTTTTAAAATTATAATATTTGATATGATGATGATTTGACCATGACAAAAAATAATCCAAAAATGGAACATTCACCTCTCACAACATGTGAAATAAAAAATCTGATATTTTAGTTCCATATATCAAAGGGAAAAATCACAAAAAAATATTGCTACAGTAAAAATGAAATCACAACCTCTTGTCTCGTTCCCTTGAAATATATTGATTAAATATTTGTTCTTATATTCATATTTATAATACATAAAAAATATTTAAATAATTTATTTTGAAATAGAAAAAGTGAAACCATAAGAATATATATAATTTTTATTAAATATTATATTAACTTTTGTTTAAGTGTTTTTTCAGTGTAATTTAGAATTATATCAAAGAAGTATATAATATAAAAAAAACCCAATTTTGCAATTTTATGGCCAAAAAAAATGATGGTAGTGTGATTTTACAACTAAAAAAGAGAGATCTGAAATCACAACAGAAAAAAATAGAAATTATTGGAAAAAATTAAAAATCGAAAATTGTAGTAAATTTTTTGCAGGTTTTTAGAAACTAAAATCAGCGGTCTTTTACAGTGAAAGGTAATTAAGCTTGTAAAAAAAATAATAAAAAAATGTTAATTCTAAGTTGATTCATTCAGTTAAATATAGCAAAAAAATAAGATAAGATGTGTGGTCACATAAAAATATTTTTGATATGATGATGCTTTTTCATTGTACTTATTAATATTTTGCTTTACAAATAGAAAAATCGATTTTTATCCAGCTTCGGCTGCCATTAGAAAATTAAAAAAAAATAATAGAGTATAATATTTCTAGAATTACAAAGAATTCTGTGATGTTACCTCACTGCTAAACAACTGAAATTATGTGAACAGTTGACTATATTTACAGCACCTCGTACCACAACATTGACGTGTGATGTGTTAGGTTTATTGTAAATTGTACAGTGGTCCCTCAATAATTTCACGCCCCTTTAATTTCACGCTTCGATAATTTCAAGGCTCTGAAGACCCAACTCGAAAAATAGGGCTTAACTTTCACAATTCTCGTTAATTTCACTTTCACAAAATTTTTTGGCCTTGAATCCTTAAAGAAAAAAAATTAGCCAATCAGACGAGAGCAATATAGTTATAGCTTGGTTTAATTTTTTTTAATTCTAGCTTTTCACGATTTTGTAATTGACATCAATGTCAAGTGCGTTAAGTTTGCATGCCAAACACTGGGTTATCAAGTTGTCATCTAGCTTACTTTTTTTAAAATTTTTTTTTCATTTTTTTTTTAGAAATAAAGTAAAACTATATGTGCTATATTTTGATTAAGTTTCATTTATTAATTGTTTAGTAAAGATTATTTACTTGAAAAATATAAATATAATTCTAATTTGTTTTGTTATAAAAGTTTTTATTGTAGATTTTATTATTTCTATCTGTCATTACTATTTATTGTTATTTGCAATTGTTACTATTTACAAACATATTACGAAATCAAGCTTTGACTGTACTTGGCTGCTAACTTTTTTTTTCTATTTTTAAATGAAGAAAAATATATTTCTTATAGAAAATTGTTTTTATTTTATTTGAAAAAGAATAAATTTTAAAAAGACTTGAAGAAGCTGGTGACTTTAGTTTGCTTTGAGTTCGCGGTTTTCTGGAACTTGTTTCTAAGGCCTTCAACCTTACTGACGAAGTCTCTGTCAATATCTTCGTCTTCCAAGATATCCAAAAGCGTGCAAACACACTCAAACTTTTCCGAAGCAGAATAAGTTCTCTTAAAAGAAACTGCTGATTCCACTTCAGTAGTTTCTTCATTGCTGTTGTTGGCTGCATTTTCGTCGGCGTCATATTCTTCTATCACAATATCTGCGATCTCATTTTCATTGACCACTCTATGAGTGCATTGACTCTCATAGAGTGGATCAGACTCATTTGTTGGGCAATCTTCCAGAGACAGAAGACCTGATCCAGCAATCTTGTCCAGGGTTTCTTGTAAACCCTCAACGAGAACCTTTTCAGCCAGACTTTGCTGAATCATAGCCTGGTTTACATCTATAAATTATATTTAGAATATTAAGAAAGTGGAATTGAAAGATTATACTACTATTATGACCAATAAATTATTTTACTACTACCTTCACTATCTTCGTCTTCAATAAAGCAAAAGATTGTTGCATTCCAGCAGTTCTCAATAGTCTTTGCCAAGACAGATTCCCAAGCCTCTCTTATCCATTTCATGGCCCACAATTGATCAATTTCAAAGATTTTATCAATTGGCCCGATTTTATCTTGATTGCCATTTTGAATCATGCCAATATACTGATATGCCTTGGCATACTGTTTACGCTTGAAATAAGCCTTAAAAGCCCGAATGATACCACCATCCAATGGCTGAAGGTGGGAAGTGGTGTTTGGTGGCAAAAAAAGAAGCTCAACGTTTGTAGGTGTATAATCAACTATATGACCAGAGAAATTGTCGAGAATCAAAAGAACTTTGTGCTTTTGAGCTTTCATGGCATGATCAAAGCGACGGAGGAAAACATGAAAGATCGATCTTGTCATCCAAGCATTGCTATTGTAATGATACATGGAGAATCCATGATCACTTGCTTCTTGCTTCTTGTTGTTCTTGTTGAAGTAGTTTGGTCTTCTTGCATGCCCAATCATCAGTACATCGGACCACTTGTTCGTTCCATCCGCATTACACAAGAGACCTACAGTCAGGCGCTTCTTGTTATCTTTCCAACCAGAAAATTTCTGGTGAGAAATTGTTGTTCTTGGTGGGGCAGCATAAAAGAGTGCTGTTTTATCAAAGTTATATATGTCACGAGCACTATATCTCTCTATCTTCTCTTTGATGGCAGCCTTGTCAATCTGAAGCAATTCTATATCAGTAGAACCAGCCTCACCATGAATTCAATTCATTTTAATGCAATGACGCTTTCCAAACTTCTCCATCCAGCCTTGAGAAGCACTAAAGTTTTTAACGCCTATTCTTTCAGCGAAAATTGTAGCTTTAGTCTTAATCAATTCCCAAGTGATGGGAATCTGATTATTTTCAGCAATGTTGATCCAAAGAATCACTGCTTCTTCAATTTGCTATAGTTGTGTGACAATATAATAAGGTTAATTTTATTTTTTATATGGAGCAAAAATGCATAATGTTGAGATATATTACATACAGGCCATTTTACCTTTCTAACGCGCTTTCTGTTTTTTACGTTGGCTTGCATTATCAAGCCCTGGTCTCCTCTCTTCAAAATCTTTGAGATTGTAGAAGCATCAGGAGCTTTTTGAAGGCCAAAGGTTTCCTTTGCCCATTCAGCCAATTGGGGGTTACTCATAGATGGCTTTTTCTTTTTAATATCACAAATCTCAAGGTGATTTGCAATATTAAGTGAAACGTTTTTTTTGCTCATTTTTATTGTTTAGTTCTGGATTTGATAGATTTCATTAAAGTATCAAAAAAAATTGAAAATGATATTAGATAAGCATTATATAATAAGCTAAAAGCATACCAAAAAGCTGTTATTATTTGATTGAATAAGAATTTGAAGCAATAATTGGTTACGAGACAGGGGGGTAGAAAACAGTAATGCAGCCAGGGGTTATATTTAACTAGAATGAATTTAAACAGAGGATTGAAGCATATCGAATCATTACTTGATATATTTTTTTTCTATTAAAGAATAATGTAAACTCCGCCCATAGTTGGCGGAAAATATATACTCCAAACTCGTTAATTTCACTCTTCAATAATTTCAAGACACCTGGCCTTCCCTAGGCCTTGAAATTATTGAGGGACCACTGTAACAGATGACTTGGTAAATAAAATACAATGATAATAGAATAGAACAGAAGATGGATACAGTAAATAATGGCAAGCAGTGATAGTTAACAAATAAGAAAAGAGAGAACAACTAATAGAATTGTTATTGAAAGTGAGAGAGAGAAAGATATATGAAACACTACGGAAAAAAATGGCAGTTTTTTGCTTTTGTGACTATGTTTTCGGCCTATAATAATTAAAAAATCACTAAAAATCCAATTTGAAACTAGAAAATCTCTGTTTTTTGAAAAGGTTGACAAAAAGCAAATTGACCACCTAAAATTAAATCTCCTGATAGACAAAAGTAAGCTTTAACTACAGACTTTACATTTTTAGTAAATGTAGATTGCATTTGATGACTATTAAAAGTCAGAAGAAAAAGAGAAAAAAATATCTAAACTTTCTGCTGAGAAAATAAAATATGTTAAGACAATTTGAAAAAAAAAATGTATTACAAAAAAAAAACAAATTATAGGTCTGCAAGAGAACCAAGTGACAATTTTGGGCCGCGGTTAAGCTCTGGCCACACTATGTATGTTGTTGTTGTTGTTGTTGTTGTATTTATAGTCGCGTCCGACTTCACTAAACCAACCAATTCTTTGACATCTGCCAGGTGAACTACCTTTGGCTTCATTTGCCCATTGTTAACAACTGGTATACCATTTACCAAACGGACTGCCGCAATCTCTACAAGAGTAAGTGGCCACCTCTTCTTGTTGAGCTTGTGCTCAAAGAAGACAACAACTTTTCCGAAGAAATCCTTGTAAACCGGGGAGTATGCAGAATTTATGTTGCGGTTTTCATCAACCTGAATCTGTTATCTGATGTTATGTGCCTCCCTTACACAATTTTGGTCGAGTGCAGAGTCAATCACACAACCATTGACAAATGCCTTGCGGCTAGTTTGTATAGCTGCTTCAATCATACTACACTCTTCCCCCTTTGATTTGTAGAAGTCTTCAAGAAGTTTCGAAAGACAAGAAATGCCTTCAAAACTATCTCGGATCGTTCTATTCCTCAAAGGCCCCCAGAACTCAATATCAGACCTAGCACCAACACGCTCACCCTCATCTGTCAACAGCCAACCAGCAGTGGAATCTTCATATTGTAAGTGTCGTGCTGTTCTTGCTTCTGTAATCATGACAGTGGCTCCAGCCTCTGCTTGTCGTATTTGTGCTAAGCCAAGCATGATATTGCCAGCGTTAACATTTATAGCAGAATTACTCTTGATAGCCCTTGAGTATTCACCGATTGCCTGTTCCACGGATCTGGCGCTATATGCACGAGGTGGGCCATATGCGTCAATCATGAGAGGATAGTGCTGAAGAAGATGCTGGTTTATAGTGAAAATATTGATTTTGATTTTTCCACTTGTAAGCAGCGATTCCAGATACATGTTTCATATTTCAAGTTTACTGAAGAAAAATAGTTAGAATAAATAATAGAATAACACATAGCTTTTACTAAAATATACCTTTTGATAGAGGTTTGTTCCTCTGCTGATAACTCCCAGCTCATGAGTAGGTTACATGCTTGAACCAAGCCAAGTAACGTGTTCCGGGCAGTTGCATCTCCAATACGCTCTGCCACCAGCGTAGGGACGACGAACAGAAGAAAGTCTGCCCAATCGACGGCCTTGAACGACCCGGGTTTCTTGTATACATCCCTCCAATTGCCATGGAAGGATGTAGGGATGGTATTTCTTGTTTTGTACATTGCTGTACCGATCTCCTTCCGAACACCAGAAGAAAGAGCAAAACAATGGTCTGTTCCATAGGTACCAGAAACCAAACCCCAGATCTGCTTGCTTATTCCATGGCAAAGTCCATGCATCTCATCGAGGGCAAAAAACAATGGTCCAGAGAATACCTTCAATGTTGCCAGGGGGGATTGTCCGTTTAACCCTTTGCGGCTGGATGCACTGGCCTGGGAAAAATTCTGGAAACTTTCCAGCGTACGGATATTGGTGCTGGGCAAAGTTCTGAAGTATTGTTCATGCTTGGGACATTGGCCGACAACATGACAGATACGGCAACCGTCTTTGCTCATATGTCCAGAATGACATGCCAACTTTGCTAAGGCGGGAATGTCACCAGTGACCATTAAGACATGTACCTTGGCACGAATAGTCTCGTTTGGTGTCTTGACAACTATCCCTTTGCTCTCCAACACCAGGAGCTCTTTCATCGTTGGTTCCATGAACGACCAGAAATTGGCAGGTGCACCTGGACCTGGGATCATTGCGATCTGGAGCATTCTGCTTCTCTCATACCGGACCATGGGATTCAGGTTAAGAATAGTGGCATGGAGGATCGTTACAGAACCAGGAACATTGTGTGGCGTGAATCCATCAACAGACAACGAAATTGCAATGTCATCTTTTCTGGAAAACAGATGTTTTACTTGCTGGTAAACCTGGCCATCAAACACATTGGTTTTATTTCCATCCAAGCTTGGCTCATGATTATGGCGGTAATGCATATCTGCTCTTGTATTCTCGTTGGCTAACGCAAGAGCCAGTTGTCTCGCCAATAGAAGCTGTATCATCGTGGCAGCAGCAACCAGATCACCACCCTCGGTTTCTCCACGTCTTGTTTTGTACCGGCTTTGTCCACAGTTGGAGCACTCAGTCTGGGATGGACTGGTAAAGAGCATACATTCCCTCTGACAGATATCATGGACTGTCTCTTTAACACCCGAGAAACGCTTCAAAAGCTTTTGCCAAGATGGGGAGTACATGCTCTGTATGTAATACAAGTCGACGTTTCCAAAATGCTGTTGAAATGCTTGACTATCATTTCATGGGCATTGCGGGAGATACCAAAATCCTTCATGATCTTGAGAAACTCAAGGTTCTTTGCATCGTCTTTGTCAGGGGTAGGTGCAGGCTGACTGAAGTCAAAAACCAAAGGAGATGTTTCGTTTTCAATGATATTCATATCGTTGCCAAGTTCCACATCATACTTTAACAAGGTAAATAATAAGACATATATATATATCTTACCATAGACTCATCATTGTCATCATTACTGAAGATATTCATAATTGGATCATCGTTATCTTCGCTGTTGAGTGTATCCATGATCTGATCTTCGATTGCATCAGCACGTTCTCTGCTTGTTTATGAAGGTAACAATATAATTAATTACACTTTCTAATAGTATGTATGTGATTTGTAGTCTTACTCGATAGTGTCGTTCGAGACAGTGTTCAAAACAACACTGACTTGTCCAGGAACAGGCGTGGTCTGTGAAGTCTGGATATCATTATGTCTTCTATGATGGTTCTTAAAGCATTGAGCTCTACAACTCTTGGCTTTTTTTTAAATTGGTGTGGCGCTCTTTGCATTGATTGCATTGGTAACTATCAAGGATTGAATTTGAAGACATTTTTTAGGTTGGAAATAAACACTTAAGAATAAAGGTATGAATATTGATAATTCCTTTTAAATAATATGCCTTTATACTTAATAGCATTGAGATTTGTATAGACTTAATGGCTACAAGTAGGCAATGACATAGATGATACAAATATAAACTCAGGAACAGAAGCTAAAACATTGCGTAATAGCTGTTATTAGAACTACAGTAGCCCAATAATAATATTGGTTGGACCAATAGATTAAACTTATTTATATGAAACTAATAATAGACAATAGAAAATTTTTTTGGCCTTTATCTTTCTTTCACAACAATCCTTTTTCTCAGGTAAACCAAACTCTCAACATGAATAACATAGATAACAATTCCATCTCTTTGCTACACGCCATGTACAATGAGATACTATCTTTGAAGGCAGGCCAAGAAAAGGCCAAACTTGAAATGAAGGCACAGATCGAAGAGTTGAAGCTCGAAATGAAGACGAGCATCGAAGATTTGAATTTGGAGATTACTGCTCTCCAGAGCCAACTGGAGAATAGAAACATTTCCAACCAACACACTTCGCCTTCTGTCTCTGCCATTGTAAGACAAAAAATAAAACGAGTTGAATATATATTAATATGTCATTTAATAGTCTAGTGCTAATACCATCCGCAAACCGGTGAGCATATTCTGTGAAATAACTTTAAAGCATATCTTCAAGATGATAAGTGAAGACCTTGGCATTGAAGTAACAAGTAACGAAAAGGCCACACTCAATATGTGTACAAAGCTTATATGTGATGATATGGCTGCCCATCCTTCAGTGATCGCTCTTGGTCCTAATCCTAGCTGGGGGTCTATACCAGTAGCACTTAAGAAAGAAATGTGTGCCAGGCACGCAAATATAATGAAGGATTCTGGTATAGACTTCACTAGATGTCTCGGAAACTGGGCATCAACTGCAAGAGTTGCACATCTCTGGAGGAACCGCCATAAAAGATTACAGTCTCGTAAGTAATCCGGTGTAGTGGAATTGAATAGGATATTTTACTATGAAAACCTAGAATATTAAATAGTAAATAGCCAATAAAATGTATCTATAGATTTTTTTATGCTTTAACAGCCAATAAAATAAACAATATTATTTATTTTTCTGTCATAATAACCAGTAAAATGAACAATATGATTTTTTTTCTGTCATAACAACCAATAAAAATGATTAATAAAAATGATCTCCTATTGTAATAACCAATAAAAATTTGTATTTATTAAAATGATCAAACATTTACATGTATATTATCCAATAAAAAACTGTTTTCATAAAAGTAACATTAAAAAAAATTACTAGTGTCCAATAGAATTCCTTTCTAAGCTAAAATATTAAAGTAATAAATGATATTTAAAAGAGTACCCAATAAAAGTAATCGATTATATAATATACTTTATACAATAAAAAATGAAACGCTGTCCAATAGAAGAGCCAACAAAGGAGAATCAGAAAGCGGAGATCTGTAATATGTATTTAAACTCCAGGGGGGCAAAGTGGATATTTGGCAAAAAACCGCCACAAAGCCGCCTTGTCAAACCGCCATAAAGCAGCCATAAAACCCCACTTTTTTTTCCCGTAGTGAAAAGAGAATAACAAAACAGAAAAGTAATAATCAATAAGAAGATCAAAACTGACAAACAACTTTCCTAAAACCAAGGAACAAATATGTTATATTACAAGATGTTATAAAATACAAAGAGAAGAAAACAAGAAGAAGATACTGAAACTGATAATTTTTTTGAGTTGAATTTGCCTCTCTTTTTATAGTCAACAAGATTTAGAATTGATAATAGAAGTTTGGAAAAATAAAGATAGTAAAAATAGAATGATAAATAATTAATACAGCAAGAATAAAATATATGAATAAAGATACAGTAAAAATATAAAAATAAAAGTACTGATGTTGCACAGAGATGTTGGCAAGATGAATTGTGTGCATTTTAAAAGACAAATGTTACTAGCATAAGAGACTATGATTTCAAATGAGTACAATATAGATGAATATATTAACACTACAGGAAAAAACTTGGCATTTTCGAATTAGTGACTTTCTTTTTGGCCTATAATAATTAAAAATTCACCAAAAATTCAAAATGAAATAAGAAAGTCTCTGTTTTTTGAAGAAGTTGATAAAAAGCAAATTGACCACCAAAAATTAAATCTCCTGATAGACAAAAATGCATTTTAACTACAGACTTTACATTTTTAGTAAGTGTTTATTGCAATTGATGGCTATTACAAGTCAGAAGTAAAGAGAAAGAAAATATCAAACTTTTATTACTTGAATAAAATATGTGAAAACAATTCAAAGACACGCTAAAAAATTAGAATAGGGAAGTGTATGTCATCATTGTAAAATTACTATATTGATATTTCATATCAAAGAGTAACCAATACATTTGTACAAAATATATGACGCTAATGACGACTTAGAAAATTTTTCTTTCTTGTTCTTTCTTTTGTTCATAACAAACCCTGACGCCAGATTTTTATTATTATCATGAATAATTAAGAAGATTCAGTAATTTATCTGCTTCAAGGTATTTGAGAAACACTTCGGGATATACAAGAAATGCTTATTATTTTGCAGAAGGGCCAAAAAGCACTTTAAAAGTAACAGGCATTCTATGACTGGAGATTTCTGAACTACCTAATGACATAAATGAATACATACTTGAGAAGCCCACCCCAGACTATGATGTAAGAAATAATAAAGCAAAGAAAAACATATAAACTAATGTAAAGCAATATAGTTCTTTGATGTCCTAATCTCGAGATTAATGTTTGTATTAAAACTATAACTTTGAAACATGACTTTAAAATGATAAGTCATGTTCTTGGTTTAACTCAACAAGAAAAACAAAACAACTATTAACATGTTCGCGTCTTATATGTAATGAAATGGCCGTCTATCTTTCTGTACAATCTTTAGAAATAAATCCAAATACAATGTCTATCTCAAGAAAACAAAGGCATAATGTATGCCAAACATGTGTGTCTACTTAAACAAAGTTGCATCGACTTTACCACATGTTGTGGTGATCCAGACACTCGGATGTTGAATTTATCACATATAAGAACATATTCATATTGGGATAGCGTAGTAGCTATCATCTTGTCAGTATAAAATATATATAAACGATTAAGTAATCAGCCCAATAATTATTACAGTTAGTACTGTAGATAATATCTTAAAGATTGTTAAGATAATTATATCATACTGCCGGGTAAACTGTGTCAGATCGATATGGAGCTAATTTAGTAGGAAGTCCTAAAGCTCTAGTATAAAAGAGAAAAGAATAGCTAAGAGCTAAAGAAGTACAATTTATGACTTGATGTCATAATTGTAACACCGACACTAGTTAAGCAGTAAATACACTCTAATAACCAAATATAGTAAAGGAAGAAAGCCTTAAGAAACTAAGACGTAATGACAAGAGCAGATTGTGTTTTCTTATAAAAAGGGACACTTTTTATTTATGAATAAAGACAACTTATATACAGTCTCAAAGTATTTCTATACGTTCCTATTATCAAATATTTTATTTTTCTATTGTTTCGTACCTGAAATACCACACATGTCACAAAAACGGGATATTTGTTGCAAAAGTCTTTCAGTCATAGAAAAACCGCATGAAGGAAAGAACTCGTAAGTTTATGTCAGGTAGGTATAATAAATTATATACTTAATATGAAAATATAAAATTATTCAAATAATATTTAGCCAATACAATTAATAAATAAAGAATTGTTCTTTTTATAACAATTAATAAAAGTATTTTTAAATAAAAATCCTCTATGAAATGAAACTTTTTTACCCAATTAAAATTGTGAACAAATCAGAATATATATAAATGAGGGCCATTTGAGAGAATGTTTCTTTTGAAATGACCAATACCATTGAAGTATATACAATAATAAAATGTATTTTATCCAATTAAAATTATTATAAAAACCAAAATAATATTTTATTACCAATTTAAGAACTTCTTTTTTCATTCTTACCAATAGAAATCTTTTTTATTTTTTTTCCTACCAATGAAAATAAGGTTATAGCAGATAGATAAATATAGTGGGATATGAATAAAACCTAACATCAATAAGTCAATGACAATTAAAATATATTACTTAAAAGGGAACTAGAGATTCCACTGCGATTTGTGAGAATTGCCAGCTCAATCCCAAGCTGAATCTCCAGCTGAATCCCCAGCGGAATTCCCACTTTTTTTCCTATAGTATAACAAGGGAAAAGGAAAAAAATATTGTGTGTAGAAAGAACAGAGAATGGAAATAAGATTTTTTCTGTTCACGGAAAAATTCTCCTCTTACCACGGAGGGCACAACATCACATCAACAAACCGTTAACATCAGCCCCTCATAACCAGGATGACATGTCACAACAAACCATCAGACAAACCCACTGAGCAGACTGACCTTCCAGTGCTGGACACCAAGACGTAATTAACAGCCAAAAATATTTACCGCACACTTGACATAACAGAAATTCTTCGATAGTATAGTGGTAAGTATCCCCGCCTGTCACGCGGGAGACCCGGGTTCAATTCCCGGTCGGAGAGATACACTTTTGCAAAGTGTACTGTAATAAATGTCAAGTCTTGATGTTGTGCTTAATTTTGGTGATACAGGATTGTTGGACATTATTTTGATGAATCCGAGAAATCGGAATAATTGACCGCAGCAGTTCTGTATGTCAAAGATACCTCATAGATAACGAACCGCAGTAATGTCTTGTAAAGATTAACCACAGTAACATCTTCTGAGCATCAACCGCAGTAAAAGGACTTCTCTTGTAATTAAATAGAGTATAATAGTCTACTGCGGATAATGCGCAGTATTAGTTTAGAAAACTATATAAGACAATTCAATTCCTATCAATAAAAAGCACCTTTTATCCTCTCTTCGATTTTACATATACTCTCCGATCCCCAGTAGGTTTAACCTTTTGACTTTGCTATAGTAAAAGGAAGACCATCCCAGATCAGGAACGACAGGATTTCCACTCCAAAAGTTATATTTTTTTTTCAAACTATATATTTTGCAAAATCAAAACTTTTATTTTGTGCTCTGACTATATATCAAAAAAAATCAATTTATTTCTTGGCTATTTATACATTGGGGGAAAAGGCTAATGCTATGATCAACCCAGCCTTGCTAGTTTTCCATAGCAATATGGCAGGAGCACTCAGCAATATACTCCAAGAATTGACCACATACCAACCTGGGCTTTTTTTTGACCAGTGTTTTGAGTTTGGAGAAGCACTCTTTAATTGAGTTTAGGAAAGGAGAGTATGGGGGAAGAAAGTGTAGGTGGTGTCATGAATTAGCAAATAATTCAGTGACAAGGTGAGATCTATGGATCGAGACATTATCCTTAATGAAGTTGTGAGGGGCAGCATTACTGTGGTTGAGCGAATCCATAATCGTCTTTACAAATTCAACAAAAATTGGTCCTGTTGTGCCACCAGAAGTCAACTTCACCTGCACATTCTCACACCCTGGTAAGAAATACTGGCAAGAATTGAGATGTTTAGTCCCCTTTTTGACTTCGTTTTCACAATGCTGGTCTTGCCTTTCTTGGACTACCCTTGTTCTCTGATCAGGTTTGCATTAAAGCCTGCTTCGTCAACAAAAATGCAATTGGTTTTCTATGATAAACCATTCATATACATACTGTCTACGTATACTTTTCTCAGCTTAATAGTCTTCAGATCATTTCTTTTTTTCTCAACCGGCTTGGTTCTCTTCAATGTGAATCTGATGTTGTTGATAATATGCTTGTGTAAGCCACTGATGCTCAAGTTCTGCTCTTGAAGCTCTGAAAATGTTCTAAACAGTTCCTCTCTCATTTGACCAAGAGTCAAGATGTAGCATTCGTCCAAGAGGTCTTGAATGAACTTTGAATGCTCAATCGGTTATCTTAAGACTTTCTGTATGCGAGCCACCTTGCTTCTTGGGCTCTACAGTAGCATCCCTCTCAAACTTGGGGATGATGTTGTTAATTGACGCTCATGAGACACCAAATGCCCTGGCTGCTTCGGCTTGGGTCATGGACTCTTCTATATAACATTTCTCCACAATCATGTTCTTGACGTGGATCAGAAGAACCTTTTGTAGTCCATTTCTTTTTCTTCTCTTAATGATAGCGATTTGATTGGGGTTCATGTTAGAGGATTTGAGTATAGAAAAAGATAATAGATAAATACAGTCCTCAAAACCATATTACAAACTTAGCATTATATACTTTTCTTATAACAATATATTGACATTACATGTTTTCTTATATTGTTTTTAATAAACAGTATAGACATTCCTTAAATACCTTATTGCACATATTAACATTCTTCATGCTCTTTATTAATTTGCTTTAAATTTCTTTCTATTTGCATTAACTAATTTATTTTTTTCATATATAGTCAGAGTACAAAATAAAAGTTTTGATTTTGCAAAATATATAGTTTGAAAAAAATATACCTTTTAGAGTGGAAATCCTGTACAAATTATAGTGACTTGTTCTTACAAAAGAAGCAGGAATTAGAATGATTATTCATCAGTTTGTAATTTTAGAAATTTGTAATCAACTTATAATAATTTGTAATATTACTAGACACTACTTTAGTGTAGTCAAAGATGAATAATCATTTCAAAAAGTATATAAGATAACCCAAAGCAAAATAATAAAAATCATCTTTTTATCCTCTCTTTTATTTGCTTACTCCTGTGTTATTAAAGCTTGACCAATTCAGTTACATTTACAGTGAATTGGAAGATAGTCTAGCTCAGGAACAACATTAATCTAGTACTTCTTTTCTGGCACTTGTAACTAAGAGCATTCCTAGCGATTACATTTCCTCCTTTTTTTCTATACAATAGGAGATTTTTGATATCAAATATGGATTTGATTTACTCCCAAGCATTTTGATTGGTTTAAAAAATACAAAGTTTTTGGAATATCAATTTAGAGTTATTTTCTGAGATATTATGTCTGTATTAGATAAATTCAAAAATGTAAGCATCCATATATGGATTTTCTCAGAGTTTTACCAAAAACAAAAAATGACTTAGTGAAAATCATGAATTTTTATTAAAGAAAATATTTATTGATATAAATTTTAATTAATAATGCCCATTGTACACGTGGGAGGCAAAGAACCAATATGATCCAAACTTGTTGAGATTAATTACAAGCTTGTTATCATAATGAGTGTGCATGTTAAGCTTGCAAACCATTGTCAATTGATTGAGTGGAGTAGTTAGATTGTTAGACAACCTTTGTGCAAGAAGAAAGTTGTTCTCTTGACCATGGGTGCTACTCTCAACTCTGTAGTGTTCTACTCTTGGAAAGGAGATCTTTCTGATAATATACACTGAAAAAATTAAAAAAATAAGGTAGTTTAAATATGGGGTATAGTGTAGTGTAATTTCCATATTTAAATTAGTTGATTTTTTTTCCACTTGTGCTGAAGGTGACCTTCACAGATAGTAGAATGACTAGAGTCAACTAGCGGAATTGTGGGTGGGGGGTGCCACAGGTAAGGTTTGTTAGCACTTTAGATATACTTATCTGACTTGATATATAAAAAGAAGGTTTTTTAAAACTGTGTATCTATTTTGATATTCTTTATATGGAACCATGAAGGTCAGGCACCAACATATTATGAAGATTAAAAGTAGCGTAAAGGTGATCTTTAAGCTAGTTTATTGTTAAGAAGTTTGGTCATCAGCAGCAAAAAAAGGCGTCTTTAAAATTATGGACCAGTAATATGTTCTTTATTTATTTGGTTTCCCATTCTTATTAGGCTGGTAATGGTTTATGCTTTTATTTTTATTGGAAAGAATAGAATGTTTCTAGGTTTCAGATCTAATAATACTATTCTATATCTCTAGCTACTTCTTGCTTGGTCGGTTTGTTATATTTGGGATGAAAAAATTTCTATAAAAAAGAAATACCTAAAAAAAAATGAGCTGCTCAATACGTTTTTTTTGGGGTACGAGCAGTACTCTTTGAGAATAGATAAATTGTTAGTGATGGGTGTGCGTATGTGTTGGATATTTCAATTCTTATAAATCATTAATACTTACATTGGAATTATTGAGTACAAAGACCAAACAATAAAATATTACAAGTAAAGCTATGGAATTTTGATTCCTTTGACTATGAAAATGATTAGAAAAAATTAATTTTTGTGAATTGGGCAATATAATTATTAATTTACATACCCAAAGCAAACGGATTTATTTGTAGATATAGATAATACTTATCAAAAGTCGATATAGTATCTGGTAGTTTTTTTTATTAATAAACAGCATAAGTAATATAATAATACATATAAGAATAATAAAAGAACAAAAAAGTCTTACCATGTCAATGACAGCAGCATGAGATAGAAGCTTTTGATCCATAGTATGTTTTGGAGAGGGTTGTTCATCTATAGTAAAAATTGGATTCAGTTTGATTAATATTAAAGAGAAATATAATAAATAAATAGATAAAAATATTACCGTGTTGGTGGTCGTGTTTAGCTGTAGAAAATATTTTTGGTGATATATCCTATAAAAAAGAAAGGAAAAAATCAGGATACTTTTATGAGATGATGGTATGAAGTATATTTACTAATCTTGGCTAATCTGGATAGCTATTGTGAAGAGGATGCATCAGAAGGAAACTATACGTGAGTGACTATGGTAGCAGAAACACTTGTTATTACTCAGCTATATTTGAAGAAATTACTAATAAAGAAAAATAAAGAAAAAAAGCGCCTTACCAGGAACATTTGCAAGTATAAGAGTAAAAGAGAAAGAAAGAAGTAAAAAGAAAAGAGAGGGCAAGTGTCTATGGCAACTGAAACAACTAATTCTTTTTAGTTATATAAAAAAAAGTACTTTAAAAAAGCAGATTAAAAAAAAAGACTAATAAAAAAATAAAAAAATAGGTGGAGACAGCGACGAAGAGTGTGTCTATGGCAACAGAATAAATAAATTCTTTTATTTTCTATAAAGAAGACTTTTTAGAAAGAACATGTCTTACACAAATAGTTCGCAAATATAATAGAAGTTGCAGAGATAGAGAAACAAAGAAAAGACCAATAGCAAATATAAAGAGCAAAAAAAAAGAGAAACAGGAACAACAACAAAAAAAGAAAAAAAAAGAAAAAAGAAAAGTGCGTTTGAAACAAAAGACTAGACTGGTTTGATCAATTGGGATCTAAAGCAGTATGAAAGCCGATTTGCATCTCAGTGATTACAAGAAGTATTAATAGAGACTTATATATCAAAGATACGCTGAATATCTATATAAACCATACGTTTTATACAATTTGTTTACTCTTTCTCCTGCTTTCTTGCTACTTATTGCACTCATACTCAAACACACACACATCAACCCATTTTATTTCAAATAATTTAAGTATGTAAATTTGATACAATTTATTTTTAATTCAATTCAATTCAATTGTATAATAGCATCAATAACAATGTAATCTAAAATTGACAGTTACATTTTTACCTTTTATTATATTCTGTAGACAATGGCTATTCAAAGACGTCAACTTGCTCTTTGTCCCGTTGAGATTACAAACAAACAATTGATAGAAATTCTTTCTACTTTGAAAACTAATATGACAGCTGACATGTTGATTGTACAAGAACAAATCGGCACTGTTGAAGATACATTGCTAAACATGAATAGCAGAATTGGTGTTCTTGCCACCAGCAGCACTGAGACAATCACTGCTATTGACAGTTTAAGCAGGGCCCCCCTCGTTTCCCCTACCAATACAATAGCTAATGTTTCTCAGCCTGCCTTCAACGCCCCGTCTGAGTTTAGCAAGAAGGCCTCTAATGATGTTTATGTGAGTATCAATGTGTGCAAAATTTTATTGATGTATTTTCTCATATATTCTATCAGGCCCATATTCGTAATCTCATGTGGGATCCCAAGCTGAAAACAAGAAATCAAGCTGATATCCTGGCAAATGAGAGTAAGCCCAGATGGAATACAAATGTTTTCTTTTACAAGTCGCCAAACAAGGAGTTGGTGGTGCGACTTCTTGAAAACTTGAAGCACAAGTTTACCCATGAGGGATTTAGAGATGCAGACTTGAGAGCAAGACTGCACAAAAACTTCACCAGCTGGGTTTCAAAAGCAAGAAAAACCGAAGAGGAAATAAAAGCAACAAACACTTGTTCAAGAAGGGCAGGACGTGCCAGAGATGTAAGTGTAATCTCTAAATAAATAATTTCAAAATAATATAGTTTAGTCTTGAGAATTTTAAAAATACTAATACAAAAAAACTACTATTAGAATCATACTCGCCGTTTACTTGCATACACAGACAACAAAGAAGCAATTGATCTACAAATGAAGAGAGATTGTGACTTCACAATGCAAATGGCAGCAATGTCCGATGGAGAATCTGCAGATGAAGACTTCAAGAATCGCACAAAGAGCATCGTCAAGATTGTTCGGCCAGGATGGAGAAGTGACGAGGTATATTATTTTATATTAATAATTATGTCTTATTATAAAAAATATAAAGTGAAGTATTAACAAAATCATTTTAGTTCAATACTCTCATTAAACTCATTGATGAGTATGCTATTGAAGCAATGGGGTCAAGTGCTTCTCAAATAAAGGAGAGGGTTTTCACCAATGTGTCCAATACAGCAGTCCCAGATGACATAACCCTCAAATTTCCTCAGTGGGCCCTTAGAGACGGGTATTAAATGAACAAAAATTGTCTCTCTCTTTTTATCTATATATTACTTTTCACATACAAAATACTATCAATATATATATCAGAAATACGCGCTCTGTTTTTTTGTTAAAGAAAAAGAAATGTAAAAGTTCACTTTATTTATTATTTAAGCATATAGCTTCTTTGGCAATAGAATTACCAGCATTTTGCTAACATTTCTACTTGTCACAATAGTAGCTGTAGCAACCTCTAATAAGATGCGATGTACAGGTATAATGCTATGGTAGCTATCAGGAGAGAACGTGGGCAAACAAAATTCAACACCGTCATCCTCACGCGACTTATCAGAGGAAGTACGAAACCACTTGATAAATGCGAATACATGTTGATGATCATGAACCATGCGAGTCATATGGAGATTGTGGGTGGGTGGAAGTTGGAAGGGGTGTGTAAAAAGATACTGAATTTGTCCAGCAAATCCAAATATAATGTTTCCATTACTACCAACAAACTTTGCCTGAACAAGTGATCCACAACTGATTGTGCTGTTGTTTGTTCCTCGATAGTGTTGACCAAGAATGTCAATTGACTTCAATTTGATGATTTGATTGTCAAGTGCTGGGCAATTATAGGATGTGTTCTGATAGCTGGCAAGGTCTGGGAGGTTGTAAGCGACTTGGTAATATTCAAGTAAATGGAGATAGTCGGAATCATCCATTACTGATGACTTTTTGTATTTTAGAGGAAATGTAGAAGGAGGAAGAGGCTCGTTACCCTTGGGTAGATTATAAGGATCAGTGTAGCCTTGAACAAATGCTTGCAATCTGAATGGGCGACTGGAGAGAGTGGTGACTGTGGCGGCAGGTATGGAGGTTGTAACAAGTTTAGACAGAGTGTGAATGAAGGGGATCTGGCTAGAACTTTTAAGAACAGCATTGACATAATCACCCTTATACGTATTCTGAACAAGATTTTTCATGTAGGTTGCCTCAAAACCGTCTTTGCCATTTGTCTTGAAATTCTTTAAAATACCATTGTATCGCTCAAACCCAAAGAGCCAATAACCATACACTGGTCCAAAATCACGAATGCATTTGTGAAGATGGAGGTGTAGGTGCATATTGCAGGTGAGAATAGTGGCGGTATAGTCTACGTTACATGCATTGCAAAACTTTTCTAACAAGCTGTGGGCAGTGGTGATCTCATCAAAAGTAATGCTGGGCTTTACGTAGTATCGGCATGCATCAACGAAATACATCCAGTTCTTGAATTGTAATGGGGGGAGAATACCATGCAACAAGACAGGAGAATAAACCAGAACCCATGATTCCCACTTGTCCGCTTTCATGTAGCTGAAGCCCTTTCCAATTTTGGTTGTCAGTGTGGTGTAATCTCTGGGCAGTACCATTGTCTCTGCAATTTTCTCCATCGAAGCAAACTCTTCAGGTCCAATTGTCTTCTCATCAATCCACCAATCCATTAATTTCTTAGACGTCCCCAGGAAAAGATTATGCATGGGATCAATGATTGTTCCACGTACTAGATCAAAGTATCCAAGGCGTTGCAACTGCGACCATCAAACACCATTTTTGACCTCCAGCTGATGCCTTTCTGAGAGTGTACTTGCATCCTTCCACTCCTCAGCATGCAACCTGCTCTCTGCACCACTGCGGATATTCCAACGAGAATAATTGAATCCACGGAAATCAACCTGGTTGCTGCTCCCTAACCGAGTAAACTGCCGGCTGCACCTATAACAAGCATATGTGCTGTTATGCGCTGTGAATCCACTTGTCTTTCTGGCGGCTGGGATATCATATGCAACCATCAGTAGTGCAGCACAAACACTGGCACCATTTGGGAATTTGTGTGTAGGAATCCGCATGCCAACGTACAGCTGCTTCAAATCATCTACCAAGGGCTCCAAGTAACTATTGATCTCATCAGTTTTTGGCTCCTTTGGATCAGGCATGAGACCTACAAGGATAATATTCTCTGACTTGAATCTTTCATCACGGGGCAAGTTGTTGATGGCCAGATAGATAGCACCAGAGGAGTGAGTGACACCATCAAAGGGCTGGAACCAGTCGATGTTAAGTGTTAACATTAGTGAGCGTGGGTCCAACACAAATGATACATCATCTTTGTCCTTCAACTCCTTCCACATCGCACTATCATAGACATCGCACAGAGTATCTACCATCTTCAACTCCTTATTCCATTGACAAATCTTGGCTTTGAAACTAGGGCGATGGAAGAAAACGCTCAATGTATTTTTAATGGATTGGTAGACATATTCACGCTTTGCAACCAAGGCACTGGAAGATATGGATTTCGTCAAATTACAGTTGCATGCAGACCTGGCACCAAGTTTTGAGGAAACACATCGAGGAGGAGCAGATACGATATCCTGATATACTGTATGACAGTCTTGGCACACCACAAATTTCTTGATGCCTTTTGTAATAGCAGAAAATCCTGTTATTTTTTGTAAACTGGCAAGACTGGTTCGTAATTGAAAATCTTGGTCGTAGATTCTCAGCAGGTTGTTGATAAACTCAATCAAGACAGCAGCACTCTTATCAACAACATGACGTGAAGCAAACAGTACCGTAAAGATGTCTATGAATTGATGGACTTCATTTTCGGGCATATCAGGAGCAGCAAAAGGGTCTGTAAAAAATTAAAAAAAATTAACACTTGATTTTTCTTTTACTCTCTTTTTCTTTTAGTTTTCTTTATGTATCTCACACTGATCTTCACTGTTGAAGTTCTCAATCTCGATCTCATTGACTTCATCTTCAACATTGTCATTGAAATCATTGTCGTCTCTGTCATTGTCAAACATTGAGGCAGCATCCAAAAAAGGTGAGTTGGCCTGACCGTCCATTGCTTCCACAGAATCGGAACGAGAGGTTGGGATTACTACAAATATGGAATATAATAGTGTATTAGTTTTTTTTCTGCTTTCAAATAGAAAAATTCTTACCCTCAGTATCTACATCCATGTTTCTCATTGCGGCTGTGTTTCATTAAAAGTTTAAAAATAAACAACATAAATAAAAAATAAAAAATAA